ACCGAGGCTAAAAGAACAACGGCCGTGATCTCCAAATCTGGGGGCCAACCTCCATCTTCCCTGGTTATCACACGAACGCGCGAGGCGATTGGAAAGAAGCAGGGTTCGCGAGAGACTTTGTGTCACACGTGGTTTTCCTGCGCCGCAAGGAACAGATTGGCTACCCGGATTCTCGACCTGCTTGTTAAGAGGGCACTGTTCGAGGAGAAGGCCGTCCGTCCACCATTATCCGACGTCAGTTAAGAACCACTGCCGAGAGAAGCTTTGACTCTGCATCACGTTTCCTGTACCCCAACCGGTAGCGCGGAGTCGACCTTCGAGAAGGATGGAATGCTCCTCAGAGCCAACGGTCAGAAGAGTTCGGCTCTGCCGTACTGAAGTTCGCGCCACGCGCCTCGTTATTACAGGACATGGCGGAGAGATCAAACCAGCGGTTTACAAACTTCGGATATCGGAGATCCCTTGCTCTTCCTGCATACCCAACGGCCACTTCCTCATTTACATCCTCTGCCGTCGTTACATTACCAAGTCTTGACCGCCACACGTGGGTCCTACGCATCGCAAAGCGGTGATGTCGAGGAGGAGAGTGTCGAACCGCTGGTCTCGGCTCCCGGTTTCTAGTCATCCAATCTCAGCAAGACAAACCCGCGTCTAATTTCTGAAGTTGCGGGATCCTCGCCCAAATAACTCCGCGGTGTTGCCAGCTTGTATCAGTCGGAGGCTCTGACACGACCTTGACGAAACCTCAACTCTACGGTCCCTCAATCCCCGAAGACAGCGTCACAATGTGACAGAAAAGAAAGAGAGAAAAAGCCCTGTGCCGCCAAGATCGGCCGACCTCCGGCACCCACAACTGCCGCAACCCGGGCTTCAGACCACAGACGCGGTCAATACTGCAGACTCCCTGTACTTATCGAAAAAGGCCTTCCGCGATACGGTATCAGCTGATGCGACCTACCATTCTTAGCATTTTCTTAGCTTTCTTGAGATTTCCTGACGATCATCACGCCGGCTCACAAACCGAGGAGATCTATATGACTGCCAGCTATTGATCCAGCATCAGCAGCCCATTCTCTCACGGTTCCCAGCGCAGCCGGTCCGCCGGGAACTGCAAACAAAATACTGGCCTGTCTGGCGATGGTGCGGCGAGGTTTGCAAAGACCGAGGCAGCTTAACAGCCTGCGTGCGACTCAGAACCAAACAACGACCTGCCAGTTAATAAATGTCCTACAGGCACTAGATCGTTCCCATGCTAGCTGCATATGTATTTCGGAATCCTGGACACCAGACAGCCAAAAGTCTGCGAAAGTGGCGTCTGGGGCAATGTTCTGGCCTCATGTTCACTTTCCCAGTGCATGGCTGACGGCCTTGTCTTCATTTATCTTGCCGGGTTCTCCGTTCACAACAAGAACCAGCCATGCGGACGACGGGCAACGCCCAGACTGTCATTCCAAACTGCCGAACTGGGCCAAAACATGCCAAAGACACCTCGGCCTTGCTCCGACTTCACCGCCGGAGGCTCGGGCAGCCCCGACGGCTTCCATCGCGACGGCATCTCCAACGGAGTCGTCCACAGACATTGGCGGCGGACTCCTCTCGATACCCTCAACAAGCCCTTGCATATCTTGTTTAAGCTTATGGGCGGCTAGGCGCGAACCCGTCCCACAACCCTTCAACTCGCCATGATCTCTTCCAACCGTGCCAATCATCTCATTCCCTTCGCGGAAATTGGAGAATTTGGAGAAGTCGACCACCACCATCTGAGTCAAGCACCTCTCGAAGCTGGGGACCGAAGTTGCCAATAATTATCGACTCCGCTCAAGATGCCCCTCTCCGCACTCCTCCACACATCCACCATCGACGCCACCTTCACTTCTGCATGTCTTGAACCCTGTCAGGTACAGACTACCTGTGTTTACACGTATGCCCCGCGACACCTGATCACCGAGAAATGCCGGCCCGATACGCCAACCTCTGTGGAAGCCTCTCAACCCCAAAGGTGAGGGCGACACGGCCTTGCTTAATAGAAACAGGCACGGGAGGTGACACCCCGTAAGACGACAACCCTCGCTGTGATCTTTAGCGAATAGCGAGCCGTCTTTGTCAGTTCTTGTCAGCCACCTTATGATTTTGCCCTTCAGCAAGCGTGTACGCCTTGCCGAAGGAGGCACATCAAGGGCGGCAGCTTCGTTCAGTTGGTAGTTCAGCTGCCTGACAACATGCCACTGGTCCGCCTTGCCACGGCTGCCGGCATCTTGCCCTTCAATAGAAGTTGGCAGTCTTAGCAACGTCACTCGCATGTATCGAAAGTCTTCTGCTTCAAGGAGAAGCGTGAAGTGGCGAGGCATTTGCTTCCCCGACGCCGTGTGACAATAGACCCTGCCGTCTCTCTGCTACCAGGCACGTTAGACAGCAGTCAAACTGGCATATGCAGATGCGTCATGCTCGCCGTATCGAGTGGCGTATGCCAATTAAAGCGGGAGGGGTGCGTATGATTAGACGCCTCACTTCTGAATAGCGATTTGGGTCGGAAATATGGTCAATTATCGTTCAGCACGCTCAGAGCAAGCCTCTTTCACCCTTTCATTTCTCTACGGCAAGGCCGCATTCTCGTCACCTTTCCACACCTTTCTCCCCGCTCATCAGCTTCTCTGCCGTCAAACCCTGCCATCCAATTCCGACTCTCCCGAATCACGCCTGGCGTCACTGACACCCTAAACAAACCCCCGGAAGGTCGATACCTCTCCGTCTTCCGAATCTCACGGGCCTTCTGATTCGTCCCTGGAAAGCTAGAAGAAACAGCGTCGATCGGCCCAGCCGGGCAGCTCAGGGGCGACCCGGCCTTTGCTCTCCCGCCCTTGCATGACGACGTTTTCCTCTTTGGTGAAGCTCCATATACACGTCACCCCGTCTAGACTGGATAGAGCTGACCTTCGAGACGGGCCGAGCAGGCGTTGCGACCCCTCATCACACCCCAGCCTTTCAGCTGGTGGTAGGTTGGACAAGGGCTTCAAGACCGAGCCACTCGAGTTTGGTGGGAGAACAGGTCGGGTCAGCGTGACTTTTGCTTCTGCTTGGAGTCGAAGGAACGTCGAACCCTGATATTCTTCAGCATTTCTACCGAACGCTGCTACCAGGCGTCGTGTTTCCTCGGTGGGAAGACGCATGGAAGATGGCGGGGAGATGAAGTACATCACACGGGTCTTGTTAAAGATCACAAGTGTAAGCACGACGGTTTGAACCAGCTATCATACTTGCCATACACCGTCGATCTATCGGAGCCCGGCTCGACAATGACCACAACCACAAACACTGACACGGACAATTGCTCGTGTCTCTACGAGAACCATCTCCTCCCATTGCCTCTTCATGTTAGACCCTACTTTGATGACGCCGTTCTCTTCCGCATCAGTAAGTCATTACAACATGATCATGTCAGCCACACACGGCGGGCAACGTCCCTCCCGAGAAATGCGACGTTGTGGCCTGAGATGGGCGTGAAGATCACGACACTTTGAGTTCGTTGCAGGAGACGCGGCTTACACCCACCCCATTTCCCCTTGTGTTTCTTGCCCGTCACACCCTCGCGGCGGCGCAGCTTTATCCGGAGGAGGATGATGGTTCAGCTCGTCGTCCGCAGTCTTGCACGTGCTGCTTCCCTCAACCCGTCAACTATCGTGTGTCCAGAGGTCTCGATGATCCGTGTTCTTGAAGGTGAGTTTCGAGCTGCTTTATTGGCCAGTGGCGTATATGGAGATGATTGCGTTCAAAGACGGGGTATTGGAACGGTGTGTCGTCGTAGGATACATACAAGCAAGACCCATAACAGGGAATGTGCTCTCTGTACGTGTGGCTAGTGGGATTGGTGATCATTCTGGGCTCGGTTGAACGCAAATGACTCTGGCGAAGAAAAAGCACTGAGGTCTCGAGGCTATCCCGTCGTGACGCTTTGCAGCGTTGACTTTGCCACCGGACGATGACGAACAGAGTTGGCCATCGACCATCATAGGACACAAACAAGGTAGACTACAGAAACAGTAAGGTCCTCATTCATCATGGGTGAAGCCGCACGCAGGGTCCTGCGATCGTCAAGATGAGTCCATGTCCATCGGGATCGGACAGGGTAGGGTACCGCAAGTCGCTGTCGGGAGGTTCATCCAACGCATCTCCGAGTTGAAACTTTCATCAAACGACCTGGAATCGGCTTTACGAGGAAACAAGCATGTCAATGACCACCACAACTGTGACTGATGTGGCTGGCAGTTGCAAAATCAAAGCATGTACGCAAGTCCGTATTCGAAGAAGAATTATCTTGAAAGAAATGCGACGTCGCATAGGAACTAGATGAGACTAGATCTTGTTAAAATATGCTCTCCACACATCATCTCTCGTCTCCCCATCTGCCCGAATCCATTTCTCCAATATAAACGCCGTACATGCAATCGGGGCCTCCTTCGTATCCGCCGCCCCAGATGAGCTCTCAGGAAAGAGTTGCTCAAAATGTCTCATCGAGGCCCCATTTCCGCTTCTCCTCCTCGCAACCCTCCCCCTTGACATCGCTTCTCCGCGTTTCCCCAGGCCCTGGTATCGGAAATGACATGGTGGGCCGCCGTCATGCCCACCCGTTCCCACCCCATGTTGAGAACGTCGTGGAAATGCAGCTCGAGGAATTGGATCGTTTCTGGCTCCCTCCGTTCTCCGCACTGGGGGTGGCGGCCGATAGTCTGCCTTGGCTGCCGGCGTGGAGAACTCCACAATATTCCGCATGGTTGTCTGGGGGCATCAAGCCCATCGGCGCGGCCATCGTTGCTCTTGCTTGTCCAAGACCGAGCGAGGTCCTCTCGGACGTGCAGGATTCGCCACAGGGTGCCATTGAAGCGAGGCTGTGGTCTGGATATCCGCAGTTTTGACTCTTATCCGACTCTTGAGGCAGATATCATGCCGGTCCTTCTGTTGAAGCAGCTGTTTCGAAAGCCAGAAGTCTTGTTCTCTCAACTTGCTCAGAAGAGACTTCTACCGCTTGCCAACCTCACAAAGCTGTAAGGTACGTTCTGTCCCACCAGCAGCCTCAATGTTTCGACTGTGGTAAAGGCGGCCGTATCGGCGCTGCCGTAGGCAGAAAATCCGGCCTGTTGGGCAATGATACCAGGATCACCGCCTCTTCTCGCACCGGCGGTGTCGGCCAGGTCAAGGAAAACCTTCTTGGAGTTGGAATTTCCCTGAGAATTTGAGCCAAAGACTCGAACGAGCATACCGACGATATTACTCTTCTCCGCCCCAAGAGCCGAAACGACTAGGAACGGAGCCGCACCATCACCCACGGTTTGTGCTCTCTTTAGGCTTTCCAGGCTGTTGAATGGTTCAATCACCGGCCCGTCTCTGGCCAGGGCCGCCGGAGTCCGGAACCCAACAGTGTATATCTTGCCGACTTGGAGGGCCTTGAGAGCGTACATTACTGACGCAGCATCGTCGCCCGAGGAAGCCAGAACGACAGCTGTGCGGCCGAAGTACGCAGAAGGGGCCATGTCTCTTGTCAGCGTACTGATGATGCCTCTCCAACTGGCGTTGTCTAATATTAAGGACGTGCTTGGTGACAGGCTGGAAGCACCCGACGACAGATGTCCAAACGAATCATGGTGTCCGTGGCGTGGGCTTGATGGGATGGAGGCGGGCGCTGATGAGGCCGACGACGAAGATGATGACTTCACGATGATGGTGTCGACGGTCCCAATGAGTCTAGCAGCCTCTGTCACCTCCGGACCCTTGCCACCGCTGAGCGCCCCGAAGAAAGGACTGTACTTCAGCAGACTGCTCCAAGACACGGGAGGGCTGAGGTAGGCGCCACCGAAGTTCTTCTGGTTACACCACGCCTCCATGGCTTGGAAGTTGTTGGGCAAGCGCTCCACGATAGCAAAGTAATGGGGAAGGCCGAGCTCGTTGAAGCACTTTTCGTAAAACGGGGCTTGAGGTGTTGAACTTCGAAAGGCTGGGGTCGTGATGCCGTATATGCTCTTCTTGGGAAGTTGTCCCAACAGAGCCAGAGCCGCATTGATTTCCGACGCACTCATCTGTCCTGGAGCAGCAACGATGGGCAGTAAAGGATGGGTGATAGGAGTGAAGACTCTGTTCAAAGTTCGCGAGAACTGGCCAGTTTCTCCCATGTTAACTCCCGAGAATGGCGGAGAATTTGGGTAGTCTGCTCGCATCTTTGAGCGGAAGTATTCCAACTCGAAGTTTTCGTTGTGGTCGTTGATGATGGCAATCATCTTGATGATGTCGGCATATTTGCTTGATTCCACGTAGACCTGCTCTGCATACGAGGAGGGCCACTTGAAAGTGCCGGAGAAGTCGTGGAACGCAGACATGATGCGACTGCTACCTTTCTGTTCGTATAGCCTCTTTCGGATGGCCTCTGGTAGCCAGAGCTCAACGTCGATGTACTCAACGCCCCATTGGATGGCACGGTACAGATATTCGTAATAAAGATCAGGATTCTCCATCGGGAAACGACCATTCTCTCGCGTACATCTTGTAGTAAAGATGATGGGAAGTTCCGTCCGTTGGCGTAGAAGCATTAGTTGCTCTCCAACATAGCTCAAGCTGGGGATTGCGGAATACGTTCCGTCGCCAAGTGGCTCCTTGAGAAGATCGACACGAATTTCCACTGCGTCCGCGCCAACCGTGAGAATGTCGATGTTGGGGAGTGCTGCACTGACGTCGGGAAACGTTGTCGAGATGAAGTAAGTCCGTGGCTTCGACATCAGAGTCTCGTGATGGGTTATCTGCCCCAGTGTAAAAGAGATAAACCTGGCGAGGTCTCGGCGGAAGAATGGCGCTTCCGTGTACAGAAACTCGTAATCGCACTCGGCCGAGAGAAAAACGTCCGGTGGCATGCCGAGGTTGACACAGTGGGCGTTGATGGCAACGACGAGTTCTGTGTTACGCGATTTGATGTCGTTCTTGGCCAGCTCCGCTGGGAGGCCGACCACAAGCCCTTGGTCAGCAGCGGTGATCTCCTCGAAAGCGGAACGAATTGCGAATGGTTTGCCCAGGACATCGGCGAAGACTGACACGATCTTGTCCTGGCCTGAAGCATACAGGATAACCACGATCCTCGTGTCGCCCCGTTGAGGAGCGGTTCCAAATCTGGTCCCGCTCGCAACGGCCGGGCTTGCGTTTCGGTCGATGTCCATCTCGATGTCGTGGTTTCCAGAGCCGTTCATGCTGCGTGGGCGTGCCGGCGTTGGCCCAACCCCTAGTTGATGTACTGATGCCATGCCTGTCATCGAAGGTCCGTTGATTCCAAGGTGAGAGAACCGAGCAGTTACCCCAGGAATGGTGAACTGGGTTCTACTATTTGCAACGAAACCGCGATAGACCTCTTCCTCCCCTTCTCCTCCTTCAAAGTGATTTGGATAGTTGTACGGAATGTTGGCGGTGAATAGTGTTGCTGAGTATGTCAGGCCAAAGTCCCATGACAAGACGAACTGATACTCCTTGACGGATTATGCCAGCTCGAAGGGCGAATGGAAGTAGACTCGACAGGTCACAGAGGGGATAGACGGCGTGGTATGGCTGACGAGAGAAAGCAGGGCTAACACAGGTCAGGTGATTTGACGGTGTCAGAGATATGCGCCGGGAGCAGAAAGCCGGTGGGGGTCGTCGTGAGGCTGCTGCATAGGTGGTCTCCTCGAGATGGGAGGCGCGGTGTGCGCCGTGAGAGTTTGGATTGATAAGAGTAAGAGAAGTCCCCGGATGACTACTGAGAAGAGACCGACGATAGGGAGACCGTATCAAACGTTCTGCTGGGGTCCAAGTACTTTCTTCCACCAATTCGCGCGGGGCTCTGAGGTGGTTCCGATGCAGGATTGGGATTTCGCGATTTCAAGGGTGGGCAGGGTCGTCAAATTGAAGCACAGGCGGGCTCGGCTGCGTGACAATGACGGGTGGCAGGAATCTCGATTGAAGCTCTGGTGATGGTGCTACGGATCCAATCGCAGGTAGCGCGCGAGTCGGACCGTGGGGGGTTTTTGTGCCAGCGCGACGAGGACGGAAAGGTAGAGCTCAGACAAGCGCGATGGCTACAGAGCGAGAACGTGTTTGTGTGGACGTTGTCGCAATATGAGAGGAGTTGAGATGAACCGGCCGGTGGCACGGGAAGGACAGGCCGCAGACAGGTTTAGCTTGGTGGGAAGGGAAGTATTTCGCCGAGCAGGGAGCTGGCGAGGCGGCGGCGGTGGTGGCTTTCGGGATGGCACAGCGTCGTGAGGTCAATGTATTCGTACCTCGCTCCGTCTTGCTTTCCCCGGTTCGTTTGTATGGGGTTTTGGGAGTGCTTCGTAGTAGGCAGTATGGGCCGGACCAGAACCTGGAGATAGATCCCTGACCCGACAGGGCAATATGGAGGAACGATAATGCTGGGATGACGGGCGTAGCGATCGAGTAGGCGATGGCGTGTGGTTTCAACGGCAAAGCCGGCCGGTACGAAGACGATTCTCAACGAACAAAACTGGCGTTCGTCGTTGGTGGAGGAGACGGAAAGACTGATGGAAGTTGGGGACGAAGAATTGTTCCACCACAGACGCTGCGTTCCACCGGATTGCTTGACAAGAGCCAGAAGGGGGTAGAGGGGCAAGCCGAAGAGCTTGGCATGGGGCAAGGTCTGGGACGGAGCTTTCAGACGCGGGTGAGGTTGCTGCAATGCTGCTCCTGTACTGCATGTCTCCGGAGCCTTGCCAGGGGTATTGAGCTCTTTGGTCCCAAGAACAGCTACAGCTGTCTGCTGGCTGTCTGAGCTGCTGGATGCTTATCAGAATGGTCGTGCCGGTGTTCCTGGATGCCGGTAAGATACATCGAGTATTGAAGGTTACGGTTGATGAAGTACCTTTTTAGGCGGGAGATTTAATTGCTGTCCAGAACACGGTCTAACGATAATCTTCCCCAGACGGAATGAGTGTCTCGTTTTCTTGGCTGCTGATTCGGAAACGCTTTCCTTTCCAAGCTGCAACTCTTCGTGATGGATGTTCGTACGGGGTCCTCCGCTTTACCTCGATATCAAAAGATCCGTGGACAGACAAGACAGCGAGGAAAAAGGAACAAGAAGAATACAGATGTCGACGGTCTATCCGTACACGTACCTTAGACTTGGACAGCACAAGTTGTAAGGTAGATGCGGACCCGACTGATAGTGACTTCTCAAGCGTTACGCATGCCAAATGGTGGGGTAAATGGGGAAAGCACCGGGGAATGGCGTCCCTTGTGGCCCCTTACTGCGGATTTTACTGCAGCTGGCTGGGATGTTTCCCTCGAGTCCCTTGGAGAAATGGGGAGACTCGGGGGGTCGTGGACGATCGTGGTCGCCGCAAAGATTTACCGCATTTTCCCTATTTCCGGGATTTGGGAGACCGAGATTATCCGCCAATGGCAGCTTCCGATACTCACGTCGTTCGGGTCGACTTGGCACCGTTAGCGTCCCGCTGGGGAGGGAAACTCCTGTGCAAGGTCAAGGATGCTGACCAGACGTGCAGACTTGGTTCCATCACCCTCAACTTCCTCGAAACACCTCTGTGCCTCTCTTCCAGCCGTTGTCAGCTCAGTCCAGCCTAGCCCAGCCCAGCCCAGCTGTTGTTCTCCCTTCTCGAATCACACTCTCGCCTTACCAGCCAACTGATCAACCAACTTAACCCGTCCTGGCCTTGCCAAGCATCTCTGATGCCAATGGCGCGGACTCGACAGTTCACATAGCTGGAGGGCAACGACGACTCCTTTGTACACCTCAGCTGTCTCATATTCAATATGGAAACTCATATACGGCAGACAACAGACACTCAATCATCCACGATGTATGGTTACAGCCGACCGCAGCAGAGATCTTCCGGCGCCCGTGTCGCTGGCTGCGTGATTGCAAATGCTACCTTATCTCTTAGCCTGAAGTGCGAATACTTACACAATGATCCGGCCAAATCTACCCCGATCATGGCCTGGTTACATGCGGACGCTGTTACCTAACTCCTCATCCAACATGCTCCACATGGATCACCTCGTGAAACAAATGTTCATTCACGAGGATCGCGTCGGATACTCGCCGAGTCTTCTTTTCATCCATCATGTTCAGTCTGACCGGACATCGCTCCATCTGGGGACCGAATGTGGAAACATCATCGGCAAATATTTGATTGGGCCCCGCCGCCGCGCCGGGAATGCGACAACCTCGGGATCGCCCTGCCGTTGGCACGCCCTCAACCCCTTCACCACCGTCGTGCGGGTAGCCGTTTTCTGGAAGCCCGCGAGCCTGCAGACGGCTAAAGACGGACGCTGATCGACGTCCTTGCCTCAGACGTACAGAGTCTGCTTTAAACGAGGTCAACTATCCTTACGGAGTATTCGTACACCACCTGGAAACGGTCCAGTCTACACACTTCGCTCTCAAACCTCCTTCTTCTGTCATCTCTTCTGTGAGGACTGCCACCGGCATAGCCGCTGCTGCAGCTGCCAGTGTGCGCTCGGAGAAAAAACCCTACAGCTCAAGCTTATCTGCCCATCCAACAATCACACGTTGGCCTGTCTGGCGCTGGCATCGACTCCGAGAGGTCCAAGATGGATGGAGGTGGAGCTCGCCGCAGCCAAACTCCGGGGCCTCGAATCCCCCTTCATTCGCAACGTTTCCCTCAAATTGATACAGTTTCGAACATCATATCATGGCGGTGGGCATGCAATATACTCTCTCACAGGCAATTCGTGGAGATTGCTCAATCGACGTCCGCATCGCGCTAACGTGAGACGACGGTCCCGGCCGTCGCCTTATCCCAACGACTAACACGAAGCCGAAGTCTTGGGTCCAATATTCAGAGTTTCGAAATCCCAACCTCGCGGTCCTTGGCTCAACGAAGAAATCTTCTTCCAATCTATCGGAAGCTTATCACGACCTGAGAATCATAAACAGCAATTGGTGCGGAATCATCTCCTGCCGGAATCTCAAAGTCAGCCCTCTCCGTTGGTGGAGAAACGCAGATACGGCTCAAGGGTGGAGTGGTCGCTCGAGTTTCACCGCTTCATATGTACGCCAAGATTCCAAAGTACAAAACATAAAAAGGGAAGCAGGTCAGTTCATCCGGCCGTTCTCGACTCACCAACCGACATGCACCAGCGCCAAGGACGAAACGGCCCGGATAGGCGGAATGCGCAACCCCAGGAAGATACGGAATTTCTCATCGACTCGTCAAACCGCAAGCGAAGGAGGGCGACGCCAACATATCGACACGCGATGAGAGAATTTCTTGTGCAGAGGACGAAACCGAAGCCGCATGACAAAGATGACCAGACGTCGGAAGTTGAACTCGAGGCACTAAACAAACGCCATCTCTTGGAAACGTGGACCGACATACAATGAAACGGTTTACTCCTGAGCCCAGATACCGACCAAGTTGCCCTCGCAATCGATGAACCGACAGAAGAAACCCATCCCACCACCAATCGCGGTCTTCGGCCTGTATGAAGCAACGTCAGACACGGCTTTCCCAGGCAACTCTTTGGGTGTAGATGAGGACAACAACGAGTCTGTCACTCACACATGGACCTTCCCGCCCAACTTCTCGGCCTTCTCAACCGTCTCTTCGATGCTTGCCACGCAGAATGTCGGCAGTACTGACACTCGCTCCGGTTTCGACCCGTCGTAGTTGATAATCTGGTTGCTCTTCTCCATTAGGAGGAACGCACCGTTGAGGCCCCCCTTATTGAAGAAGTGCACCGACTTTACCCACGGCGTCGGCGACGGCATGGAGGCCTCGCCGCACTTCCATCCCAGCACCGCCGTGTAGAACTTGGCGGCGCGCCCCGCGTCCGTGACAGGGAGCTCTAGAAAGCACATCTCGCCGAACGGCTTGGGGGGCGGGACCGTGAGATCGCCGTCTACGATGTTTGAAGACATGTTGGACAATGTCGTTTGAATGTGAATGATACGGTCTTGTGTGATGAAATTCTGAAATGTTGCTCAATTGCTCCCGAGAGCGTGAGTGCGCTCTCGTCTCGTAATAAGTCGCCATCCCAGCGCCACCACAAGTCGGTGACTAGAACACTCAAGATTTCAGCCGCAAGCCTCGACCGAACTTTGGCGTCCCAGAAGCCGTTGAAGTCTCAGCTGCCCAAGCCATGATACAGCCACCCAGCCACACACCTGACAGCTCCTAACAAGCGTGCGTGCATCTCGTCTTGTAAAAGCCAATTGCCCTTGTCTCCGACAAGCAAGAAAAAAACCAGCCTTTGGGACAGCATGACTCCAGCTAGAGAACGGATGTTGCCGCAAGAAAGAGACGCGAGGACGAGGAAGCCCTCCAGCCGGGGCTACAATTCTCGGACACCAGTACATACAAGTCAACGGCGATCTTGGGCGACGGCAAAGGAGTTACTTGTTGGTCGATAATGGGTACCATGAGCCAGGTGAATTAGTCTACGACGAGCCGCCGCCCCCATGAAAACGATAAAACAGCCCGTTGGCAGGATTCTTCTGCAGGCCGGAAGCCTTCGCGGCATCGAATACATCCCCTTCGTACCATCACTCATGATTCTAATTAGACCTGTCATTTTCATCCAAGAAAATTATGTTTTATCATCTATGGTAGACGACTATGAATATGCGTGAGAAGATAAGTATACAGTTAGGACGATAACATGCCCCGGAATCTATGTACACGTCATCGAAGTGACATGGGTGTGTGGATGATGCCGCCATGCAAACCATCCAATGCGATATGTACCACCAAGGCCATTTTCCAATACCCAAGGTTAGACAAAGCCTCCGCGGGCCCGTCAGTCAGCCTTCTTCACGCTTCCCCAACGCCCTCATTCTCCATCAACGCCGCCCTCGCCTCCGCCTCATCGTCGGCCTCCACCTCCCTGACCGGACTCGTCCACCCCGAACACGCCTGGATCAAGATCGTGACGACAGCCAACGCCGCACCGGCCTGCCACGTCCCCCTCGACGCGCCAGCGTACCTCTCCACCGCGATAGCCTGCTCCACGGGCTTCAGCCCACCGTTGAACACCAGGGCCGGGCTGCCGATCAACCTCGTGATCAACGTCTCCCTCTCCGGACTCAAGCTTCCGCCGTCGAGCCTAGCAAAGCTCTCGGCCAGACCCGAGCGCAGGAGGCGGTAGAAGATGCCGCCGCCGATGGCCGTGCCGAAGCTGCCGCCGAAGCCGCGGAACGTGCCGAGCAGGCTGGTCGAGATGAAGTGCTCGGCGGGGTCGCTCAGGTGCAGCAGGTGTGCGAGGGTGTAGTTGAGTGTGGCGCCGGTGGCGAGGCCGTTGAGGACGACGGCGGCGACGAAGAGCCAGAGCGGGGTGCCGACGGTGCCGGCGAGTGACAGGCCGAACATGGTGGCGGCGAAGCACGAGAGGGCGACGATGGAGGGCAGCCAGAAGGCGCCGCTGCGGCGGACGTGCAGCCAGCCGACGATGAGGCCGCCGGAGCCGAAGCCGATGTTGGTCGGGATAAGGATGGAGCCGGCGACGGCGGGGGCGGCGCCGCGGACGGCGAGGACGAAGATTGGCGTGTAGTAGAGGAGGGTCCAGCGGATGGACATGAAGAAGAGCTGGGCGACGCAGGAGAGGAGGACGGGGCGGGAGGAGAGGATCGTGACGGGGATGATGGGGTCCGTGGCGATTTTGAACTCGATTGTGAGGAAAATTGCGAGGCCCAGGGCCGAGAGGAGGAGGGGCAGGTATTGGATGTCTCCTGAAAGGCCGTAGAGGAACAGAGAGATTGTTAGGACCTAAGGAGTCAGCAGGCGTTCAGACATGGCATTAAAGGGGTGCGGAGGAGCTACCAGCATGAAGGCGCCCGCGTAGTCGATGCGGGCGAGTTTCTGTGTCACCGATTTGCCCTGCGTTTTCGTTTCCTGCTCCGGGTTGAGGGACTTGGGGATACTCAGAAAAGCGCCGATGCCGGCGAGAATGGCGATGGGCGTCTGGGCTGCGAAGAGAGCTCTCTGAACTAAAGTCAGTCTATCATTCAGCGAGCATTTCATGAGAAACCACGAACCCATCCGATGACTGGCAACAAAGCCCCATACACGACGGCCCCAAACGACAAGCCGATCGTGAACCCGGCGTTCACGAGCCCGACGAAGATGCCTCGCCTCTTCTTCCCAACCAGCTCGAGAACCAAGATGACGGACAAGGTCATGATCCCGGCGCCACCGGTCCCGGTCACGATTCTGCCAAAGATGAGGACCCAGAACGAGTGCGCCATGGCGGTCACGATGCCGCCGACGGCGAAGAACCCGCCGAGCGGCAGGACCAGGTTCCGGGGCGGGAAGATGGTCGCCAGACGGCCGATCAGGGGCGCCAGGGAGGCCATGCTGATGAGATACGAGCTCGTGAACCACATGGCGCCCTCGTAGGCGTGCAGCTCCTCGGCGATGACGGATTGGGTCATGGTCATTCCCGACGTGTTGGACGCTGGCAGCAGTTAGTGACATTGCGCGCAGTCTCCGGTGATGATGTAGAGATGGACGACCGACCTTGGAGGAAGATGAGCATCCAGACGCTGAGCATGAGAACGGCGGCGCGAGCCGTGCCGATGGACTGTTTAGGAGCGTCGTCATCCTCATCCTCATCGCCATCATCCGAGTCCCGGCCTCGGCGACTCCCGGCCGGGGATCCATTTCGGAGCGTTCGCGAGCTCGTCTCGGAATTCAGCAACGTTGTCGTCTCCGTGGCGATGACGTCTTCAGAGGATGCATCGGCATCGCCCTCTGCGTTCTGCCTCCTCCGAACAGGTGTTTCATCCGCCATTTTGGAGCATTCGGCCAAAATGCCCTTATCTCGGATTTTGCGAATGGAAGCTCGGAAATAGTGTTCCCATTCAGAAGAAGCTTCGGCGGGGTAGCTTTCTTCTCCTCACGACAGGTCGAAGCTGCTCAGAAAAAGAAGGAAACGAAGATGTCTATCAAAACTTAGACTAGTCGCACGTCACATGAGTTGCCTGAAGCCGCCATGTGTCTCGTAGGATGAGGTGCCGTTAGACTAGTGTCACATGGGTTGGGGATCGTTTATCTCGATGGTTGGTAATCAATCGGGCTTCTTAATTAGTAGCTAACACGAAGTAAAAGCTGCGTCAGTTGAGCGCAATTTGTGGAACGCCAGCCCCGCTTCATGCGAACAAGCTGGGAAACCGACCATGACCAATCATGCTCTTCTCGTGCTTCAACAAACCAACCTCCTCGACGTTCTCTCCATCAAATATGTGCTCGCGTGTCGGCAATTCCGTCTACTCTGTAACTTGCTTCAGACCGTCCACTTCGGCCCATCATCTGCCAAAATACTCTCTCGTGTTTTGTGAGGGGACAAGAAATCGAGGGCCCTGTTAACCTTTTCAGCCCGTGGGATTTTGAATGTCCGATCTTGTTCGTCGACCAAGTCCTTCAGAGCTTGATGAGTGAGTGCGTCCATAAGTCCGGCGGTGGCTACATTTGTTGGAATGTATATAGGCCAAGGTCTCCCTCCGTAGTGGTGTTCTTTGAAGACGCGGAAGCAGCATGATGATTTTGTGTCCTTGAAAATGCAGTTCGCGCAGACACCTCCAAACTCCCCGGGAAGCGAGACGCAACCAAGGTATGGCGCCATCATGGGCTCGTTTTTGTCGTTTCTTTCTTCCTTCCATTGTTTGTTACAATTGTTGCAAGGCTGTGTGTTTTGGTCTCCAAATCCCTGGATGATAAGACTTCTCAGGCTGTCATTTATCACCAGCGCCCATTTACCAAAGTTTCCAGCGTATTGGCGGGCGATGAAGACGCGTCGTGTGAAGTTCCCGTCCTATGAGTATTTCTGGATCAGAGAGAAAAGGAAATCGTCGTAGGTATTCCACAGGCGTTTTGTCACGTTTTGGAGAGTGTCTCCTTCACCGACAGAACTTCGAAACTTGACCTCGACGAAGGAGTCTTGGCGAGGATGCTGGAGCAGCCAGTAGGAGAAAGCAGCAGAAATCTATGAAGCTGTCAGCGACATCAGTCTATCAGTCAGGTATAAGCATACCATGCACTGCTCCCCGCAGAGGATAACCCAGCCATTCTAGTGCTCCGGTCTGCTGTCCAGTAGCCATAGCTTTGGAGCAGGGTCCGGCGTCGGATAACTGCGTACTTTGTCGCAAGTGTATCTCGCGTGCCGCCGCGCGATATTCCGGAAAGTCTTCCCCCCTGAGGTGGACATGGTGTCAGTATAGATGCAAGAAGTTAAGTTGGCTTTACGCGACGTTTTGAATGCTGTAGACGGGCTAGATATGGGGTGCTTTCTGTGATGCTGGTTCTTTATGGCGACCGATGTTGGTTTGAATGAAGTGAAGTCTAGCGTATCGAATCCAGCCCAAGAGAAATAGAAGAGGTATGTAGCCTTGTAGTGGAAGGAGGAAAGCGCCATCCCCACTGATCGGAGGTTCCTGTCTTCAACCTCGCACACTCCCTGCCTCTTTCCGACTGCTACTTGGGCAGCGTCGCAGACCAGCTGCTTCCTCGGCGTATTGCAGAGATGATGAGTAACGATTCTGTGAGGTAAGAGCGGGAGACTCAAGTTGGAATTTGGAAAGCGACGGACTACTCAATGGAAGGTGACGACAGAGGTTGAAATCAACATCTCCTAGCAAAATCACAGAGTAGTAGCCAACGGTTGATAAGGGACCCTCACCGTCCCAATGTCATGCATATTCTCGTAACGACGTTCGCTCAGCTTCAACGCCGTTCATTAACTAACGCCGCTCATATCAGAAACCCACATTCATACAAGCACGTACGCCCTACATGTAAAGTCCCGGAGTCTTCCTCCTCACTTACTGACCCGAACCGCTGTAATTCCAAAACATTCGTTCCATACGCCAACATCCGTGTCTCAATCAGAAGCATCGGGACGGATACCCCTGGGGCATCAAGTCGAAAGGCGCCGGCATATACCACGCGAGGCCGATGGCGAGGTTGTACGCCCAGCCCTGGCTCGGACCGACGCCGTCTTTGGTGTACAGTTCCTCGTGTTTCTCGACTGGTGCGTCCCGGGTCTTCTTTGAGCCCTCGCTGTTCTCGGAGGCATCGCGATGACGATGGAGGCGGAGGAGCCGGCGAACTCTGCAGCGGTGGCTCCGTATGGGCCTTGAATGAGACATCTCAATGGGGGTTTCTTCAGCGACCTCGAGTAAAGGTGCGTCTTCTGAGTGCCGAGTGTTCGCAATCACCATCTTCTCGTCAATTTCCTCGGCTTTTGTTGATATGCGATTTGGCGCGACTGCACAGGTACTCTTCTTATGATGCCGCCTTGTCTAATACGCGTGTAAGTGAATTGAAGGTTGCGATGTTCTGAATGTGAAACACTCACCATAGAAGTCGGCAGACGCGATCTTCTCTTCATGCGAACGACGGTCCCGTCTCCGGACGACGGGGCCGCAATGGCGACTTTTGAACTCCATGGTTTCTTCGCGCTCCAGCGCCGCCAAGAAGCCGGCCACGTCGGAGATGGCGGTCCTGCGTGGGATGTCGGCTGTTGTGGGATTGCGCAAACATGCATCTTGATCGCGACTTACACCGGCAGTCGGCGGGTGTCGTGCAATTGATATTGACCACACCACTTACAAACCACAATCGACGGAGACTAGATGCGGCTGACTTTATAAGTAATTCCCTGGGAGGGAAATGTCTCTGATATTGCCAGCTCAGAAGTATGACAGCGTGCCACTGACGTGAGAATCGAGCGGTGCCGATGGCATGGAAAGTTACACCAAGCCAGACTTCCCGGTAGACTCCCGCATCCTCCGCTGGATCACGGCCGACCCTTGGTCGCCGGCGCCATTAAACCTCGGCGCCACGACTCGGCCACCGCATACAGCTACCCCATTCAAAAGCACGCTGGCAAGCTTATTTTGCGCCTTCGATTCGTGATCGTAAACAAACTTCCTGACGAAGTAACCAGGCTCACCGAACTCCCCAACAATGACGAGTGAGCTGGCAACCGCGGCGACGGCATTGGGGCAGTCCGCCGCCGAGCAATTGAGCTCGCAAGCGGCGCACAAACAAGCTTTTTGCGGGATGCCCTTGCGAGTAAGCGATTACCACCTTGAACAACGATGATTACTTTTGTGGCCGGCGACTATGTGCCTCCTTTAGGAATATAAACCTCTGCCATGCATCCGACTTTTTGGTAAAAGACATCTCTCAACGCCGAATTTCCTTACCCCAACCCATGGTATATGTGTATGTCGCAAGCGCAATGTTCAAACTTTTTGTTCCCTCAACGTCAAGGCAGATCATCCACGTAGGCCAGCATATCCCTATGTTCGTCGCACAGCCTCGCAAACTCAAGCAGCAACCGCCACACGTACAACCTCATGTCCTCGCGCCTGAGAACCTTGTCCGCCCACTCCTTCCCCTGTTCCGCGATCCATCTCGCAGCGTCATCGCCCTTGCTCTTCCTGCCCAGAACTTTGTGAACGTCCCATTTAGAGGGCGCTTCGTCGTCGCCGTCGGTGAAGAAGTCCAGAACGCCGTAGAGGTCTTGGAATGTGTTGTCCAGCGGGACGAAATGAAGCCACGGCATCAGGCGGTCGTCATGCCACTCGGTGTACACCGTCGCCTTTAGAGGCACACTGGTCGACAGCATGAATGCGCGGAACCGTCCGCTGAAGCTGTAGCCGTCCGCGTCGGGGAGGAACTTGCTCGAGAATTGCTCTGCCATGGGCGTGGCGTTGACGACGGAGAGGTGCGGCGCAAGCCAGTCGCATTCCTTGTCGTGACTGGGCCCGCACGACAAGTGAGTAAACCCCACGTCCGCGAATCCCGAGAGAAAATCACCCAGACGCTTCTCACGACGGCGTGTGGTGTTGTAGCGTTCCAGGGGCGGCATGTCGAACGTCATGGCGCGGACGTCGTTGGCCTCCATGCCGCGGACTGTGGTGCCGTTGAGCATCTCGACGAGGCGCTGGCGGTGGAAGTGCATCCAGTTGTCCGACTGCGCGAGACCGCCAGAGCCGACACCGCGCCAGACGAGGCGGTTCAACTTGTCCGGCCAAGCAGGCCCATGGGAGGTACCGCCGGTGTAGGCCTCGTCTTCTGAGAGGTACATGGCGCCCGGGATGAGAATGTCCGAATTGACGCGGAGTTTGGAACCGCTGAAGATCGGAATGAGATCCTTGGTGGTGTTGACGTTCAACGGCTCGACAAAGGTTCCGTGGAGAGAGCGCAGGTGAGGCTGTACGCAGGGGTCTTGAGAGCTGGTGAAGTTTTGAACGTAGCCTTGCCGCGAGAATGGTGCTTGCCAGGAGTATGGCAGCGTCGGCGGGAGAGACAGGTCTGTTGCCGCGGGCACGTTTCTAGCTGGGGAGTCACCAGGGCAAGCCTCGCGAACGAGGTCCCAGTACTTGCGACGGTCTCCGCTTGTCCAACCCTTCGAGTACGGCTTGCCTCTCGCGCCATCGACAGCCGCCAGGCCCTTGAAGTCATTTGTTGCCTTGTTCTTGGTGGGCATCTTCCGGGCCTTCTCCTCCTTCGCCGCCAGTTTCTCCTTCTCCTTCCACGGCACCAGGAGGCGCGGCTCTTGCATATAATTGATGGGCATATCCACGTCCGGCAGATGTTCCGAAAACTCGGACACAAGCGCCGTCCACAAGTCCAGCCACGGCTCCTTGCCCTCCGTGTCTCCCTCGCCCACTGCCGTGCCGTTGCGTACCCGAACCACGTGCTCTCCCGCGTTCGCCTGGCCTGTGATCGTCTTCGCATCGAGAGCCCAGAACGGCCTCAAGTCGTCGTAGATACGGTCGAAGAACTCTTCGACCACAATCGCGTCGGTCTCGGCGGCATGGCGGAACCACTCCTGGAAGCCCGGAGGCGGGTGTCTGCCGCGGCGCTCCCGGTATCGCTGGGCGGCGTTGTGCAGCGTGCGGCTCCGTTTCTGGAGCACCGCATCTTGTCTCGTTCGCGCGTCGTGGATCAGCCAGTCTATCGGGTTCGCGTGGGCGTCGCTGGCGTTGAAGGGGTACTTGAAATAGTCGGTCGCTTCGCCGTCGGTGAACTTGATCGTAGAGGCTTTGGTGGCTATCGTGTCGCGGTACATGTAGGTGCTCGTCAAGATGAAGGTCAGGATGAACGTGACCAGGGCGCCTTTCAGCAGCGGCTTGACCGACCTGGTGGGCGGTCTGTTGTTGGCCTGCCACACCATGGCGACGACGATTTTCCTACCGACTCGAGCTTCAGGGAAAAAAGGTTCAGGTCAGGTCATCGAGGTGGTTTCGGGGTGCGAACAACTGCCCATGTTCGACACCAGCAACGATTTGTCCACAAAAGCAAAGACCAATTCTTCATCCGCGAATGGAGAAGGTCATAATTGCTTTGCGGGTTGCTTTCGTAAAAGACTACGCGGCTCTGGAACCCCTTTACCCGTGGATGCGCTGCAGCGACAAACCCTGGTTCACTTGACGTGGAGACATGATTGCTTGGTGGGGGAGATTGCGCCGAGCCACTTTAACTCTGGAAATTTGAACCACAGCTGTTGTCTGAGACTTGATGACCTCTAGTGAAAGAGGTGGCGATATTGAAAGGAGAGATGCTCTAAGATTTGAGCAGATGCGTTTGCCGAGTTTACATTTTCAAAGGTTTGTTGTCTGGGAGAAGCGCTGAGTTGCTTTGGCGGGAATGTTCCAAGCCTGGATATCATCTTAGTCAACATCCGAAGCTCGGGGCCGACGCGGTGCCCTACCCTATTTTCCGTCCGGGTCACTCTCCTAGAATTGTGGTCATTGAGGATTCCAAGGAGGTCAACTACTCAAGGAAGTAAGCCTATTTTTGTGACCAAGGAAACATGTTTTGCTGCTCTGAAGGTGCTCTCACTATGTCCGATTTGTATTAGACGTCAAAACCGCCTGTTGAAGTAGAGCAAAAGTATTCCACTGAGCTACCCGACTGCACGAACTGATGGCCGGACGAGTGCGAGAATGCGCAACAAAACTTCACTTCAGCTTGGGCTTAGACATATCATCTCAGATCGACCTACTGCCTACATTTGCACTTCTGATAAGCTACAATCTAGGACACGAATACAGACGCTGCCTCTAACATGACTTGGAGATTATCGTTTCTAATTTCCCCTGCCTTGGATGCCACAAACTTGTCAAGTAGCCACCGATAATTCCAGATTAAACCGGCGGTAGCAATATATTCGGCAGCAATAACCACCGACAACCGTAGTTTTAGTGTAAGGCATCAACTTACACACAACGGTCGAACATTGGGATCGTGCAGTCACCGATGACACGTCGATTAGACCTCCGGGATGTCTAGCTGTGCCACTAAGATAACGACAAACACACGGCTTCGACTCTGGAATATGGACAGAACAGACCGAGAGTGGCAACTACACTGGAATAGCTGATGATAATCCAATAGAGAAATTGATGCAAGAAAAAGTCTACAATCGTTCACATCAATGACCAAAAGGTAACCTCACACAACCCCCACAAGCTTACCTAACCGCCCTCCTCTTCCCCCCAAAACCCGTCAACGGAGCTCGGACCAGCCCGGCCCCAAATCGACCAATCACAAGCTCCGTAATGCAATATTAGCGAACGCCCGAAAAAGAAGAGGCGAAAACCATCGACGACGTCGACTACTGCCGAAGCATCATCACCACTCGAATTCCCACCCCCCGTCCTCCCGCAGGCCGACCGCCCCCCCCGCCTCCCAAACCAACAGAAACCTCTCCACTCCGTCGCCAATCGAATCTCCATTCTCTTCGACCTACAACACATCCTCAACCACCTAAACGATAGAAACAATGCTTTCCTCCACGAGGACAGCGGCCTCCATGGCCCTGCGAGGTAAGCTCTCCTCCTCCCCGACCAGAACGAAACCCGACCGACCGACCGACATCGACCGCCACCCCGCGACTCAATTGGCATCCCGCGACGGTTCACGAATGGAAGGGAGCCATTGGGATGAATTTGTGTGTGTACGTGTAAGGAACAATGGCTGACTCCGACTGTCCCATCCAGCGAGACCGACCGCGTCCCTCATGCCTCTCCGCGTCGCCGCCGCCTCCATCCACTCCTCGTCACGAAAGGACGCCAGCTCCGTCACGTCGCACTCGGCCGGTGGACTCATCAAGAAGGACCGCAAGGAGGTTCCCCTGCCCAGCCAGGAGGGCACCAAGGGCGTCTTGCAATATGCTCTGTACGAAACTCTCTCCCCGTGTCCTCAACCCGATATCTCTATCTTCTTCAATACTACCCGACGACGTTCACGCATCAAAAACAAGCAAACACTAACCCTCGCACTCACAGCTCTTCCCTCGACGTAATAACGAACTGGGCCCGCCAGTCCTCCCTCTGGCCCATGACCTTCGGCCTCGCCTGCTGCGCCGTCGAGATGATGCACCTCTCCACCCCGCGCTACGACCAGGACCGCCTCGGCATCATCTTCCGCGCCTCCCCGCGCCAGTCCGACGTCATGATCGTCGCCGGCACCCTCACCAACAAGATGGCCCCCGCCCTCCGCCAGGTCTACGACCAGATGCCCGAGCCCCGCTGGGTCATCTCCATGGGCTCCTGCGCCAACGGCGGCGGCTACTACCACTACTCCTACTCCGTCGTCCGCGGCTGCGACCGCGTCGTCCCCGTCGACGTCTACGTCCCCGGCTGCCCCCCGACCTCCGAGGCCCTCATGTACGGCATCTTCCAGCTCCAGCGCAAGATGCGCAACACCAAGATCACCCGCATGTGGTACCGCAAGTAGATTGCTTCTTTGGATGGGCTATGGGCTCGAGAGGCAAGTGGTTGGAGGGCTAGTGGTAGTGGTGGCGATTGCGGAAGTTGTGTGGCTTTGCCTGGGATTGGTTTCCCCTTGGAATTTTAGAAAAGAAACAAGAATGGCAAAAACGAGAGAGCAGCGAGAGAGAGAAGGCTTGATTTACACATCTCGCCACACCAATCGGGGGGTAACCCGGGGAGGTGGGCTTCTTTTCTTTTGTATGCGTGTGCGAATGTGTACATATGCGGAGGATCCATTCGGCGCGGTAGAGTGGCCGCGGATGGATTGTAGATTACAAGTTCTGCTTCCATGATCATTTCCAATGCCTGGGTTTTCGCTGTCACGTTGTGATTGTGTAGTTTTAAGTGTAAGTACTGTGAATTGAGAGTGTATCAAGACCAGAGGTTGGTATTCGAACCATGAGTTGCATCAGAAGACGACGTTGGCACCTCTATCCGAAAGGGAGCGGCTACCACAAATCCCTCAATGCCACGCGCCAGTAAGGTGGCCCACCCCTGATTCAGCACCATCTCAACTCAATAGGGCAGAAAGCACCGATTCGCAATCGTACAAGGCAGGTATCCAAGCTCATATATGTATAGGACTATATATCTGATGCGGATTCCGTACTTGAGCGTGTGATGCCCCGTTTTGAAACAAAAGCGTCCGTCATCCCATAGCAAAAGCCCGCCGCATCCTTATCTTTCGCCCTTGGAGGCTCCGCGCGACTGCCCCGTCCTCCGAGGGCAGGTATTATCTCCTCGCTGCGACTTCACTTCCGCAGATGTCTAGATTCTCAATGCAATTTCGCCGCAACCCCGGCCTCGAGGGTTTGCGCACCATACGGGCCTGCTCGTCAACGCTCTTCTCATCTTTCTCTCCGACTTCAGCATCTCACTTCCCGCAGCCCTTCACTTATAGAAAGGAGAAAGAGAAGGTTTATTCCAAATATCCCTAACCGCACGCCGAACTTCCGAATGAATTTGATGCTGCAGAATTCCACACAAACGACAGCTCCGGGGGCCGGTCCCTTTCCATGACGCATGACCATAAGGCACGATACTGACAAGTCTTCAGTCAACGTCGAAACCGGGTAACAATAAGTAAGGATCGCAAGTCTTGTGCAAACATTGGTTGCCGTCTGACAGAAGACGACCGTAACGTTTATTCCTGGCCGAAACCCATCGTCTCCTCGACGGCAATCGTGAGCTTCTGCTGCAGCATCTCCAAACTCTTATACGGAGGCAGGTCCAGACGGTTGAAACTGAAACAGTTAGCGATTGTGTTTTCTTGAGGGATTTGATATCCAACTTACCATGTGTGGGCCTTGGGAAGGTTGTTGATCTCACCCGCCTTCTCAATAGTGAACCTTCTCGGTCCGTCACTTCCTTGCAAATCCTTGAAACCGTTGACCGGAATACGCGATGTACCGGTAGCAAATTGGAGCAGACGCGACTTCTGCTCTCCATCCCATGAGCGAATCGTCTGCCAGAAGAACTGAATAACCTCATCCGACTCAGTGTATCCACGGTAGTCGGTGTGCTTCTTCCAGTCGTCGACATCGATCTCAGCAATACCACCAATGAGCAACTCAAGCTCACGCTCGTCGAAGACGTTGACCAGGTCCTGAGGGATAAGCTCGTGGAAGCCATCCTTGAAGGCCTGGAACTGCTCCGCAATACGCTTCTCGATTCTCCACTTGACCATGAGGTCAACGTACTCCTTCTTGTTCTCGTTCGTTACGTCGATGTTGCGTCCGTTGGGAATGAGATCCTCGACGGTCATAACGCCGAAGCGCTCATCTTCCGTAGAGAACGTCTGCTCGAGAATACCGCCTGAGATGTCGTTGTCCAACATCCACTGGAGGGATCGGTGGAAGTCGGCATCCACACCCTCCATGTCGGCAAGTACGACCGACTTGCCGAGAATCATCTTGTACAGAGCACCGATGAAGAAGGCATCGAGGAAGCGACGGTGGAAGATGGCCAAACCAACAACACGGCCGATGAACTTGAAGTAGTTCAGATGCTCGGGGTTGATTCCAGAGTGGGGGTTGATCTGAAGAGTGTAGTTGTCGTGGGCGGAGTACTCGAAAAGACAGTAGAAGGGGTTGAACATTTCGTGGGAGAGCAGGAAGAAGAACTCTCTGGACAGACCACCGTAATCCAAACCATCTTCGCCATCAAACTTGATCATTAAACGCTTCTTCAAGTCAGTAGCAGATTGCCGAGTAATTTCGGCAAAGGAGTCCTCGAAAATGTGGGATCGCCGGACCTTGATATGGCATTGGCCGGACAAAATGCGCATAGCAGGTTGCGAGCGGAAGTAAATGAGCTTCCTCCTGAAGTCTCGCTTGTACTGAGGCACATTCTGGTCCAGGGACGACGGCAAACGGGGGTCGTCCCACGTCGTCGTCTTTGTGTTGTGATCCACGAAATACACCCTGGCAGTGTTTGTGAGACGCATCTCCCAGCCGCTTGGCAAAGGTCCCAATTGGGATACGGGCTGTTGCTGGATAGTCCCGTTCTGGTTGTTCTGACCGCCGTACATACGGATGTACTGTTGGCGACGGGGGTCCACCCACGTGGTTGTCCTGGTGTTGTGGTCCACAAAGTAAGGCCTTCCTTCCGGTGTCCACCTCTGTTCCCATCCAGGCGGCAGCTCGCCGGTGCCAGGACTAGTAGCTCCAGTATGCATCATCGTAGCATTGTTCGCGTTCTGAGTGGCTGCCGTCTGCTGGGCTTGCAGCGTCGGCGAGTTCGCACCGGTTCGGTCCTCGGGCAGGGTTCGGTTCTGGTGTCTCTGGCGCTCCACTTGGGTCGCGGCCTCACGGTCGTTCCTCTGTTCAACAGCTCCAGCAGCAGTAGGTCTGTTCCAGCTCGTGGTTCTCGTGTTATGGTCGACATAATACGTCCGTCCAAGGTTATCCTCCCGACGTTCCCATCCCGCTGGCAATCGACCCTGGGCGTCCTCGAAGGGGCTGAGAGCACTAGACTGTCGCGCCGGAGGAGGAGCCCCGTTAGCAGCCGGCGGCGGGCCGCTGGAAGTCATACTGGCCGGGCGATGTGGCAGGTTAACCTGGGAACCGGGCGCCGGAGTCCCGTTTGAAGCGCCCATGGCGGATCCCGGTCTGCCATCCTGCGCTGGAGCGGAAAGCGACGAGACGTTGGATCCTTGTGCAGGCGGGACAAGAGAGGGACGGCTGGATGAAGGCGCTCCAGCCCTCGCAGGTGTGGAGAGGTTCGTGGAAAGGTTGATAATTAGTTTGCCGTGAACGACGAGGTTATCGGTCGATTTCTTCAGGTCTCGCGTGAGCATCTGGTCTGTACGACAGGAGTCCGGTTAGCCAAGTGTTCCGCAATATGAAGCAAATCTAAGGGGGTGGAAGGGCGTTACCATCAGCGTCTGGTGCCAGTTCGATAACATCGCCAATTCTAACGTTAATAACGCCGAGAAATCCTTGATCCTTCTTCTTGAACTTCTTTTGGTCAAAGACTTGAACTGCGAGGATGGTGTCCTCATTCACATGGCTGTGGTTTGTCAGCAACGTCATTCTGCGCTCATATCCAAATGGCTACGCACAGATCGAAGCTCTCGTTCCAGTATGGGTTCAGCGTTCGCTTTTGAGCCGTCGTGGTCTTGGTCTGGTCTCCGTTGACGGTAATGACGGCGAAGGGATCCGGAAACCCTGTCACAAGAGTTAGTCTGCTTGTTCGAGCATTGGGGTTATCACGACTCAACGTACGGAAAACATCTCGCTTGTAAAGGCCGTCGGCGGCGATGACTGTGTCGAGGTTAGTAATTGTTGATCGAGCGCGGGGAGACGGCGAAGGGATGACGAACTCGTTACTCGGAGGTTGGGCTTGCGGCTGCGGGTAAAGTCGTTAGCTATGACGGATGGTTCGAGTTGGAGGCCATCGATGAAACACAATCGATGGAGGCCTGTCCGGATGAAAGGCACCAACACTCACTTGGGCTGCCCGGCATCGTTGCGGGAGGAACTCATTTCGTCGCGGGATGTCCAGCGACAACGGTATCGACTCCCAGAATATTCGTCGTGTCCAGACGAAGGTCGTTGGGTATTTGGAACTAGTGAGGGGTTACGGATGATCTGCGGAACTTGTTTGAGGATAACCGGTCGTGGTCGTTATCGGGTAGGATTGTTGTCGGCCACGGGATGCACGCGGCGAAAATGGATTGGTGAAGGTGAGGTAATCCGAACGGGATTGACGTTGACGACGACGGCAAAGGCAGAGCTGAGGCTGTGCTGTGCTGTGCTGTGGTCTGCAGAAAACCCCCCGCTTCGAGTAACCAAGTGGGCTGGGTTTTTGGGGGCCTTGGGGTTCCTCGGGGCTGCGGTGGATGATAAGGTGACGCGGCGGCGGGCGGGAAGACCGAGCAAAGGGCCAAGCCAGAACGGCACGGCTAAGAATACTGGGCTGGGTATCGAACCAGCGATGGGTGGGAGAGGAGCGAGGGGAATAGGTTGTGGTTCTCGCGGTCGACGTCGCTGCGGTGAGAGACGGTTTTCGCCGGGTGGATTCGTATGTTGCGAAAGGAGGTTGGCGATGGGAAGACAGGACGGCGGGAGTTTGGTGTTTTGGTAGTCGCCCCCGTCTGAGCGCTTGTCAAACGGTACAGAGGAGGAGGATGTGTGTGTGGGAGTGGATTTTGTCTCCGGTCGGAAGTGCGCACGCAGTAAGGCAAAGAAGGTTGTTAGGTGAGGTGCGGGAGGTGAAGTAGGAGGTGGGTAGGCCGGGTTGGCTGAAGCGGCGAACAATGGAACAGGCAGAGAGAGGAAGTACCTTGGCCCGGCCCGCAGAAGCCCAAGAGCTGGATGTACCTTACCTGCTCCTGTTAGGTCGGGTATGTAAGGTATGTCGAGCACCTCAGTATTTGGAACAGGCGCAGTGGACAGGTTGTAGCGGCAGCAAACCAGTGGTATGGTGCAGACGGCGAGTCCAGGTGAGTTGATGCAGCTAATAACAAGGCAAGAATACCAAACTGGCTGTGCAGATGGCGAATTCAGTTCCTTCTTCCAGGTTGTTAGGCCTCGGCGGGGCTTCGAAGTCACGATGGTGTACCCACTGACAGAAAGATACAATTTGGACGAGAGACTTTGCAACTGGGGTTTGATGTTTGCATGATGTCTGTATGTTCTGCTACTGCTAATAGCACATTGCTAGCTAATTACCTCTCATCATGGACGCACACAGAAGAGGGGTTGTTCTCGGAATAGGTACTTGAGCATTCCAGAGCAGGTTAGGACTGTAGATTAATGTGTGGTATGTATGGCTGACCATTGTAAGCTGCTGAGGCTGGTGAGATACCCAAGGTACGGCACAGGCATTAGATGACTCGGGCAAACAATGCTGTTGGTTGATGATGGGCATTTGCTGCACTAAACATGCTCCCAGTGTTCTGCAGGCTGCATTCCACGTTCTCGGCGTCTATTCATCTCCATCTCCATCTCTGTCTCTGTCTCTTGGAAAGCGATGATTCTCGACACACTCGTCCAATGGCCTCGGGATCGCAGTCGAGTCGAGTTCCACCTCCCGTTGGCCCCTGCCCTCCAGTCCCGTCTCCCGTCTTCCTGGTTTGCCTCTCGTCTCCCTCTTCCCGAGCTCGCGGGTGTCATGTCCTGTACCTGACGTAGTGCCTCAGAAACAGGTCGACTGCCCCTCCCTGCTCCTGGCACCTACCATCCCGTGTATTGAGGCAGTCCACGCAATCCACGCAAAACGAGTGACAACTGATGCGAAGCAAGCACCTCACCTTAAGTCACCTAACCGGAGCTGTGTTGTGGCTGGTGTTTTCAAGTCTCACCTCTCGCAATTCGAGGCACAGGAAATGGAGCTCAGCTCAGCTTCTCGTGTGTGGCAATGCATCAGCAATCTTCAACTCACCTCAGACTACGGATACCTCCTGCAAAATCGTGACAGGCCACCGACTGCTAAACACTGTTCCCAATGGCGTTTCATACTCATGGACGTCCTCAATACTTCCGATCCCCTTGCCTGACGTGACCCTACCTTTACTTTCCCCCAGCCAAGCAAAACCAGGTACATCATGTTTGCCCACGGTACCATCCGATATGTGTACCTTACCCTGACGATGCCCTGCCGTACTTTCTGCTAGCAGCAGCACCGCCCACGATTGCTTGGGAGGCCCCTCAGTTCGGCCCGTCGTCAAAGATCTAGAACCTGACCAAGCATCTCAGCGAGCGAATACCAATCGTTACATAATCCCTCTGTGCTCTGTGGCGAACATCCAGCATTCCCGTCCTCCAGAATTTTCTACGATCCATTACAGATAGATGACATGTCTTCACTAATCCAGAGACGCATTTTCTCACAAACGTTAGAAAGCAGACCCTAGAATCCAACACAAGCCTCTGGCCAAGGCCAAGACAAATAATGTACCGACAACGAACCCAAACCAGAAACAGCGCATTGTTGCTCGTCCCATCCACCCCCGAACCTCATGCGCCGCCCTCCCATCGACAGGCAAGCGAACCCCCAAAAAATCAACCCCCCGTCCGGTCCCAGCGTGCGAAGAGCCCAAGAGAGAGAGCGCGCGCGCCCTTGGAATCAAGGGCATATCCGTACTGAAGATCAAATCGCCCTTGGCATGATTGTCGCCCGGCACGTTCAGTCCGTTCCCCCCCTGCTCCATCCTCATCCTCCAGGCCCTCTTCTTCTTCCTCTCGCCGGGCTCCATCCATCCCATCCACGTCCAACCGCGCCTTACCTTCGGCGACAGAACCTCGCTCGCGCGTGCCATAAATAACACAAACTTGGCCGAATGAAGACATTCGTCCTATTCAAAAGTACCAACCCTCCTACGAGAGACTCGAAAAGTAGAGAAATATCAGCGGAACTGCCAATGAGAATTGATTTCGCGGCTGCGACATCACATATAATAGGAAGCACGTGCCGCAGTCACGCTTCACTCTGCATCAAATCCTCGGCGTGAAAAAGGACACCATCTCCCTGTCCTTTCTCGAGCCCGTCGATGTCTTTGCCTTCGCCTTTGCCTTTCCGGCGGCAAGGCAGCCCAGGGATTGAGGCCTTCCAAGCAGCCCGACGCACCCAATCCTGGGCCGTGTGTCAGCTGGCGGATGGAGACTCCGCGACATGTCAGCGACCTCGTCCGGCAACTTTGCGCCCGGGTCGGGCGACCGTCGTGGGTCACGAGCGGAAGGGCGGCACCGCTAGGCTCGTCTGCAGTGTCCTGTCTCGCAGGGTAGCGTCCCGACACTGTGGATTACACGCGATCGATCGCTTGGTGTTTTGGGGCTGCTCGACGTTCCGTTGACCCCTGTTCGACGATGTTTACATAAGTTGCTGAAGCTGCTGCTTAGCGTTGTGACGGCCTGCCATGTGCTGCAGTTATCACCACTCTGGGACCCGTTCGAGTGAAAGCTCGTTTTCTTTGCTACAAGATCTAGTCCGCGTCCGCTCTCTTGATGATCACTTCGGCTCGGATGGGGGACTAAAGAAACTGAAAACGCATCGACTCTTGATCGTTGAGTCCTGACCTATCCCTAAACGCCATAAGAAGCTTCCCTTGCCTCACCGGATCCTGTATGGTACAATCAAAGTGCAGTCCTATCGCCGCCCGAGACCTTACTGCATCGGAACCTCGCTGCGAGGTTTGGATGGATTCACTCCAGGCACCTAGTACGGTGTGAAGCCTCCTCTTCCTCGCCCACGGTATCCTCCGCGGTAACCTCCTCTGGGAGGGAAACCGCCGCGTCCGAAGCCGCCGCCGCGACCTCCACGGAATCCACCACGGCCGCGGCCGCGGGACATACCAGGGATGTTGGTGCGCTTGGGGGTGACCTTGATGTTGCGGCCCTTGAAGACGCTCTCGTTGAGGACGAGAGCTTGGGCGACGAGGGCGGGCTCGGTGAACTCGACGTACGCGTATCTGTTCAGAAGCACGTTAACTTTGCCGCCGTCTTTTTGGCATACCGGGATTAACACGTACCCCTTGGGCTGTCCGCTAAACTTGTCCAACAGGATGGTGACGCGGTTGATGGAGCCACAGCTCTGGAAGTGAGCCTGAATCTCCTCGGGAGAGGCCGAGTAGTCGACGTTGCCGACGAAGATGCTGCGACCATCGACGTCTCCCTTGTCGTCAGACAGGTCCTCGTTCTGCTGGGCGAGGGTTGCTTGCATCTCGCGGAGCTTAGCAGCCTCCTCTTCCATCTCGGCGACGCGTCTCTTCATCGCCGAGATCTCCGCCTACGATTTTTATGCTGGTCAGTCTAACCTCCTCTTGCTATGCGAAGGCCAATGGCGAGAAAACGGCTTTCTCTCTGCGCACCTCATCGTGACCGTCATCGTCCGCGACGCTTTTGTTCTCGACGCCGTGGTCCTCCACGGGCTTCTCCTCGGGCTTGACGTCCGACATGGCTATGATTCCTTGGTTGAAACGGAAGTTACGATCGCTCGCAGAAGCCTGTGTGGATAGAAAAGAGATGGTTAGTGATGTTGCGAAAAGCTAGCAAGCTGAACCGTGCGACGAGGCAGAGAATGGAACGCGCCAGTGAGGTAAGGCAACCAGCAGCCTTCCAGGTTGGGAGGGGTTCCCTAGCTGATGCTGGGCTGGCTCCTGCCGCCATTATGCCGCCAAGGTAGGGAGGGTAAATGCACTTACAACTGAGGCAACTGCGGACAAGCTCTTGCCCTGCGTTGATGGAATAGTAGCAGCTTGTGCAGAGGGACGTTTGAAGCCGATGGCGAGACGATGGTGCAGGTTGGGTCCAGATGGTCGACTTGCAAGGGAGAATCGGCCACAGTTTAGCCGGTGGCGCACCGATAAGACCTAGTGATAAGAGCTCTCGTAGCTGAATCGCGACACGAGATCCGGCTAGCTGATGTTGTAGAGAAGAAGTGCGTAGATGAGAGATGAAAAGGTTTCTGGAAAAATATATACGTATTGACTCTGATGCTGGAGATAGAGTAATCGCGGATGGGCAAAAGTCAGTCCAGCCCTGCGAGCACTTTTGAAGTTCCAGGCGACTGGCTGCCTGGCGGGTCGCGGAGCTCACTGAACAGCTCCCGTCACCCACCTCAGTGCAGGAAGCAAGGTCTGGCAAGGTGCCTGAAGCCGATCAAAGATCTCGGGAGGGTCCGCTTCACTCGAGCCTTTCACAGCATACGTTTACCAGCTATTATCCTCACCTTCCTGAGTTGCATCCCTTGCTTGGGTCCTATTTGTTTCAACACAACCTCCCTGGTAAATCAACAAAACTAAGTCGTCGATTGCCGCCCAAGGCGGTGGACGCTTCGTCAATGGCAAGCCGTGAGCTCTGGGGCACAAAGGAGACATGTTTAACCATGGCCTTTGGGGCTTTGTATCATCAGTTGGTTTACCAGCCGCCTTCTCTCGTCTCTAACCATGTCTTCGGTCGTTTCTTTCGTCCTTCGTGGTGTCCCTTACTTCCTCCCACACCTTAATCTATCTGCGAGTCAGCATCTTTTCGGCTTTCGAGGCGGACTAACTCTTTATTCAATTTTTCAAGCATCGATTCTACGCCAGACCTGTCCGGCATGGCAAACTTCAATATTCATCTCCCGTTGGATTCGTTGCTCGACCTTACGTCACGCAGGACCCTGGCCACGTTACATTACCAATGTCCACAGGTGCTGTCATAGCGGGGGAACGTGTGCTGAACCAAGCAACTCAGCAAGCAGACCGCCGAGCCACTCCCTCAACACGGTCAGGTCATTAAAGATGGACGGCCAGCTCTCGTTGATCCCCGTCCCCGGGATCGCCTATCCTCCGTGACAGCTCCGGCGAGCGATCCACATCCTGAGTCTCGGAGGGATCAAAGACCACAGAAGAGCCGGCTTTTAAACACCAACCCGGGGCTTTTCGGCGCGACGATAACCGACCACCCTCCCTTTCGGGACCGCTTAGCCGGACTTGAGGTCTCGTCGCAAGGAGGCTCGCAAAAGGGCAGCCCGCCAAGGTTTGGTGCTGTACTTAGTCAGCCCCGGGTCCTGTTGTCGTCGCCCACGTGTGACGTCGCTGACCACCGCGTCAGCAGCACCGCACCGGCGGCACCCGGCACCCATCTTGGCTCTTCCTCAGCCTTTTCGATTTTCTTGCGCGGGCAAGGAAAAAAAAACGAAGGGTCCCTCGTCCGGATAGGCTGCGATCACATCGCTTCGCCTGTGCCGCCCGGGAGAAGGCTACACCACATAATCGCAGCCCGGTTCCTGGTTGTTTCCATCGTGCGCCGGTATTCTGAATGGTCGAGTCCGTTTGAGACCAAACCATGGCGACCGACACCGACGACGACGAGGCCATCCGGCCTCTGCTCTGGAGCTTCAGCGGGTTCCGCGAGACGCACAGGCCGGCGCCCCTCAGGCGACACCTCACCGAGTCCCGCACCAGCCTCAAGGACGTCCTGGGGTCGCGGGCGAAGCATTACGTCGTCCTCGCGCTGGTGTCGCTCGACGTCGCGACGCTGCTGGCCAACATCTTCGTGGAGCTCGTCGCGTGCGACATGAAGCGCGAGGACGAGCCCTGGGTGCGGACCACGCGGCAGGGCCTGACGACCGCCGGACTGGTCTTCAGCTGCCTGTTCATGGCCGAGCTGATTCTCTGCGTCGTCGCGTTTGGTCTGCGGTGAGTTTCTTCCAAGTCTAAACCCTTCGAGTGCGCACAACGTCTGACAGAAATACTAGATATTTCTCCGACTGGTTTCACCTCCTTGACGGTACCGTCATCGTGGCTTCTTTCATTATTGACGTCCTGTCACACGGCATCGTCGAGGAGATCGCATCGCTTGTCATCGTATTCCGTTTGTTCAGGTTCGTCAAGGTGGTGGAGGAGATGAGCATGGGAGCGGCGGAGAGGATGGAAGGCCTCGAGACGCAGCTGGAGGCTCTGAGGCGAGAGAACGGGGAGATGAAGAGGCAACTCGCACGGCGGTAGTCCTGAGATACGTCTGGTTTTCTGGCGGCGCATGTAATTGTTCTCGTGCCTGTCGAGTAATGTGTTTAATGATAATGAATTATTTTTGGCACGACAATGAAGAAACCCCAGGCCATTTCGAGCGCTGTGGCTTTTCTTTAGTCGACGACCGTCGTCTGACGAATCGGATGCGGTTGATCTGTCTTTGACCTAAGCCCACAATCGCATCGCAACATACTCGGGAAACGTTTGAGATCTAATCGGTAGCCTCCCGACGCTGATCGTCTGTACGATCCCGAAGCTTTGTGCGGGCCGGAAAGCGCATGGGTATATCGCCAACCTGCGGATATCCGTATGCGTAAACCAACGTTGATATTGAACAAACAGAGCGCCGTCTCGCATCTTCTACAGTCTGCACGGCGGCGACATACGGTTGTCCCACTGACAACCGATAGAAAACCGGCGAATATTTGACATCTCGATCCAACCACCCCATGCCTCACCCAGATTCGTCACGTCTCGGCCGGGTTCGGTGGCAGCTGCAGCGGGGAGAGTTACAACGTCGCCGGAGGCAGCCTCCGGCGATGCAACGCCAGCCGCCCCGCGGCAGCTACTGCACCACCTCGTATTGCGCAGGTTCGAAAGATGGTCTCCGTGTCTCTCTCTGCGTGTGGTGGTTGGTTTGTGAGACAACTCTTCCCCTCTCCCAAAAAGCTGCCTGAGAGGAGAAACACTTCTTCTGCATGAGCGGATACCCCGAAGGCATGCAAAGGAACAAGAATAGAAGCGGCTGTGGATGGGAAGGGCTGGGAAATCGCGCGCCGTATCGTCAGCGACGGGCCAGGCCTCCGAGATGTACGAGGAGGCGAGAACAGGCGACTTGTTGTTATTCTTTTTTTGAAGGCTGGCGAATTTTTACGGGATTCGCTCTCTTAGCGTGGCCATGTCTCATGCTGCGTACGATGCCGCGACAGCCTGGAGAATTGCCATCTGAGCTACCACCACAACTGCAGTCAGTCCATTCTCATTCTTATTCTTATGCTTGATACCTTATCACAATATCGAAGCGAGGCGGGCTAGAAGAATCATAGCGGATATAACCATAATCGTTGAACGGCGAATCAGGACGAACAGAATCTGTGGAGCGCGACCAGTGTTCGGACCAAGAAAACAGGACTCGACACGCGAGTCACAGACCTCCAACCCGAGGCAATAAACAATGGCCGGACCATTTGAGCAGCGACGTGTATCCAGGAAAATGCCTTCCCCAAAGAAGACACGAAGAAGAAGAAATCCATTTCGAGGCTGACGACCCTGCTATTCCTTCACCATCTCGCAGCCCCGTGCGTGACCTGCATCAGGACCGTCAAAGCTCACATGTAAAACACCAGACGACAGGCGACGGCGGCGGCGTCGTGTTAGATCAGACGTGTCTGTCTGCCTATCTTCCTGGTGAGAGGATTGAAGGACAGTTGACGTCGAACGAGATGCAATGCAATTCCAACAACCTCCCCATCCATCCGCGGCATGCCGCCACGGACGGCACTTGCATCTCGGTGTAACCCATCCTTCGAGTCCTTCCACACCCCCCCTTGTCCAATGTTTTTGGTGCAACCCGTCTTGACGATTTTCCTTCTCTCAGTTCTTGGCCCGGGAAGAAGAAGAAGAAAAAAAGGAACCAGGGGCTCGGTCCCATGTCCTGACCAATCAGCCGACTGCCATATGGGGGCCTACCCCCCTAAGATTAGACTTCATCTCGACGTCCGGGCCCCATGGATGTCTCCGTTGTGGTCCGTTTTTCTATTGAACCTCGTCTCCGTCTGCCGTGATTCACTGCTGGATTATTCCTTCCGTTTCGGTCAACGAATGCATCATCAACTTGATGGGCGGGTTGCATTGGCAGAGCAATATTCTCGGTCGAAGGAGCAACAAAAAAGGGTGACGAGGCAGGCGTGCAGTCTAGTCTCAGCCCTGGATCGTCGGTTTCTTTGCCAACAATCTCTAGGCATTCCCTTTCCCTCGCGCCCTTCCACACCTCCGTTTTCCTTGTCAAAGAAAAGATGTCCCAGGAACAACCCGTTCGAGTTCTTCAGAAACAAAACCCGCCCGCCCTTGTGAAGAAACACCCAAAGAAAAAGGGCTGCCGCCGCCGAAGCGCGGTGCGCACAACGGCCGTCCTGCCCGTCCCTCCCGCAACCTTTGAAGCAGGGATTGGACGGACATTGTTCCCGTATCCTTTCTTTCCAAATCGTAAAAGTGGGAAGATATCAATCAAGCGGGGGATTATGAGCAGGGACGGCAAAGTCACAAGGGGAACTCGGGGACTCGAGGAGTCGAGGAGTCGAGACTCCAATCTCGCCCGTCTTTCTCGGTTCCAGCATCTGATTCCTCTCAGATCATCTGTCTGATTCACTCGCGCCGTCTCGATGCCTCCTCCTCTTGCCGGGGGGCTTGACGCCATCACCAATGTCCCCGAACAACCCACCTCACACTCCCGTCTCCTTTTCTTCCTGCAATAACTGCTGCAGGTAGGGTACTCCGTATCGCACCACACCACTTCTTACCTGCAATCGCGACTGCTACCCTCCCATGATCATCTCCATCACAGTCAAGCATCAGCGACGGGCCACTGACAAAAACAATAGACCCCTGGGAGGGACCCGCCCTCAACCCGGTCATCATCTCCTCCTCCACTCGCGTTGGTTCCTCACCCGGAGAAAAAAGCCCTCTTTTCTGTCTCTCTGTCTCTCTCTCAGCCTCTCCTGGTCCTCCTCCGGCCAGCCCATTCGCGAAACCCAGCGGCGTGCGCCACCATTTTCCCTCCTCGGCCTAGTCGAACGCCTTCCCCCTTCTTCCACCCCTTCTGCTTCTGCGCGATCCCTCCCCCGTCTTGCTGCACTACCATAGTACACTACCCACCCCCAGTACGAGATGCAGCTATCAAGTAGCCTAGCGTAGTGTCGCGGACGCGGCGAACGCTGGTCCCAATATCCACGCCCCCCAGAATATCACACACACGAAAATACGGATACAACGTTTTGTGATGGAAATTGGCCTTGCCCGTTCCTCCCCAAAATTTACATTAATATTCGCTTCTTGCCCAATTCCCACCCATTCCATCTCTCTCTCTCTTCTCCCTTCCCTTTCCCATCCCTCTACCGTAATAGCCTCCACGAACCCACAAGTTGGAATCAACCAGACAGCTTATTCCCGTCAACCCAATCCCTAATAAGCATCTTCAACTTCCTCTTCGAGGTTCATCAAGTCACTCGCTACACGACCACAAAACCAAAGTCTCGCCCGACTTACACCACATTCGTTGGATCAAACCACACCAGTCGTTACTCGGATCTATACCACGACCACACCAAAACCTCTTAATACTCATCCGAAACCGCTTCCTCCAAAACCAACCGTCAAGATGAAGTTCCTCCTCCCCATCACCCTCCTCGCCGCCGCCGTCGCCGCCCAGACCACCGCCGTCTCCTCCGGCGGCACCGTCAAGTGCGACGCCGAGAACATCGTCGAGACCTGCCTGCAGTCCGAGAACGCCAAGGTATGTCCATACTCACGAAACTCAATTCTTGAGGCTCTCGATATCCCAAGCCCTCATATCCACCAAACCTGAACCTTGCTAACACACACCCCCCTCCAGGTCCAAGCCTGCTCGCCCACCGACTACGACTGCCAGTGCGCCGCCTACCAGGCCGTCGCGACCTGCTACAACAACTGCCCCAAGGACGTCCGCGCCGCCCCCGCCCAGCAGCAGGTCGGCATCTACTGCCAGCAGGCCTCCCTCTACGGCTCCGCCGCCCAGCGCAAGACCCAGTCCGTCGCCTCCGGCACCGCCTCCGCCGCCGTCGCCTCCCACTCGGCCACGCCCACCGCCACCGACGACGCCGCCTCCACCACCGCCTCCGTCTCCGCCACGAGCACTCCTAACCTGGGCGTCGGCCAGCTCGCCCGCAACACCGGCGGCGTCCTTCTCGCCGTCGCCGGTGTCGTTGCCGCCGTCCTCTAAGCGTTTCTTCGCTCTCGGGAGGAGAATACATCTTATGCCATCTTTTCACGCCACACGTCTTTTTTTAGAGCGATAATGTTACACGGTGCAAGACACAACATACCATCTTGGATGAATACCATGGACCTGGGATTCCCAACAGGATATCAGTTACTTCTAGTGAAGGAGAATCAAAAGTAGGAGCAGGAGGAGGAGGAGCCATGACGACCCGGGCAAAAGGAGCAAAGACTCCTTTGGAAAAGGGAACTTGTTGTATATGGTTAATCTTTGTAATTACCTAATCCAGCCAAACAAGAAACTTCATGAACAATACTTCAGATGAACTTGGTGAACCCAATGCCGAGAAGTAAAAGCCTACGCATACGTCTGATTGAATTGGCTTCCGAGGAAACAAGTATCAAATCAAGTCCTCAGTCACATGTCGCAAATTCTCCCGTTCTAATTGGAGAGAAACCAAAGTCACCTCCCTCCCTACCCAGGACCCGAAGAGAAACAAATATTGGAGTCATTAGATTTGTTGACTCAGCAACATTCCTCCTGAAACATGCGTCAAATCTACGGCCAGCTGTGCTGTCATTTTCTCCTCCCCGTTCCCCACGTACCAAGTCTGAAGTAGATCAAAAAAAGGGCGGGAAATAATCATTATGTTTTTCCACGATTTCAAGAAGGGGACCTTGCTGCAGGGACGAAAGAAACAATATTGCGGGATATATGCACCAAACCGATGACACTAGATTCTCCCCCAGTTGTTTGGAATCGGTGGAGAGGGAGTTCCCACATGGTTGGTGATCTTCATCAGGCACATCACTGCTCCAGGGATGACGGCCAAGACCGCGATACGTCAGCGGTGGGAATGCGGGTGGAATTGGATACAAGTAACACCGATTGCCAAACATCGTCACGTGCGACACGGTGGAGACAGTTTGTGGGAGCTCAACGTGAGCTGGTTCTCATCATGTTTTTCATCAAGCCTTCTTCTCCAATCGCTATGATACAACACTGGTGTCCTTGAATCCTACAGCTGCCTCTCGCAAGCATTGTACCCCCCCTCGTGGGAGACTATCTCCGTCTCTTCCGTGTTCCTCTCGAACCCGTCTCCCACTCTCGGGGCGCTGTCATCCAGGGTGAGGTTGTAACAATGTAAAGTCTACAAGCAAAAAAAAACCAAGAATAATCAAAAGGCAGACGCTTCCCAACACCCGTGACGCCTGGTTCATATCTCTAACATGTGACGTTGCCCATCACTAGCCACAACATCATTGCAGCCTGCTTTTTTTTTCGTGCCAAGTGACCCCTGGTTGCGCAGAGTCGAATAATAAGGAGTATGAGAAGAGGAGGGAAAATAAACATCGTCGACTAAAGGGAGTATGTGTGCGCAAAAAAGTCTTGGTCGCCAGAAGAAAGCAAGTGAAATAGAAGGTAGTGGCGAAGGTAAGGGGCGAAGGTAAGGCTGCAAGAGCCTCGAAGGAATCTTCATGCAGAAACAAAACATGAGCATAATCGGTCCAGGAAACCGAAAACGCCCTAAACTTTTCGGGAACGTTTCGCGCCGTTGTTGACAGGGCTGACGAAGGTGACGTGCTTGTTGTCGTCTTTCTTCAGACGCATCGTGGTGCTAGAGCCGCTGTTTTCCCGGTGATGAATGGGTCGTCCCTCGTGATCTTCATCGAGCGTGATCTCAGCCACGTCGGAGACCGACTCGGCCTCCATGCGGTCGCTAACGCCAGACTCGGAAGAACCGTCATCGGAATCGTCGTACTCCCCGTCGTCGCTCACAAGCGAAGGCGCGTTGTTACTGACCATTGTGCTGGGACTCAGGTCAACGTCCATGTCGACGTCCTCGTTGTGGAGCATCATCATTCTCGGCCCTTCGTCCTTGTCGGGACTGCTCATGGGAGGAGAAGCGAAGCCCAAGTGAGGCGACCGGCCCTTGCTGCTTGTCGGTCTCGTCGGCGCCAAGGCAACGGGTGACATGACGGCCCTTGCCGGGACGCGCATGGCGGTCGAAGGCACGCGGGCCGCGGGCACGCCGACGCTGTTGGTAGGAGTGCTGAGACCAGCCTCGACCTCTTCCGATTCCTCTCCAGGCGACGCGACATCATCCAGTGACATCTTCTCCTTGGCGTCACTGACAATGTCACTGAGATTGCCGTTGAAGTTCCTGCTCTGCATGAGTCGCGAAAGGAAGGGTGTCTCTTTCGAAGCAACGAAGTTTCCAGCCTCCTCAGCAGCAGGTTCTGCGGGCTCCGCCTTCGGGGCGCTGGGAATGCTCGATACACCGGGCAGCTTGCCTTCACGATGCCACTTGATCGACACTTTGAGCCTAGAGAGCAAACGAGAGTAGGCCTCCTGGGTAGAAATGTCGCTTTGGGCAAAGGGATGAACGAGACCAGGGGCGACGGCGGGAGGCGGGGGCGCAGGCTTCTCCTCTCCAACGATACCACCGCCTTCATTCACCTCGATAGGGTGACCGCAGTGCACCGCAGCCTCCTCGTGGCTCTTGAAGTCTCTCCTGTGCGCAATACGACAATGGTTGATGAAACCTTGGGTACTGCTGAAGTTCTCGCGATTGCAATCCAAGCAGACGAGCTTCACCGTCTGACCATTAGAGCGCTTCAGAACGCAAGGTCCAGCCTTTTCCTTGGGTTGAGGGTAGCCGCTAGACAGAGACTGAAGCTTCTGACCAGACAGACCCCGGACCGGGCGGTTCTTGTTTGCGCTGACCAGGTCAGACATGCTGTTTCTCGTTGTCCGTCCCTCGGCCGAGCCTCTGCTACGGGCAGTCTCGAGCACGGGATACCACTCAAGCTGCATGCCATCAAATTTGGGATCTGGGATGAGCCACTTGGCATAGTGTCGAGCGTATGGGCCATCGACGACTCCAAAAGGCGGCGCCCATTCGGGAACAGACTCTCCCGGCCGGTTCTGCAGAGACGGGCCTTTGCCGTTGCTGATATCCACCATCTGTGCCGGGGTAGGGCAGGCAGTGGGATACGGAATGAGATGGCAGCGACGAAGCTGCTCGAGAGCAACCTGGCATTTGGCCAGTTCTTGGTTGATTAGCCTCAGCTCATTGTGCTTGAGCAAGATCTCAAGACCAAACTGGTACTGAATGGCGTCGCGCGCCTCTTCCATGTCGTTAGTCATTGTGGGAGTCGGATCCGACTCAAGCGCAGGTTCTGGCGCGACCACAGGCACGGGGACGGGAGCGGGAGCAGGAGCAGGCGCCGATGCTTGCATGGCAGTATCGCACGAGGGAACGTCAGCAACGGAGGGGCTGCTGTCCTCTTGCTTTGCCCGCTTCAAGGGCTGCTCACTGTTGGTTGAGGCAACATTCGGTGCGGATGAGGCGTCGACACTAGACAATCGCCTCTTGAGAGGCCGGGCTGGGCTCGAGAGAGCTGCCGTTGCCGATGGTGCAGGCGGATGCGGCAGGATGAACTGGTGTTTTTGCGGGAACGAAGTCATCGGGTGAGTGAGACCAACAGTCGTTTCGCTTCCCCGCTCTGAGCCCCAGAACCGGAACATGGGAGTGGGAAAGGATGAGACGAAGAGGTGGTGAGAGGGCGAGCTGGCGATTTTATGCGGTGCGAGGTGAGGCGCAAGGCAGCGACAGCGACAGCGACAGCCTGGCGAATGACACGATGTGACAGTTGGGTTGGCAGTGGCGGACGGGCCAGGCAGCTGCGACGACGTGATGCAGGTGCGGCGATGTGCAAGTGGAGATGCAATGCACTATGCGTTGTGCTGAGCTGTGCTGAGCTGAGCTTCGTTTCTTGGGGGCGGACGCTGACGTAACGCGCGAGAATGGAATCCCCGGAAACAGCGATAGCGGTGGGCGACAAGAAGCAGGAAGCTAAAGGCGTGGACGAGGACGAGGATGAGGTGGAGGGCGTGGGTGTGGCCTCGACGGGTGGGCGTGTGCTTGTTTGGTTGGCTCTAGTCGATGGGGCCAGAAAAGGGGTGGCAGGGGCGAGCAGAGTGAGAGGTGCGCGCGCGATGATGCGGTCGGGCGTGGGCGTGGTGGGCGTGGGCGTCCTCCTCTCAGAAAGTGTCGGGAAAGCGCAAGCAGGAGAAAGCCGGAGCGCCGAAAGATGGGCGACGAGGCGATCAAAGGGATGGGATTGCGACGGGTCGCGCAGCGAAGACAGCGACGCAGAATAATCGAGAACTAATGAAAGCCTCGATATCGCGCGTAAAAACGGAGAGAACGTGAATGCGCGAAGAGAGACGGGAACGAGCAAATGAAAAAGGGTGATACGCCTTTTGAAATGCTCTTCTCTGTGTCGGGCGGACGATGTTGTTTTCTGGGTTGGAAAATGGGGGGAGGAAAGGGTGTTTGTGAGGAGGGAGGAGAGATGTTAGAGATGGGAATCAGCGCAGATGCCAAAGAAGAGCGAGAATAAGGTGAACCACGGGGGGGAGGGTAGCGGGCAGCCCTTTCTCTGGAAGGCGTAGGCGGGCGACGAGCGACAGACGACAGACGACGGCGTGCGCGAGCTTGGTGTGGGAAATTGGCCTCTCTGGGGGTCGGAAGGAGAGAGGACGGGGTGATTGCGAGTGCGGGTGGGCCTTTGATCCTTGGGGGGGGGATACTGGATACGGTACGGTAGCAAGGCCGTAGCAAGTATTGGCAGTTGGATGTTGGATGTTGGATACGTCGATGCGAGGTATCAAAACAATGCCTTACCGCCACAGAATACCACCGAAGGGTAAAGGTAAAGGTGGATGTGCTGTGGGCAGTGGGCAGCGGGCAGTGGAAACACCCAACTCTCTCTTACCAGGGCACTGAGAGGTGCTTGCCGTGCCGGGCTTGCGATGCAGATTGGCACTTGGCCTTGGCTTGTGCCGGTTTGTGTGTCGCTGATTGAATGCGCCGCTCAGCTGTCTCTGCACAAATTGTGGGTGTCTTTGGTGCTGCTGCTGTTGATTGATGATGATGATGATGCGAGAGACACTGACTGACTAGGAAAAGGCAATTTGTGAAGTGAATGCAAGGGGGGGCATAAAATGGAGATGGAGGGTGTGAGATGTGGGTGGTGTGGATAACAATTGTGCAGACGCCGCCGCCTCTGATTGGCTCGTGGCGAGAGAGAACGACGGAATGCGCTTGTTTGGTCTGACCCGGTCCCAGACACCCAGACACACAGAAACACAGAGACACCGGCCGCCAGGGAAAAGAAGGCGAGGGAACCCAGGGATGATACTCCCGTCCGAGCCAAACGCAGGGTTGGGGGAACACGACAGCTAGGCAGGCAGGCAGGACGACACGAAGCCAGGGAGACGGAGCCAGACAAGAAGACCCGATGTCGACACAACCTAAAAAGACACCCGATGGTTTGACGAGGGAGACGAGAAGGGTGAAGAAAGAGTCAGGTCGACTGAACGTCTTACGCCCTTCGATTTCGTAACAAGGCGTGCCGCGACCAAGACGAAGGAAGACGTTGATGCTGCATAACAGACTGTCGACTCGACAGCGATGACAAGGGACAGAGACAGCGGCAAGCACTGAGCTTGCTCAACTGAAGTCTGTCTGACCTGAAGGGCAACCTAGAAAAAAGTCAGAAGTCAGAAGTCAGAAAGCCCCCTACATGGGATGGGACGCACACGCTGTTCCTCCCGGCTCCCGTTCTGTCTGCCTTCTGCGTCCGTGTTTGATGGTTGGATGATGAGACGGACGGGCGAACTCGGTCTGTCGCAACTCGCAGTCGGGTCGATGGCCACGCAGCAATGCGTGTTTTATCGCCGCACCGAAAATAGATCGGGTTAGGAGGTGGACGTCCAAGGTACAGCAGTTGTGGAGGTCTATCAAATAGGGATCCCCCTTTTTTCGTTGTTGGTGATGGACAGATGAGAACTGCGAGAGTTGAGAAATCAAAAGATAGGGAGGAGAGGAAGACGCGGATGAGCGAGAAAATGATGATGCATCTGACACGAACGCCCGCTCCTCTCGTCTTGCGCAATTGACATTAGGACTCGCTGTCGATCTACCTTACTTCGATCGTGTTTGGTTTGTGAAGGTTTCAACCAGTGTCTTATCGTCCGACCTGACTAACGACATTCACGGCGCAAAGTACCTTACCCAACTAAACAGTCGGCGGCGGTAAGGTTTCTCTAGCGAGGAGCAGAGACGGGGAAAGCTCGTGGTGTGCGAGAGTGAGAGTGCCTGGGCCGTTCATCACCTCGGGGGGTGGTAAACAGAATGCGTGCGCCAAAGCTACGGATACCTCACACCAGGAACCTAGTAATACTGGACCTAGAGGCGTGGGAATGGACCCGAATGCTTCAACAAGTCCCACTCCCGCAGAATCGGGCGCCTCCAGCAAATCCAACAACGCTAGACCGCCAGTGCGCATGTCCAGAAATGCCGACCGGCGGGACTGCCAACGACATGTCCAGAGCTGCCGGCTGGTCGCTTCCCGCCGTCAATTCCATCAGTGTTGTTGACTTCCGTGAGAGGCAACTTGCGAGGTATGGCGCTGCCTGGCGTATTTCCCATCGATCCAAAACATCAAAGGAGCCGTCCTTCGTGTATTCTCTGACGAATGCAAACATCAAACCGGCCTCTTATTTGTTGACGATGGTTGTTATTGCGCTACGTCCACAAACCGCGCCTTTCTGCTCCACGTTCAGGCTCGACTTCCCATTCGCCTGGTCGGCTGCGTTCGCCATTCCGGCTGGCTGGAAGATGGGTCGAGAGTCCCCGATTTCCAAATACCATCACAATCAAAGTTTCCCACGAGGCCGACGTGAAGCCGCCGCGCGCGCGGCAGGAACTTGGGAGTTCGGGAACGACGTGGGATGACATGAGAGCTGGACCCTTGAGCAGCAAGGGAAGGCCATGCCTCACGCATGCTTCTTCCGCTTCCATTCCCCTTCTCTGCCGCCTTCTTTTCGTCGCCTCGCTGGTCGAACCCTTCGAGCAGGTTCAAACACTCCGATCCTTCATCGGCCTCTGAGGCCTCGCATCTCGCTGTCTTTCGGGAGCCTCTGCGACCTTGATGACGGCCGGGCCTCGCACGAGGGCTGAGGGATGGGTGGGTGCGACATGCAGGAGAGCATGGATGGTCGCTTGAAGTGCCACGCCACCCGGCTTGCCCAGCTTTTGCCTTTAGCCAGTTCTGGTTTCAGACCTGAACAGTGCTAGCGAGGTACAACAGTCTCCAAGGCCTCGTCCACAGTAATAGCCAATCCGCTTGCCCAGACACCATGCGACGGTCCGCGGAAGCAACACCCATCGCTCCGGCTCACCGGCCAAGTCGCGACGATTCAAGTACCCGCCTAATACTGCACATCCTTGCCTTTAGCAGAAGCCAGCAGGCCCTATCCCGGGTGTCGAATGGCGCCTTCTGGGCGAAACGGATTGATGCGACTGCAGCATGCTGCATCTCGGAAGCTTGGAATCTTGGGGAGAACCACCATGGACCCTCTTGGAATCTGCTGAATGACGAGATGATGCTTGGTCCATGATTCAGTCGCGAGCCTCCATCGCTCTGGACCTTCCGACGACAACCCATTCGTATGCCACCGTACCGATTGTCCATCCTGGACACCCCGTTATCGCCGGTCGAGATGTCGTTTTCTGCGAGGGCTGCAAGCAGCTGCGCTCGTACCGTCGCCCAGCGAATCCAAACGATAGCGCATTCGAGGATGAGTCGTGCCACCGCACAGGCGTACCGAGCATGTGAAGTCGAAAAAGCCACCGCCAATCGTGCATGGGACGGCTTGATGCTCTAGCGGGGCTTTCCTGCTTCCGCGGAACGCTAGGCCATGTCCGGCGAGCAGGGCAGTGAGCTCGTGTTCAAGCGTGATTCACTGGCAGACTGGCAGTGTCCATAGAGATCCACGTGCTCCGTCACGGGACTTTGCGTGTTTGAAGTCATCTGAAGATGAACTCTAGACCAACAGATTGCGCCCGGTCGACGAATCACCGCAGTTTTCCAGTCAAGAACAAAAAATCGGCGTCCGTTGAGTTCGAAGTTTGATTTGTCTTACGTAACCATCTTGCGCCGGTTTTGCGGCTCCCGATCCATTGCAGCCGCCCCGACCTCGGCTCCGAACCCGCTGGTCCAAGCTTCTTATCCGATAAGATCTCGGAAAGATCTACCGCCGCACTTTTTCACAGCACCCCTCCGCCAGCCTTCCACAGCACGCCTCCAACGAACAAGATCTCGACCCCGCGCGTAACCGCTACAACCAGCCATTGAGGGTCGGCACTGCCATGCCGACAGGCGCCGACGATGCAGACCGCGGCTAAAGATACCGCCGCGATCCACGACGGCAGCAACAAGAAGAGAAAACCATCAGCCATGACGGAGCCGGAGGACTCGAAGAAGAACAAGCCATCGCCGGCGGCGGCGGCGGGCAGCGGCCCGATCACACCTATACCCCACGAAGCCCTACTCGACGAGCTGCGCCCCAAGTACGACATCCTCCCCGCCTTCACCATCTCCTCGACAAAGATCCACAAGCGCGTCGACTGGCTGCTGCTGCACCTGCGCAAGAATAACGGCGACCCGCGGAAGCGCGCCGTGCTCCTCTACGCGCGGCCCGGCGAGGTCGGCAAGATGATCACCATCTCGGAGCAGGTCAAGCGCGTCGTGGCGGAGGAGGAGAAGGAGGAGGGCGATGGCGGTGGCGGACGGTGGTTCCAGTACAACAAGATGTACGAGCTGCCGCCCAAGCCGGAGGTCGTGGAGGAGACGATGCTGGCCGGCGGGAACGACGACTCGGACGGCGACGACTTCGAGGTGATGGAGAGCCGGTTCGAGAAGGCGACGGTGCCGCAGCCGACGAAGCGCGCGCAGATGTCACTCAGCATCTTCCTGTCGACGGGGCCCATCCCGGAGCTGAAGGCGAAGGAGGGCGTTACGCAGCAGACGAACGAGCCGCATGGAGCTTCTGCTCCCGTCGCAGATCAATGAGCAGCTTCGGGACGACTTGGACGAGGGGAAGAAGGTTCTTTTCGAGCAGGACTGGCATCGGGAAATACAGTCATAGAAACGGGCAGGGCAGCACGTGCATATTGCATCTCACGGAGTTCGACGGACACATAAAAAAGGGACATTCACGGTTTTGATACCCAATCGAGCAGTAAGGCAGAGTTGATACGAGACAAAAAGAAAAGATGATTTTGCTAGACAATTACGCTGTCGTGAGCCGGACTGATGCAATTTTTCGGGTGCCAGTACTCCAATTCACAATGCATGCACTTTTCCACGTCCGCTTGCGCGGACCCTCCACATCCACACCTTATACAATAGCAAGACAAACGAAACCACAACTCCAAAGCGATCGCTATCTTTTGCGTTGCCAAAAGCCAACTGCTCTTGCGTCTCTCCGCCACCAGCTTACACGGGCACAGCATCCTCGCCACTGGCCCTGACGCGGATCACGCGTCCCCCATCTCAACCCCCAATCCATTCCCCGTTTCTCGATGTAGTCCTGGCTAGCTTAGTGCTTGCCCTCCTTGGAGGAGTAGGTTATGCGCAGGACGAAGTTGACGATGACGGCGAGGAGGAGGATGATGGCGAGGAAGGTGGGGCCGAAGCGGTCGTCGAAGCCGGCCTGGCCGCGGATGCGGATGGATTTCGCGCGCCAGTGGTACGTCGCGAGGGCGTAGACCATGGTCAGCATGGCGACGCCGGTGAAGAGGAAGGCGCTGATGAAGGCGGGGCGGTCGCCGAAGTTGAGCATGCCGATGGCGAGGGCGCCGAGGACGACGGTGAAGTTGAGCCACGAGAGGAAGGTGCGCTCGTTGGCGAAGAAGACCTTGGGCTCCACGCGCGTGGGGAGGGCGATGCGCTTGCCTGTTGATGGTCGGACGTTAGCAAGCTTTCCTGAGAAGAGGAAACATCGTGAACGTTGCGGCGCCTGACAGGGGCTGCGCTGGTGGTAATGGGGGAAGTTGACGTACCCGGAGCGGTCTGGAGGAGGGGTTGGCTAGACATTTTGGCTGTTTGTCTCGTGGTTGGAGATCTGGTGATGGGATATCGACGTCGTTCGGGAGCGACAAGGTGAAGAAGTTCCTTTTTCGGGAGGCTTGTCGTTCTTGAGGCTGAGAAGGCTTGGCGGTGTTCGAGCTCGGACCGCGGCGTTTGGACGAAGTGAAAGGATTCGAGCTTGAAGAGAGTCGCAGCGCAACGGAGGCACTGGGTGAGCTTGTGGTAAGTGAATTGGTACGTCAATTGGAGATATCGCAAAGTTTCGTCCGACGAAATTCCAGGTCACGAAAAGGTAGTAAAAACTCTGTCCAAGATGGTTTGCGGAGATACAGAGAAAAGAGCTAACAATATGGTAAATGCAACAGACCAAAAAGTGAGAGACAGAGAGAGTTCCCGTAACCTAACCGAACGAGACAGAGAGAACCCGCTTCAAAGCTTGTTCGATGCGACTCGACGGAGACGCAAGGCGAAGACAACTGGAGACAACCACCGCGGCCCCTCTTGCCTCCCATCAAGCTCCATCGCAGAACTCGCGACGCTAGGCATTGCACGGCTAGAGCTCCCCACCAGCCACATCTGCGACCCTTGCCGGGCGGCCGCGAACTGCTGCAGCTCGTCGTCGCCAGGCACACGTGCCATTCGTTGTTGTTTTGATTGGGGGAAGACACAAGCAGGGGCCTTCTGCGGGAATGCATACGGAGGTCCTGTGTGGCGCCGACAGATCTGATGACTAAGAATTGTGGCTCGGACAGATTGTCATCACGTGATCCGTTGCCCCGCGCACCGAGTGCCCAGAGCGGCCCGTGTTGCGACGCGAGAGCGGGCATCCGGTGCGCATCACAACACGCCCTGAACTTTTTGTGGAGGAGCCTCAACGTCGCCTTACCGTAACTGTCAACAACACCACCATATCACCTTGCGATAAACACCACACTCCACGCTGAACAGGACTTTTGCCTTTCGGTAATACACCTGTCACAACCTACGACTGTCAACCGTCCTAAAAGGCTTGTCAATCGCTCTTTCACCTTAAATAACAAAAGACAAAACTTCAAAATGTCGGCTCCGTCCACCGCAACTCCCGTAAGTCAAATGCCCCCGCCTCAATTGGCCGGCCATGTTGCATTTGGGCATGATGACTGACTCTCTACCAAATAGCCCGTCGCCTTCAACAGGCTCAAGCAGATCGCCACCGACGTAAGAACCTCAGCAACGCAACCGCTCGCAAACGACGAAAAACGACTGACACAGATATCCAGGCCTGCTCCTCTGCCATCGGCTCCGCCGAGTTCTACGACCACGCCAAAACCGAGCAATGGAACTCCCAAATCATTGTGAGTCTTCTTCTCCCCCCATTGTCACATGCCGGGAACCCTCCAAACTAACCACCCTACAAACAGAACTCCGTCCTGAAGGCCGTCATCTCCGAGTCCACGCCCCAAGGCGGCTCAGCTCCCACGTTCAAGTTCGCCTGCAACTCCACGATCGTCCAGCACCTCGTCCCGACGTCCTCGCTCAACAAGTCCAAGGGCACCACCGCCAACTCCGAGGAGCCCCACATCTCGACCAGCGCCGAGAGCACCGGCATCGACGGCAAGCCGCACGTCGGCAGGCGCGGCATGCACAGCGCCACCGGCGCCTACTGGGACGAGAAGAAGGACGGCATGTGGTCCTACAAGTACGACGGCGGCGAGGGCAAGGGCATGGATGTGGTCATCATGCTCATCTGGGTTGCCATCTAGGCGAGGTCATCTAGAGCGCAGAAGTCAAAGGAGACCGAGGATGCTCGAGACGAAGACAAGTCCCAGGAGCCCAGGGCGGAGACTGAGGAGATCATCGAAGAGGATCACCAGGAGGCAGGCTTCGGCGCTCTCCCTCTGCGCTGACCAGCGTCGACTGCGCAGAAGGGGCTTCTCCGTCCAGCCACGGGAGGTTGATACAGCCCCCTGACGGACAAGGTACGGTACATACACTGAGCGTCGAGCGTGTCGAGAGGAAGGGAGCGTCTGTCGGATTTTCCCATGTCAAAAAAGTCAGGCATCTACGGCGAACGGAGGGTCTCTGCAGGTCTATTCTATCGCAATATGCTGTCGAATTCCACACAGCCGGAGTTTTGATGAAACAAGAAACACGATGACATTCACGTCTGCAAGACTCGTCTTTCGTCTCCGGGTTGCTCAGTGACACAATCTGATTTGTTTGTTTGTTGTGGCCTTCACCGCTAAACAATCGAATTTCGTTAAAAATCACTCGGCCTGGTATCCCTGCGCGGCTGACATGTCACTGTTATGCATCTTTCAAAGCTATATGATCGGAGCCATGCCAATATCGCTCAGTTTAGATGGGTGGTGAGCTCACGTGCTGATATGCGCCGAGAGTGCTTGAACCGAGTGACCAGTCCGAGGTTTCGACGAAATTGTCTGCATGGCATCATAGCAACAAGCATTTGGTGCCGCAAGATCGGAGTGGTGTCTATCTGCAGCGCGATTCAACATCCAAGATTCCATCATAATCAGGGTGGTCCGTGTCGACCGCTGTAGTACTCCAAAATCGCTTGGCCCTGATGATCTTTCTTCTTGCCCGGTTGCATCCCATCTGGCATCTTGACGTTTGCCAATCGGGCTAAATGGCGAGGCGCATGTAGCTACCGGCGGGTAAGGTAGCGCTGGGGGCAAACGGTAAACCCGAAACGGATGGAAACGTCGTCATATGGCGGGATGGCACGAGTCGCAAAGAGGTCTAGCGAGGATCTTTGGGCGGTTCACGGCGGCAAATATTTAGTGGTTGCATTGCCGTAGACGAGTGGTTTTTCGGTGACCCTCAATGTCGGGACCGGAGGATGGCGAGAAGCAGACGACGGTGTTGAGTCCGGCGCCGACACCGGTGGTCTTGCACACCCTCTTCGGAGAGGACGAGGCGCATTGATCAGCGAAATGGTGGTTGTTGAAAATCGAGAAACTATCGAGGATTGGCGTTGAGGATCTGACCGTGCGTTGCGATTTTCACGACTTGCAAGGCCCGGGGCAGCTTGGGAGATGCACATCGGCACGACTATGATGCCAAGAGCGGCCGGAATGCTGCTTGAAGCGACAATGTGCGGCGAGGGTCAGATCATGTAAATTTGCTGGCAATACTCTGTCCTGGCCTGACCGGTGTGCGCCGACGGCCAGATTAGATCAGCGAAACGAGAGGCGTTTCGACCATTTCGTGGCAGCTGGTAGCCCAGGGCAGACGTTCGTCCACGTTTCTACCAAGGCCGCAAGGTCAAGCGTCGTCGTCGATTTGTGTCCGGTCGCACGATAGCTCCCCAAGACTAGGACCCTCTTATGGCCGCTGACGGGCGGGTCATATCGTGGACACCCCGTCCATCAACCCGATGCGCGGGTAAAAGAAAGCTGGGGTTCAGAGATGACAATCTGATTTTCGACGATGGTAACTGGGGCAGAATGGAGAATCCAGTACACCGACGAGCATGTCGCGACAGGTCACCGACGGAATTGCAGAGAAGATACTCGCCACCGCTTTTTTGGTCCCCCACAAAACTTGGGTGGTATCTGTGAATGTACGAGTGATACACCGCATAGCATGACGCCGTTGATCCTGTGAGAGGCAGTGCCCTGTTTCCCGCGGTCTGGGTGCCTTCTCTTCCGCAATGGCCCTCGACTGATCAGAAAGCCGCAGGCAGACATATGAGCGTTTGCTGATCTGATAGTACCTACTGCCGTGCGTTGCTGGCCAGTTGTTCGTGGTCATGAGACCATGTTTCCCGGGGTGAGACCTGTCTCGCTTCCCCGCGTTGCAACAGCGGCAGCCTTGCTGGTTTGTTGGCTTGGTGGCTTGCTTCGACTGATCTTGGCCTAGTCTGCGATCATGTTCTGATGGTGATGAGAATCATCATTCTCGAATGACAGCTGTGCCTCGAAAGTTAAGGCTGCGTTGGATGGTGACAGAGACATCAGACCAGTCGAGGGCGCCAACCGGAATGTCGATTGATGGGTGTGTATCCCTGCCAGGTCGTATTGGGGGGACGAACAGAAGATGGGAGAATCTTAGGAACGTTATCAATTAGACTCTCGAGGATAGATGGAGGGGCATGGAAGGGCTTCGGGCCGCCGTTGGCACCTCTGTGCCTGTCGATGCCTCTTCCATTCCTTCGATAACGGTCGTGTGTTTCCATGCGTTGAAGGTCGCATGCCGTTGACGTCTGGCCAATTCCAGAACAGCAACTCCATGGAAGGAAGACCTATCACAGCCTGTCAACCGTCAAGCCTGCGAAGTCCCCCTGTCGTGTCGCGCATCCCCCACGCCAGGCGCTGCTTGGTCAATGAGAAAGAAAGCTGGCTTGGAGGACATACGAGGGATGGCGGAGGGGTCAGGATGCGGATTCAGAGCTTCGGTTGGTCGACTGGCAGCCATGGCTTGCGTCGTTGTCGGTTGTAGGCAGTGTGATGTGGTGAGGCAGTTGCATATTGATGTCTCTCGCTTTTCCGACCTGCCGAGCGTTGTTCTCGGATCTGTCGATTCGCATGCTGGCGTGCTGCGGAGATGCCCTACGGTCTGCAACCTCCTCGCCGGTGACCGCTCGCGCTACACCCGACCTCACCTTGCTGCTGGTGCTGCTGGGCCTTATGACGAAAGTAACCGGACAAGTACTCGGTACTTGAGGATGCGCCCGCTGAGAGTCCGGTGGTACCTCGTACCTCAGCGGCGCACTCACCTCACCCACGAGTGGAGGGAGACCCGGACAGAGGCAAGTCAAAGACCCTCTAGGAAGAGTCGTAAGAAGAAGGTGAGTGGTTGAGAAGGCGACAGCTCGTCCCTTAGTTGGTTACAGACCTGGAGTCCGGCGTCAGCTATCTCCATCTTCTCCAGTGTTTTGGCGAGGATTTTCGAGATTATTTCTGTATGTGTTATTGGCCGTCATGCTCCATGATTCGCGCGAGGATAGCGATGACCGAATTACCCCATTTTTGTTTCTGCCACGTCCCCTCGGCTGATGGGCAAGGCGAAGGAAAGGAAAAGGCAGAAGAGATGAAGGGACCAAAGAAAAGACGAGAGAAAGTGCGCGCAGGCCGGGAATACCTAGCGCCACCTCAGCCAGAATGTCCAGCAATAGCAGTCGTGCCTCGCGCTATCCGCTAGCTTATCAGGGGAGGCACTGGAAGGAACTGGACCCAAAGGGCCACTTTGCTGCCGTACTTGGCAACTATGGCGTAGTTGGTGCTGCTGGTCGATTTTGCCAGTGACACTCTGGACACTCTGGACCCTCAAACCCCACCGCTAATCTGGTCGGTCAGGTCGGTGTTGCCCTGCTTGGCCTGACTAGTACTCGACCTCGTCCTTGTCGCGGTATTCGTACTATGTACCTGTGACTTCTTCGCGCCGGTCTCGAGGCCAGTCTTTGCTCCATCACACCACCACCGCTACCACACCCTTTTTTTCCCTTCCAGGGCTTCCCGTCTCTTCTTCTTCCTCAAAAGAACATAGTTGATCGGCACCCGAATTTGCCTCTTCAGGGTCCTGTCACTTCGCGCTTGACGTACCTTTAAATATCTAACGAACCTCCTCCCGACTCCGTTCTCAACGGTCCATATACTCAACTGATGAACTTGCTATTGAGGCATAACGGCACTATTACACCTCTCAACGACATAGGCCCTCCCAGCCACAACATCGACGTTACCTGAAGCGAAACACTCCTTACCAGCAACCAAGGAGTCCGAGAACATACTCAGCCTGAGCACAGCAACACAGATCCCACGAGCCTTTGACCGACGGCAGGTTTTCCCCTCACTGCACAGGGGACTTCTTTCGTCTGAGGAACGCCTCCTCTCATCTTACGGGACACGGCGTTCAACGTGGTTGGCCATCGTCAACCCCTCACACCACCATCCCATTTATCGTTGGATAGCTGTCCAGCTCGGGCCGTCGGCAGTCTGTCAACTTACCATCCGCTGATACGAGCTTCACGATGGTCGAAGTTCTGTCTCCGGGCCTCGCCCAGAACGGGCACTCCAACCCATCTCACGACGACAACGTCGCGTCTCTGGCTCGCATGCTCCTCGCCAGCAGCATTGCCTCTAACCAGGAAGACAAGATGATGAGTCGTGAAGAGCGTGTTGCTATGATGAAGGAGATCAGTCAGCACCAGGCTATCAAGGACGAATTGAACAAAAAGCGCGGCGGCTGGCGCACTCCCCGCCGAGGCTGGTCCATCACCGACTCACCAGTCGCGTCTTCGCAGGCAAGCCCTGCGCCCAATGCCTCCCCTTATCCTGCTCCTCCCATGGAGAAGCAACCATCTTCCTCCAACTCGGGCGCTATCTCTCCCGTTCCTGAGCAGGGTGAGCTTCCGGCTCAAGAGATGAGACATTCGCAACACCCTCCCCAGGTTCGCCGGCCTCCTCTGCCTCCCCCGCGTCGGTCCTACTCGGTCATGGAGTATGAGCCGCCACCACGCACCCACCGACCCTCGGCCCGTATGGATATCTTCGACCTTCCTGCCGAGCTTCACTACACGATCTTCGACTACCTCGACCCTATTGATAGCGCCTGTTTGGGCGTTACTAACACCCACTTCTACGATATCCACCGTCGCATGCATGGCAGTGTCCCCTTGTCATCTCACCGCACCGGGCCTAACGACCTCGAGTGGGCATTCTACCTTGCCAGCCGCAAAACAGGGCCTTCCGGCTCGGGCTCTTCTACACCAACAACCGAGACACACGATCAACCTCACCACCTTGAGGGCATGCGCCTGAAGGGGCAGGTCTATTGTCGCAAGTGTGGTCACTATCGGTGCCAACTCTACCGCCATCTCCGCGCGTGGATGGGCCCCGATAGAGAGTACTGCGAGGTCACCAAGAAATACGGCCGCAAAGCTCCTGAGGATGCTCCCGACCACTGCTCCATCAAGTCGCCCAAACATCCCCACCGATGCGGTCGACATGCCGCCAAACCCCCTCAGTCACCGACCAAATGAGAGGTTGCTTTCATTGCTCTCGATTGAGAGCCAAATTTTGTATCATTATAAAGGAGCGGCGAATCAGTAGGTTTCGCAAAACGTAGCGAGGAGTTAAGACTACAAAAGAAAAGACACAAGAGAATTGTATATCCATATGGGAAGGCGTTGAACTACGGTTTGCATTTAGACGAGGAGATGTTTTGGGGTTTGGTTGCATTCAGTCATTCAGAGTCTACGATTGGCTACAGACTTCTTGAACAAGACAGAAGAAAAAGAGACCACCAACCGCATTCTTGCCGGCGAGATGATCTATCATGAGCATACATTGCTAGAACATACAATATCAAGCATTATTACTGTAATTTTGGCCCGCCAAGCCTTGCATTTTTTGTCCCCTCCAAGTCGCAACGGCAAAGCCTAGGCAATGACGTAGTGCTGACACAGATAGATTGCGGAGCCCTACGGCACGTTTCGCCTTTAAGATAACAATGCTTGAATCATTGTTTGTCTTTACCGGTAACAACTCCCGTTTGCCGAGGCAGATCAGCCGTCGAGTCCCGTTCCGTAACGGCTGAGCGTGAGGCGTTTATGTGAGCCTGGCTGAGATTATTGCCAACTATGCCAAACGCACCAAGCTATTCAGGATTCGAATAAGTTGATGCGCTGCGGCCTGCTACGCCCGAAAGACTGGTTTACGGTTGCTGAGGAATACGCTCGAATGATTAACCAAGCGACGCCTCCGGACGCATCTTGAAAATACAACAGATATGGAGGGTAGAGTGCCGCCGTAACGACAACCAAGCGAAGTTAGGCGGTTCGATACGGAGCTGTTGACCTCCAACCGCTTGCACCCACTTGTAGGATGTGATGGTTCTTCAACATCATTTCTCTTCGCCCCCTTGGGTCTACGGAGTGCCCCACTGGTTTCCTCTATATTTCATCTTACAGTCTCGGCCGATGATTAATCACTGCTATGGTAGTGAGAAGATATTATTCGGCGGTAGTGGATTATGGCGAGATCAGAGGGCTGATAGCGTTGGGCCATGAAACTCCGCCTTCACATGACGAGAGGAGTTACCTCTTTGACACCCAGGCATCATATGACAGATACCGTATGATAGGAGCTTTGAGAACCCGTCTAAGTCGCTCAGAGTCCATTCTCTCAGAGATATTGCCGTTACCTGCCAGGGATAACTAAAAACGTTGTAGTTGATCCTGCGGTCTCAGTGTTGCACTTGAACTTCCCATGACCATTTACGTCACATATGCCGCCTTGGTTGAGTGTAAGTGTCATTGCGTTCCGAACCATTCCTCATTATGTGACAAAATCATCTTTTTTTTTTATATACAGATAGACGATAAAGCGATTCATATGAGAGAATAGGTTTGGTCTTTTCCGAAAATGTCAATTTCGAAGAAATACTAGCTATTGCCAGTTCAGAAGCTTTCCCCATGATCCTCTTTCTCTAACGCAATTGCGCTAGATATAAATATCTAGTTATGTTCCAGCTATGTTGAAAGGTTGGTAGAAAGAGTTACTTAGTTTTCTCGTTCCCCAGGTAAATGGTCAACTTAACTTCAAGGTTGTCATGAAATATTAGGTAGCCATTTTCTTGCTTTGCTCGTTCATGGACTCGAAGACACTTGAGCTTGCGTTTAGGGATCGATTAGCCCAGCATCTCTAATACCGAACTGAATAATAACGACTTCCAAAATGATCTCGGCGGTCTACGTGTATCGGGCCGACAGCGAGCACGAACTCTATCCATACGAGCCCGTCGACCCTTACGGTCTCTCACAGTACACCCGCAACCCCCCGCCACGACATCTTCCACCAGGCAGGATTCGGAACTTTGATCTCGACAACATCGGACCCGAACGCCGAGCTAGGATCCGCATTCGTGAGGCAATTGCCGTGGGCGATGACAGAGAATCCCAGATACTCCGCGTCGACATCATGGAGCCGCCGATCATCGAACGAAGCACCCACGCCTCCCTCATTGTCGACGGCAAGACTGAAGAGGGCATTCGAAAGTCTCCCATTACTCGAACACTCGTCCCCAAGGTCTACGATGCCGAGTTTCGCCCCAGCGACTGGGGTGCGCCGTGGAGCAACGTCGAGCAGGCCGACGGCGAGTTCGCCCGTGAGCATGGCGCCTACAAGTACTGCTACGAGCAAGGGAGGACGGGGGGTCAGCACCTTTTGCCGGAGTTCTTTGGTGGCTGGGCCATGGTTGTCGATGATGGTCCGGGGAAGACGAGACAGGTTGGACTCACGTTGATGGAGGATATTCGTGGCTTCTCCGTGGAGAATCTGTGTTATCGTGAGGTGACCGAGAAATGGGAGGGTCCTCTCGAGCCTACCGACCGCCCCGTCGGCTTCCTCAAGTCTGATAACGAATCCATCTATATGGATATCGACCTCGCCTTTCGCAAGGATGTTATGAAGCGGGCGCTGGACGGCATCGTCAACAACTTACACATCGGTGTCGAACACCGTGACTTCGAGCCAGCCAATCTATTCATCACGATGCGAAACGTCCACAACGACGAGACGAAACTGCGTGTCGTTCTGCTCGACCACACCTTCACCCAAGTCTGGTCTAAAACCACATACGCGGCCACCAATGGGGAACGCTACTGTCATCAGGCTCTTCCCTACCCGGCTCACCCTTACTTCCGCTTCGGCATCCTCGCCATGGATCGGTATGTTGGCTGGTATCCGATGGACTACGACGATGATAAGGAGTTCGACGAGTGGCTTCTCAGCGACGAGGTCTTCGGTCCTCTCAGGGAGGCCAGGGACGAGATGAGCGAGTTGAGGGCTACGAGGATGGCTTGGGTGTCGGCGTTGCGGAAGACTGGAGACGTGGCGGAGGAGAAGTTGCGGGGAGACGTGAAGTGGCCGCACGAGTACCCCAAGTACTCGATGTTTTCGACACTGGACGAGATACAAGAGATGAGGCGTAAAGGCTTGTCTGCTGTCTTTAACAGACTTCGACAAATGAGGCTTGGGTCTGAGGAACGTACTAAGGAAGGGCTGAAAGCGGAGAAGCAGTCGGCGGAGAATCTTCGCGAGATGGGTGACGCGATGCGTGCTCTTCAACAAAAGCAACGGCAAATGGATGAGCAGGTCCTTGAGAGAGCTTTGATAGCTCGTCTCAAAAAGCTTCCATGAAAAGCTTACATGAATATGAAAACGAGGTGTATCATCAGCTTTTTGAAACACTACTATGCTTAGCCAACTTAGATGGTTTTTAAAACTTCATCCTGTGTTTGACTCAGTGCTCTTGAAGTTGACACGGCTTGTGGACCGCCTGACTTCAAGAAACCTGATACTTCATTCACACTGGACACTATCCACCATGGCCCTTTCCATTCATGTTTGCAACCACATAGAAAGCTCATGTCAACCGGTTTATAGGCCAAGCTATTATTCAACGCGGTACCGTCTGCTGCGGGTGTAACATACAGTGATTACACAAAACCTATTTTCAAACCCAGGCGTCACGGCCCATAGCTCAAAGTACGATGAATCTCGAGAACCGATCAAGATCAACTCCCTCGCATCTCAACGAGTCATTGCAAAATAGCCTCCTCCAACGTCTTCATACTCACAACAAAGTTCTAGAACTTCTTGTACTCCCCATCGACAAAAGTCACATCGAAAGGCAACTCCTCAACATCCCCCTCAGCAAGCTTCAAGTAAAACTTGCCATGAGACTCGGGGTTGACATCCTTCCCCGTCCCACTCCCATCCGCATTCCTCTCATCAGCGTAGAAGAACCTAGTCAAAGCAAGTCAGCAAGCCGTCTCTTCGCATCAAGAGACAATAGAAGGACACCAAAAGAGAATAAACTCACCTCCACCCCTTCCCCTTAAAAAACCCATCGGCCGCACCCAACCACCACCAAGCCTGACTCTTCGCGACCCCCAACGACAAAAACACCGGCACAGGCTCGGGCTTCACGTTCAACCGGTTCCCCGTAAACACGAACCTGCCCCCCTCCTCCCCCACCTCCTTCCACGCCTCCACGGCCCGCTGCGCAGCAACGTACGCCCCCGTCGCGTTGACCCTGACGTCGTGCTCGAGCTGCCCGACGTCGAGGCTCAGCAGGTTCTCGGCGTCCGGGGGCTGCGAGATGGTGGCGGCGTTGTAGACGACGACGCGGGGCGGTTTGCCGAAGTGGGATCTGACGGCCGCGAAAGCGTCGGCGACCTGCGAGGGGATGGCGAGGTCGGCGCGGATGCGGAGGTGGGATGTGGAGGGGTCGAGGGCCGGCGGGGAGGGGTTGGAGCGGGAGACGACGGCGACGGAGTAGTCTGCCGACGAGAATGCACGGGCTATGCCTGCGCCGAGGCGGGAGCCGGCGCCGAGGATTAGGACTACGGGGGGAGACATTGCGGGGCTGAGATGAGTGTAATAGCAGAAATTGAAGGGGATATGGTTAGTTAATGGGAATGAAGACGAATCGGGTTGATAGAGTACGAACACTCAGGATATCCATTCACAACTTATATACCCAAGTTTCGAAACCGCCTCACCCAACCAGATTCATCCAATATGATATCCCGTAGTGTGACTGTGCCGTATCCGACTACATGTGCATATCACAGATACCACTTCCTACTCACCTGACCTGACAAATCGAAAGACACCAATCCCATGCGGCTCACATTCCCTCTCGGGCAACCTTACCACGACCATCTCACCGAGCTCACCGAGGCGCCGTAAGCAACGACGTCGCACCGCATATTCCTGTTTCCCCGCCATCCTAGACAAATCAGACTCGTCTGTCACAAAAAGACAGGACGGCCTGGAGAAGGGTGATCGTTTGATGACAAACACGACGGTGTGTAAGCACCACGTGAATCGCCATACCCCAACGTCAAGACGTCAAGAGAAGGATGCAATAGAATACCGCGCGGCTCCTACCGGCACATACGTCCCGGCCGAGATCGTCTGCCTGCCTGCTTTTGGTACGCCTGTCTCTTATGTCTCTACGTCTACCCGAACCGGCTTCGGCGTCCGCATCTACAAAGCAGACGGACGCCAGAGGCACGCTATCCCGCGCGGGATTGGACTAGTTCGATCCAAACCGCGAATGGCTTGTCATACGTCGCATTTCCTCCGTCCGAACATCCACCGGCTTATAAATCAGATGTCTGTCTACGCATCGTCAGTTCACCACATCATCACACATCGCTGGCGCATGAAAGAACCAAGTTGTCCAAGGCAGGGTACGAATTCCATTATCCACGACTACAATTACAGTCCCCCCCCCCAAATGGTATATCTGCCTTGAACCTGACTGCTTCCAAAAATAACTCAGGCAGTCCCCAATTCCAAAAGTATGTGGTATCAACCAACTTTCGCGTTGCACATCCCAACCCAATTCCTCATGTCTCGGGTCTCAACCAAGTGAGGGGGATTCCCGTCAGGGACCCCCTCGAAAACATCGCTCAAACGCAAAACCGTCAATTGCGTGTCATGTCGTCGTAAGGCTGAGTAGCGAACCATTGTTTTCGTCCTCCGCTTTTCCCCATCTGGCTCCAAGATGCTTTTCTGCTCCTGGGTCCGTTGCCGCCTGACAGATCTTTCCTGCCAATTCTATAGCAGATTGCACACATCTGCTTCAATATGTCTTATGATTATTGCCGATCATGTGGTTCAAGCTATCAAGTACCACCCACTCATTTGGTACGGCTCATTTCCTTGTACCGAATGGAAGGAGCTTGCGATGAGAAATCTTCTTCTAAAAGGTGTCGGTCTCGTTGCTGGCGACAGTGCCGAAAGTGTCTATGGAATGTTAGTTATATGTTCGTCAAGCCAGAGATAATATGATGTGCTTACCTCTCTTGCGGCGTCGCTCTTCTCTGGCAGCTTCCTCCTCCGCGCTCTTGGGGGTCATGGCTCGAGGACCGCTGGGCCGACGAGCTGGCATCCCAAGGGCAGCGTTGAGGTTGCGGTTCTCAGGCTTGGGGCTGCCAGTGTAGTTGCTGGGCTGAGTGCCAGCGCCGGTGCCGTAGCCGCTTTCTACGCTGTTGTAGGGAAGAGGGCTGTTTTTCGAGCCCAACTTTGAGATACGAGGCTTCGAAGGAGTGGTTGCCCTGTCCTCGATGGGCTCCTTGGGGGGTCGTGGAGGCCCAGCTGGAGAAGAGTTCCAGTACTCGCCGTTCGCAGCACCGGATCCGCCACTATAGCGGTTGGCGTTTGCTGGCAACCGGTGCAGACTGGTAGCAGAGCCAGCCCAGTCAGCGGTGTTGGGAGACATCGGAGTGTCGTATTCGTAAGCTTGACTCTCAAGTGCAGCCTTGAATCTCTCAGTCTGTCCTTGACGAGGCTGAGGGTGTTGGAGATTTACTGAGTTGCGATGCGCCTTGTACTTGGGATCCTCAGGGGTCATGTAGGTGTTGGGAGCAGGCGGGATAGTCTCCAGTCGCGGAGGAGCGGCAAGGTCTTGCTGGGAATAGCCAGTGTGCAATTGATCGCTCTGGTAGTCGTCTTGATACCGATCATCGAATCGAAGATCAGAGCCAGACCGGGAGGGAGGATGCTGGAGGAACTCTTCATCTTGATCTTTCTTGCTGGACCCGCTAACACGGAACGCCTTGCTAACGCTCGTTGCTGTCGATTCAGACCATCGGGAAATCTTGGGAAACCAGCTGGAGGATCCTCTGGACTTGTGCTTCTTTCCCTTGTCGGTCTTCGGCGTATTTTCGTTGCTCAACGACGCGTTCTGGGTGTGGACGGGCTGAGGTGGGGTGCCCAGGGGCACTGAGCCGCCGCGCTGGAATTCACGGGTAGGAGTCATGAGACCCTGGGAGTTGCGGTAATTGTCCTGGTGGTAGTCCTCCTCGTTGTCTTCGTGAACGGTGCTGATGCGGTTGGGCTCGTACCCCATCTTGGAAGGACCACGCGATTGTCCGAATGAAGACATGCCCGAGCCGTGGCTGGTAGAGGAGGTGCCAGCTTGGCCCTCGGGCTCGTACCCACGGTCTTGGTCGTACTGCGCTTCCGGGTCAAGATTCTCAAAGGATTGTCTATCGCTCGGCATGCCGGGCCGGACAGTTTGTGCCTTGAGGGTGTCAACCTCGCTCAGTAGCTGGTTCAGCATGTCCTCGATTCGGCTCAAGTCGTTGGTACCCTTGGTGCTGAGACCTTTGAGGGCCTTCTTGAAGAAGTTGCTCTTCTTGGTGGTCTCATCCAGAGTACTATTCTGAGAAGCGCCACTGGCCTTGATAGATCTGGGAGGAAGGCTGCCGGGGTAAGGCCGAGGACCGCCAATGACGTTCTTGACCGTTTCCTCGGTGTTCTCCTGGACCTCCTTGATAATGACGTCCTCAGTATTGGCAAGGAGCTTCTTGAGGTCCTCGAAGGAGTTTCGCATCTCTGCTGCCGAGCGGACGAGGGTGACGAGAATTTCAGTGTCACGGGCGCTTCTTTGAGCGTCGCGAACCATGAGCTAAGAAGAGTCAGCATTTGTTTCCAGGGCTAGAGAATGCAAGATTACTCACATGTTGCATCAGAGCAATAATGTCCTTGGACTCGATGTTGTCGATGCCGTTACCGGTGGAGGCATCGTAAAGGGGAGAAGCCATGCCCTGAGACATGCCACTTAGATGCCTTGTGTGTTGGGGCGCGTAGAAGGGGTCGTCCGAGTTAGGGCCATTGAAAGGCATCATAGCCTTGCCGTTGGGCTGTCCGATGGGCGATTGCATGGGTCCCTGCGAAATGTAGCCTTCGTCGAAATTTTTGTGGCCAGGGCTGCCGTGGAATTGCGCAGCGTAATCGTCAAACCCACGAGCTCCAAGAAGCTCTGGGTTTTCGATGGGGCTGGCACCGTCGTAGGGGTTTGTGATGACAGTGTCTCGCTTTCGCTCAGCCGAGGTGCGTCGCCACTCGTTCTCGTCGGTCGCGGGGTCTCGACTGGGCTGACGGTGGAGAGCCATGGCGGCTGCAGCTCCCGCAGCAGCACCAGCGGCGGCCATACCGAAATCGTGGCCCTGCTTATGGCTGTCATATTGCTCATGAAGCCCAACATCGCTCTGGCGAGGAGTGATATCGCCGGGCCAGTGACCGCGGTTGCCGTGATCACTGCCGCCAAGGGGCTCCTGAACGAGGGACGGGTTTGTCAACGCATCGTCATCCATGTAGCCGACCTCGGGCATGGGATCATTCATGGTGGGCATGGCACTAGCGCCCATCTTTGGTTGATCGTCCAGGTCGAGGCGGTCGATGCTGTGAGCCGGAGTATGGTTAGGCTCGCGTCCCTCCATTGTTCGCTGCTTGAACGACTTGTTCCTTGAGACACCATCTCCAACCCAGTCTTCATTGTCCTCCTCATCAACCTCTTCAACGGTCGGTTGCTTCTTGTCCTTGGCAGCTCGCAGAGCAGCAGCCGCGGCACCAACTGCGCCCGCGGCAATGGCCTTCTCTGAAGCTGTCGGCGAGTGTCTGGTCGAGGTGGAAGGAGAGTTCCTGTATCTGGCAGTGGGGATCTTTCTGCCGTGTTCATCAATCTCGTACTCTCCGTTGAACTCTCTCGACCTGCTTTGGCGGCTCGAGGTAGGTGTCCTGCTGCTCTCACGCTCTCGCTGCTCGAAGAATTCACGCTGGCTGGCCACAGAGCGTTTCTCGGGACTGACGTCTCTTGACTGCGCCTGGCTCTTAGTTGGGGCGTCGTAAGAGATTTGAGAGTCCCGGACGTATGACACGTTGGAGTCGCCATAGGAGATTTGTGAGTCTCTTCCGTAATCGTAACCAGACCCTGTGGTCATAATGGACTGATCAAGCATCGATCCGTCAATGAGAGAGGCCACGTTGGATTCGACCCCATTGGGGACATGGACAATGTTAGGGTTGGCGACTATGCCGCGCACAGCCTGACCGGGGACTCCAACATCACTGTTCTCGGTGTACTGGCTGTTGCGGTACCCAGCATCGCTGTTCTCCGTCATCTGACTGTTGCGGTAACCAGCTTCGCTGTTCCCAGTCATCCCAGTGATTTGACTCTCGGTGATTTGACTGGCAGGGAAACCAGCCTCACTGTTCTCAGTCATCTGGCTGTTGCGGAAATCCTGAGCACTACGAACACTGCGCTCATCCAGAGATTGCTCGTCAAACCCTCTGCCCATTACATTGCTAGGTATCGAAGACGAGGGAGACAGAGCTCTCATGTCTGCTTGAGATGGGTGAGACTTTGTCGGTGACGCAGTGCCGTGTGAGAGCCTGGAGTCGCGTTGCGCAGCCTCACTGCCGCCCTCAGTGTATCCGGACACACTGTAAATTGGGCTGAGGCCGCGGCGTTCTGGTTGGTACGGGACGTACTTCAACGGGGGCGGTACATCCTGCGTGTTGTAGTAGTCATACTCGTGAGAGTCGTCGTAGTCATCACCCTCTGTGAGACCGCTTCGGTCGTCGTAATCATCATACTCATCGCGGAGCGGCTGGACAGGGCTGTTGTAGTTGTCTATTTGTTCTGTCAACTCGCCGGTGCGTGTGCGGGAGAGCTCCCTCAGGTCACCGTGCGATATGTTGGCGTGCTTCGTGCCGAGAGTTTGCTGCAAGTTTGAAGCTGGCGTTTGAGTAGGCGTTGGCGTGGAGTTGGCTGAGGTCGCGTTGATCGAGGTGACGTTGCCTTTGGCGACCTCTTGAACCGTGGGCAATCTTTCCTCCATCGCTGAGTGAGGACGATCGGTATCAGCCGACAGGATTGATGTGCGAGTCATCTCAGAGGGGTTGATTTCACTCATGAGCGGCATCGGTGGAGCAGGTACTTCTTCCTCCTCATACTCCTCGTCGAATTTCTCTCGGCCTAAGCTGCGGCTACGGGCGGAGCCGTCAGCGCGACGCCTTCTCCGTTGTCGTCTGTCGTCGGCGGCCGGCGAAGCCGCGCTCAGAGCAGCCGCGGCGAGTCCAGCGGCTGCCGCACCTCCCGCTGCAGCCTTGAGAGCTCCATTGCTTCGTCGCGGCGTGTCGTCAACTGAGAGTACTGATTCTCCTTCAACTGATTCGCCGGCAATGCTGCGGGGTGAGTCGACGAAGTCGTGTCGAGCTTCCCGATCTCTGCGCTCGCGGTGGCGGCTGTCGCGGGCCGAATCGTTGCCTTTGGTAGAAGACCTGCGTCGGTCTACTCCCAGGTCCTCGCGAGACAGAGACGTGCCAGTGCCGGTAGATGTGATGGAGCTGCGCCTACTTTCGCGCTTGCTCTGCTCCCGTTTCAAAGCGCTCAGTTCTGGCAGAATAAGTCGTCGGATGGCGTCCTCGACGGTCTCCAACAATTTGGGGTTGTTGATTGAAGATTTTGATGCTCCAGAGCGGACAGAGCTCTGGTCATAGGAGCGGTGGCTGGGAGAAATGCTGGATGTGAGAATGCTGGAATCCACCCCAGACACAACAGAGTCAACATGACTGCGACTAGAGCGTCGCCTAGGCGATCGCGTTCCAGTCTCGGATTGCTTCTCGCTGATGCTGCTCGTTCGACTTTTGCTCGGGCGATGTTTGCGCTCCTTTTCTTTTGATCTCTCATTCGACACCTTTCGCTCGCCGCTGTGTCTCTTCTTGCTCCTCACTTGATCCGCAGCAGCTGCGCCAGCCATTGCGCCAGCGGCACCGGCAGCCAGTTCACCGCCTCGACTCGAACTCTTGCCTCGCTTGACATCAGACGATTTCGTCAAGACGGTCGATCCAGAGCCGTCGTAACCGTCGAGGAAGCTGTCGTTAGGAATGGCCGAAATCTCGGACATGTTGGGAGGCAAGTACGTTGACTCGTGAGCGGCGTCGGCGTCGGGGATCAAAGGGCTCGCCGGCCTTCGACGGCGTCCTCCGCTGCGGTCGATTTCGATGTCGATGGGGTTCTTGGAGACATTGGACTCCTCGGTGGCGGAGGCGTAGGACCGCATGCTGTCTCCGTCCTCGCCCTCGAGGGCTTCGACGTCGAGATGATGAGAGGAGGCTACGGTGGAGGTGCCTAGGGTAGAGGCCAAGGGCACGCGGCGGGCCAGCGAGGTCTTTCGGGTGTTGCTGCTGCTGCTCTTGGTCTCTGTGATTTGGATATGGTCGTGGCGGTGCTTCTTGGACGGGGTCAGGCGCACGCGGACGCTGGGCTTGCGGCTAACCGAGCTGGAATCGCCAGGTTTGCCACCCTCGAAATACTCAATCAGCAACGAGGTCTGGGAGCGATTGGGTCTGTGGCCGCGGGTCTTGATGGTGACGGGAGTGCCGTCCTCGGGCAGAGAGTAGTGGGAGGTTTCGTCGTTTGGCCTGGAAACATCGGTCGCCAGTTCGGTGGGGGTGGTGGAATCGGTCTCGGTCGGGGCAGGAAGTGGAGGAGGCTTGTCGGAGTCAACACCCATTGTGTTGCTCAGCTCTCGGCCTCGGCGACGGAGGAGGTGGTGTTTGCGCGGGCGCGGAAGACGAATGCCTCGTTCGACGGCTCACACGCACACACCTGTTGCACTTTCTCTTGTCCTTCCCTCGATCAGGGAAAGGAAAGAGAGAAGAGCAGCTCTGTGAAGGCGAGAGGAGGTGTGTGAGTGGGTTGCAAACGGTGGGCAAAGGCAAGGGTTTGTTGTGGGTGCCGGTTCGCCGTTCAAGACATCAGGAGCGGTTCGTTGCTGCGGGAAAAACTGGGCAGGCTGGGCGATAAGCTGGGCTGGCGAGGCGAGGCGAGCTCACGCCGTTTGGGGGCCGTTGCGATTCGGCGATGTTTGCGCGCAGAGGAGGGGGAATTATCGAAAATGGAAAAAGAAGAGTATGTGGCCGCTGATGCCACACGCGCAGCCAAAGAAGAAACCACAGCTGAGACAAAAATGATATCAGGTGCGGGAAGAAAAAAGTGAGGGAAAATGAGTGCGGCAGTACGATGGCGCAAGAGAAAGGCCAAGTGGTTGAGGTGCGGTGCAGTAAGAGCGAGGTGAGGTCAGGTAAGGTTGGCGGTTGCCAAACTGGGGTGGCTGGGCTGGCGGTTGCCCCCGGCGATGTTTTTTTCCCCGGCGGATCTTGGAGCTGAAGTGAACAAGAGAGGCAGGTAAGCTCCAGGGGTCTACCTCCTTTGGTTTTACAATAAGGTAGGTAGTCAGTCTACTTCTCCTCCCTTCAACGTCGTCGTCTTCGTCGTCGACTTAATCCCGAGACAACGACTAAAAAAGCTGGCGGTCTGGTCGAGAACGCAAGGGCGAGAACAATTCTTGTGTGTCAAAGAAGGATTTCGACGTTGGGTATCCGTATAGCAAACGGGCAGTCGATAATACAGAAAGCGACAAGGCGAGAGAGACGTGCAAACAGATGGCAGCCCGGGGGGTCGAGGTAGTTAGTTTGGAGGCGACAGGCTCACAGTCTTGGATGATGCAGGCAGACACAACCTGGAAAGGCAGAAGGCACAGGGAAGGACGCTCGAGGAGGGGGAACGGTAGGGGACTTGGGAACGCTTCGTCAGGCTCTGGTTTGGCTCTTCTGCGTCTGTGACTGCGTCTTGGTGTCTGTACCGGATCGCCTCCCCCGGTCGTCCCTCGTCCAAGCTTATGAGGCTTTGTTATCGAGGTACAAAGAAACCACCCCAAAATACTACGGTCATCCAAGTACCCGGCGTCATCTCAACTTGACAAGCTGGTAAGGTGAGAGCGGGAAGCGGCTGGGCTGGGCCGGGTTTTGGCTCTTTGGGCTGTGTGGCCTGGACTGGGAAGACTGGTCGACACATTTCGAGAGAGCAGAGCAGAGTCCTCCCGTCAGAAACAACAACCCGCCTGACGGACGGATATCTCACGGTTCAGTTCCCCGTCCACTGAATCGAAGCGGCGAGCAACCCCTCGAGAGCTAAAAACGGGTGCGACTGTGCCGACCAACAGATGGCCTTCGTCCCACGAGGTGGAGGGGCTTTGATGAGTTGTCCCTCGCTCCCTTCCCGAAAAGAGCTGGGAAGACGCCGGGAGACGGGCCAATTGCCGCCGCAGGCTTGGGGCGTGTGCGAAGGACCTTGCATCTGGGTGCTGTTCCAGAGGAACACTCATCACACATTCTCTCACTCTCGCTCTCACTCTCATGATATCGTCGTGCCTCCACGGCTTGAGCCACACATTCTCCCCTTCTCCGGCCCATCACATCGTTTAAACTCCCGACTACCTGTCTCAAGTGGCTTCTCTCGACCTTCACCGTCTCTTCTCCTGCAGCAGTTCTTACGGATACCCTGTTCACGTTACGTGCCTTACCTCTACCCAACGGCCAAGCCGACCCCTCCGTCGTGCCTTAGTCGAATTCCAGTGCTCCAGTCTCAGCCCGGGTCAGACAGAGCTCAATCACCAATTCGTGACATGTGTGGCAGCTTCACTTTGACCGTTGGCTCTTCACTCATAAGCTCATCTCACGAGCACCATCATCTCACTTGCCAATCCTCGTTTGTGATGCCCCTCTCTCTCTCTCTCTCCCAGCCACCCCGCGATAAACAATCACAATCGCACAATCGCACCCATATCATCCCACTTTCCTCGCTACCTTCCCGTCTCTCTCTCTCCCCTCCCCCCCAGCCCCTCCAAATCAACGGAAATCATTTTAGAAAAAAACCCAACTTTGGCTCAAAAAGGATCCCCTGTCCATTGGGTACATTGAAACATGGCGACGGCCCCCCACAGACGCCGAGTGGAGCGAGCTCGGGCGTCCGTCACATTTTGGCTGGACGACGGGAGGAGCCCGTGGAGAATGATCAGCCACTAGCAGGGCGCAAAATAAGAAATCAAAACTGGGGAGCTTGGGCTGTCCCGGTCCGCGCCTCTTATTTTCCCGTACGTTTCCTGAACTGACTGACGACTGACACCGCAAACACTGACGCTGACGCTGCCGCTGCCGCTGCGCTGCTGGCTTGACAGGGACATGAATCAAGGTAGGACCGGTAAGATGGCAAATCCTATCCCGTCCTGGCGCCTGAAACCGCATCTTCTATCTGCCACCCGCGGCGCCGCTCGTTATGTCCAGGATCAGTCCTACGTGGAGTGACATTCGGATGTCATCTCGCAACCGACGGAATCAAGAACCTCTCTGTAACCCGAGACCGGCCGAATCCAAAAGGCCTCCTTCAATACACCAGAAAGACAGAAAGAGACATCGGATGCCACCCGACTAACGGGTCTAATCTCACTTCAGCTGCCATCTTCCTCGATAGTGCGTGGGAAAATCGGTCTAGGCAAAAGTCCACGTATCTGGTCCAAGCAGTGGCAAACACACAACTCTCCCCCGCCTCCATCGGGATGCCTCGAAAGCCAAGACTCGCTCTCCGCCGACTCTCCGGCCCCAGGCCCCGGCCGTTTGCACACCCGTCTACCCGCAACGCTCCGTTAAGTCTCAATATCCGTACCAGTGGACTGACACTATCAATGGGCTCCGGCAAACATCCACTGCTTCTCCTCCTTCTTGCGCCGGGAAATTCGTATATCGCAGCATGCCCAACATAGATGCTTACCTACCTACCGCGAGCCACTCCGTGCCCGACAGAACGTCCTCTGCATGATGCAGGAAGACGACCGGCCAGTCCTCTCGACGCCGTTGGCAGACCGCTAGCGCATGCAAACTCGCGATCGCGGGGGCCGCCTTCGTTTGCACCACTCAGCTCCCCTGAACACGAATGACCGCCGTCGCCTCCGGGAGGACGCCCTCCTTCGCCCGCTTGATTGGCCCGTTTGGGCGCTCTCGTCCGACGAATTCGTACCGAGGGATAGATCGGCCTGCCGTGCGACTGTGGATACGCCTCCGGCGGAAACCCGCAGCTCTGTGGCTGTTGCCAGGGACGTCCGCCCCTTCTCGACATCTTACGAAAATAATGAACAGATGGATGTGTCACTTGGAGGTTGATAAAATATTAGGTCATGTCTGCTGTGAGGTTCAACTTATGTATTGTCATGCAATGATGCTGTCTGAGGGTCCTCCTCTTTGTGGTATCTTCTGCCGGCTCGCATCTGTGTACTACTACTACGCCAAATGCCAGATGCCGTGTCCCATTTAACCATGATTCGTCTATCGACACGTAAAGAATGAAGGAAACTACTGACGTCCAAAAACGTCTACGTTGACTATTAACATCCAGCCGTTGCTGGCTCATCTCCTCATTTTCTTGGCGTCCCGTGGCCGCAATGCGTACTGCGTCGATGAGTCCTCCGTCTCGGCGCCATCCAGCAGCTCTTCGACGGTCGGGTTCTCGTTGAAGTGAGTCGGCAGCCCGCCGCCCAGCACGGTCCGTGCCGCGTCGAGCCTCGCCATAAGAGACCACGAGTCGATGAGCACGACCTTGTTTCCTAACCTCAACTTTTCGCGGTACCCGAAGCCGCTCATGTCATCATCGTCGTCGTTTCTGCGTCCAGGCTCCGCCTTGGTTCCTCCGGTGTGCGGGTTGAACGACGGGCGGCCGGCGGTCGAGAAACCGGGGCCCTTGCCGTGTTCCAGGGAGGTGACGATGCTGGCGAACTGCTTGCGCAGGTGGCGACGATCCTTCCGGGAGGTCTGCTTCACCGAGGGCTTTGATGCTTCGCGCATGCGGCTGATGAGCCGCTTAGGATCGTACTGCAAGTTCATTGGCTCGCCCGTCTCTTCTTCCAGGTCTCTCGCAGCCTCGAAGATGAAGGCGATGTTGAAACCGGCGCTCGTCTGTACATCGACGTCCGTGCTGTCGAGCTGCTCTACAAAGGCGTCGATGGCCGTGTAGACGTTCTCGGTGATGTCGTCGATTTGGCTGGCGACAAAAGCCCATGATTCGAGTGCCGCAGTGACGACGTCGCCGCAGTCGCCAGCGCTGATGGATTCTCCGTCGCTTTCCACGATCGCGACGGTGTACTCGAGAAAGTCGCTAGCGGCCTCTTCGCTGCCGCCGCCGTAGAGTGTCGCGATGGCCATGGCCCAGATGGCAGCGGCCTTGACGTCATTGTCCTCGTCATCTTCGCACGTCTTCTCCAGTTGCGGGTAGATGTCGTCGAAGAGTGCCTCGGACGGCGAAGTAAGCAGGGTGGCCTGCAGCGACTTTAGGGAGAATATGCGCTCAACGGAGCTGCCTCCAGACCTGATGTTCTTCATCAGGGCGGAAACGATCTCGTTCAGAGAGCCGCTGATCTGGCGGCCACCGTAGTGGTGCTTGACGAGGTGTAAGTAGGACATGAGAGTTGTCTCACGGCCCTTGGTATTGGTTCGCTTGCGGTCCTGGAGCTCGACGATGCGGTCTTGCAGTAGAGTTGCCCATGATGCGTCGGATGCTCCGCCGGTGCCCTCGTCGCCGGAGTCGGTTGCGTTCGACAATGTGCTCATGGTCATGTTGTCATCGTACTCGTCGTCGCTGGCGTCGTCCTCGGAGGCATAGCGACTGCCCGGGCGCGAATGCGCGGGGGAGGCCACTTGCGAGTGAGAAGGAGAGATATTGGGGGAATTCCTCGTGGAACCCCGCGCGGACTCGGGACGCGATCTCGCCTTCTTGGAGACAGTCTTGCCGCTCTCGCGGAGAACCTTGAGTCGGAGGTCGTGCATGGTGGCGACGGTGAATGTCGAGTACTAGGTGTGTGTTGTGTAGGTAGGTATAGAAGTGGAAGTAGCGCGCGGTACTTCTCAGAGAGAAGACCAAGATCTGTAAGCGTTCCGATTAAGTGGAAACTAGAATATTCTGTATTTGTATCGGGGTCGCGATTGTTTGGTGTTGATTCTCGTGGTGTTTTCAATCTTTGACAACCAACAATCCATGAGGCAGCGTCGATGCGTGCTTATATATAGACGAAGTAGAGAGGAGTGGCGAAAGGTTTCGGAGATGAGGCAGCGTCTAGCGTGCTTCTTTCCCCGGTTGGTAGTCTGTGGGCGTCTTGTAGGTTCGTCAAAGACGCGGAGGTGTCGCGTATAGTCCGGGAGAATCACCAAACTACCGTCTCGGAGGTAGGAGTTTGGGGATTTAAATTAGGGCAACGGCGAAAAAAAAAAGTTGTGGAGGGTTCGATGAGTATGGTGGGTGGTAGCGGGTGAATATTAAGAAGAGGGTGTTTGGGTGGCACTTGATTTTGGAGGAGAAAGAACTATGACCCTTGACGTGAATGCTCATGGCATGGACCTGGGTACGTCCAGGTCCCAGTCAGCGGGTGGACATATGACGAATGACGACCGAGACTTTCTAATGGCCTGTAGGGCGAGACACGCATTTGCGCAAGGAACACAGCACTTCTGATTCTCTGCCATTTTTGCTCGGCGGCAGCTTGTCACTCCACATTCCCGAGTGCTGGACTCCAGAGTGATGTATTTTGGCGGGGGGCTTTGTGGGCGTGGTCCATCCGCTCGCGCAGTCTGGTTGGCGACCCCTGCACGTAAGGGAGATCGCCCCCGTCCTTGGTTGTTGGCCTGTGTCACTGATGAGTCTGTCACTCAGCTACTATGCAGTAGACCGCATGCGAAAGAGGGGTGTTGAGGGACCATTCCCTTCCGAGGTGACCGGCACCGAGGTACATGATGCCACTCAGCACTCTGGGGGTCTCAGCGATGGATGGGAAACAGGCAAAAATGCATCATCTGATCGTGGCAGATTCGGGCTTAGACAGTTGCGGCCGGCGCAAGCGACAACCGATTCTAGGTGTTTCTCAGAACCACCATCGGATTCGGTAGATCCGCAACTCATTTGTCTCTGGACATGACGGTTCGGCGACAGCTGCGTCTGTCTTGTCAGGTACCCGGCAAGAAAATGTTTGGCTTTGCTGACTATCGTACAAGCTATCCTGGTTGATAATGCGTAGGTAAGCTGTGATGGTCTAGCGCACGAGAAATCAAGGAAAGGTGTATGTTTTATGCCAACTTACCATCTTCACCCAGGCGAAGGCAACATGTGCATTATCTGCCTCAGGCAAGGGTATATTGTGCTTTCGGAAGGGAGAAACAGCGCATGAACAGATGGGAGGATGTCAAGGTAACCAGACCAACAAGCCAACAAGCTGTACGCACATTTGCGCATTAATTATTGAGCCAAGGCGACGTGGGCGGCGTCTGCTGGCGCGCCAGATGGTCAGATGGCGGACCAACGTTCAAGGCAGTAAGGTAGCAAGTAAGTATTCGTCAGTCGCCCCGGCTCTCACCGCGATCTCACTTGAAGGCGGATTCAGGCGACTAAAATAGAACTTAGAAGACTCGTCGGATACCTCGCTTGGTCTCACCTCACAAGACAAGGGTCATTATAGAAAGACTTTCACAAGGAGCCAACATTTGGACAAGTTTTCAAGTACGGACAAGCCTTGTACTGTAGTTTACCGGAAGGTGCGATTTCTCGAGTCGTGCCTGCCTCTCCGTCGCAGCTTCACCTGGTACCTTAGGCTTTTAGATTTACCTTGGTCTACCTACCTATCTCACCTAAAGTGCACCTCTCCAACCAATAAGCTACATCACCACCACTTCACACCTCTTGGCTGCCTTCCCTTCCACATCTTACCTTCCATTGCTCTATGACTCCCGTATCCATCTTTCACCTCTTCATACTTTTCTCATACAGCAAGCCATTTCGCCTGGCACTTCATCGTGTTGCTCATAAGCTCTCCGGCTGTCAGGCGTAAGGTCGAAGAGAGGTATCCACAAGGTGTGCCCCTCTTTCCTAATCCCGTCATCACCATTCCAAACTGACCCGGCTCGGAGTGAAGCCTGACGCCCAGACACACACTGTGTAGTCTGGCGGGGCACCAACCAATCAAGGTTCCTTTGGCGTACACTTGTGAATTGCACTTTCTGCCCTTTGGTCCCCTCAACTTTGAGAGAAACCTTGCGACAAAAAGTACTCATATCAAGAAGCCGCGGACGAGTCTTCTATTCCTTCTTCCACCTTACTTCTTCTACCTCTTCTCCCGGCAGGTCGAGTCAGTTCCGGGTCGGCAACTTCACCTCCTTCAGTGTCCTCTCTCTTATCACCACCACCCGACCAACACTTTATCTAAAGTGTCCGAACGTCACCTCACCGACCCCACTAATCCACCATCCCCCACCACCAGGGACGCCAACACCCTTGCAACCACCCCCTCCGCGCGCTTGCCTGAGGTCCGATAAGGCGTTATCGCAGTCAAGTTGCCTGCGACTGCCTGATACAGTAGCCAGCACGGTGCTGCTTCCCGATTTCTGCCCCACTGTACCTCACTGGCCTCAAGTCCTCCTTACTTACACTGTATCGCTCCTACCTCTTTACCTACCTGCCTTCACCTCCCACCTTCCTAACCTTCCCAGCCAGCCCGCGGCGGACAAGAAGGCTGATTTCTACGCCCGGTTGCCTTCTTTGCTTCTTCTACCATTTTCCACTCTTCACTCCGACGTGGTCTTCTGCGAAGATACACCTCAAATCTCACGTACTCATCGAGACCGAGTCGTCTTATCTTCGTCTGCACCCCATCAGCTCGGACACCTTCGGACGGAGGTAGCATCTCCCGAGACACGACCAAACACACCACCGCACCTCGATTTTGACCCTTCAAGCTACGTCGAGGATAGCAAGGTCCTCGCTTTTTTCGACAAGCACCCTGAGTTCACAATTACTTGCGGCCAAATCCCTTCACGATGGCTTCGGGTCAGAAGCAGCTGGCGAGAAGTGGTGAGTGCCTTCCCCCAACCCGCTCCTTCCTAATGGTATTGAATGCTGACCGATTTACCAGTGCTCCTCACATTCTCGACCTGCCACGCACCTCCCGAGTTCGAGTACCCCGAGCGCAGAATCTTGTTGGAGTCCAAGGGCACCGATACGCCCACTCCGAGCATCAAGATTGGCAGAACTAGCAAGCGCTTTCAAGAGCTTGGAGCCAAGGAGAACAACCTCTTCTTCGACAGCCCGGTTATGAGCCGCGACCATGCCGAGCTCTTGGTTGACTGGTACCACAAGGTACGTTCTCTTCTATAATATCTTAGCATCAATCTCTAACCTGCATGACAGAAAGTCTTCATCAAGGACACCAGCTCCCTCCATGGCACTCACCTGAACAACTCGAGACTGCGTTCTGATGAGAAGCGTGAGTTGGCTCACGGCGATATTCTGAAGTTTGGAATCGATATTCAGCGATCCACCGAGACGTTTCCGCCTTGCACAGTTGAAGTGCAGTGGGAGTGGAATCCCGCGCCTCATTCCCCCGAGAAAATAAACAACCGGCCTGCGTTTCAGGTCCCTGATGATTATGATACCAGTGACGACGACGATGACGAGAGCGACGTCAGAGCAACGGTTGAGAAGATTCGAAAGATCGAGCAATACCGTTCAATCCGCTCTTTTGGCAATATGCCGTCCATCGATCTGACCCGGGAGTCTCCCAAGCCCGGCCCTGTGGAGGGCCGTTCGGTCATCGTTATTGACGATGATGTCCCGAAGGCTGCCACTCCTGAAGTCGTGGTTTCGGAAGTCACAGTCTCGAACGTGCCTGCTATTGCGACCTCGTCGCAGCCCACCTCAGATGCGGTCCTAGATATCGACGCCCCGCACGAAGATGATCCACAGATGTACGATCATCCTCTTCGACCGCTTGACTTGGATTCTGATTCCGACAACGAGTTGGTGGACGAGGCATTGCCGCCGTACGACGACGACGTGTCAAGTCAGTCCGACTCATCTGCCGAGGAGGATATCTGCCTCAGTGACTCACTGAGTGGCTCCGACAGCGAAGAAGATCAGAGCAATGATGAACAAGATATCAACGATTCGGACAGCGAGCAAGACGCCAGTGGCGACGAAGAAGACATCGAAAGCCCCATGGATTACGACATGAATGATAACGACAGTGTCGACGACGAGTATGAGTCCCAAGTCGATGAGCCCACCTGGGAGATCCCGACGACCACTCTGGAGCAATCTGTTTACGGGAAGGTCGCCAACGTCCCCATTCCTCAGGTGCCATCTCAACATATTACCAATCTCCCTGTCTTTCCCAACATCAGCGTACTCTCTTCTACTTCGACTCTGCCACGTACCCCCTGGACTCAACTGCCTCAGCAGGGCGCGGAGGAGCTCAAGTTGCCGCCTCTTCTCGGCCAGAGAAACTTTCCCGACTTGTTGACGGCGCAGCCCTCGGATATCAACTCCTCTCATCGTCCTATGCTTTATGTACCTCCTCCCATGCCTCTGGAGAGAAACCCCTGGCTGCCTCAGAACGACGGGCCATCCGCTGAGGATCTGGGCCAGATGACTGGCAAGCCTGAATACTTCGCAGCTCGTGAGCATAATAAGGCAAAGATGGAACGAGAAGAAGTTCGGGAACCTTCTCCGGAGCCCATCCAGTCTGTTGCAGCCACCAAGGCGACTGACGACAACACGACGACTCAGCCCAGCTCGACGCCTGTCGAAGCTCCCAAGTCAACGCAGATTCCTCAGTCTGCTTGGATGACTCCCGGCAACAGGTTCATCAACTCGCCTCAAGAGCCCCCTCTGCTTCTGCGCAAGGCCAGCCCTGAGTACGATATGACTAGCGCGTACCAATTCCAGCAGAGCAAGCTTCAGGCGTCTACCATGCCGACATCAATTCCTCATGTTGCAGTCGACAGCATCCAGGCTCCTGTCAAGGAGCTTGCCAAGTCTCCGAAGCGCAAGGCTGATGACATTTCATCTTTGCTCCCGGAAGAACAGGCTGTCGAGGTCTCTGCTTCTGCTACGGAGCAACCCAATGGAGAGACGAGTCAAAGCGCCACTCCCACTGGAGAAGCCGCCGTTGCGAACGTTGCATCGAACGATATCATTGTGTCCACGAACACAAAGACTGAGCAGCCTCCCGCGAAACGTCTCCGTTTCCTTCCTAGCTGGAAGGGAGTCGGTACTTTTGGCGCTGGCATCAGTGCTGGTGGCATCATGCTTGCTAGTATGCTCGCCATGTCAGCTCCTAATCTTTGATCTAACGCACCGATTCTTTTCTTTCCTTTTTCTTTACTTGCTTACAACTCCCAAATTTGGGTCAAACGGTCCTAGACTGAAGGTTTGGCCACGGCGTCATGGACATTAGGTACAGGGTATCGGGTCGCTGAAGGGTCCGACGATGAAATGGCATTTTTAACGGTTATGGATACGAACGGTTATGGCTCGGATTCTGGGAGGACAACTACTATTACGACGGCTATGCCACAGGCCGCAACATTTCTTTGGCCGGACGTTTTCCTATTTTTAGCAGTTAACTTTTAGCCATTCTCAGGGTTAGCTTAGTCTACAAATGTTTCGCTACGTATTGCAGCTCAGGGCTATTCTGGGATCGTTTCGAGAGGTACCATGATGCTGAAGTATGGCCTTCTGCAGCGATGTTGTTGCGAGGACAGTGTTACCATAAACCAAGTATCGCCGTGCATAGCGAGCGTAACAGCATCTCCTCGGCGTTCCAGGTGTTGGGACGTTGCTAGCTTGAATGACGGAAACAGCAACAAAAGAAGACACAATGGGGAACTGTTGCGTCTGAGTAAAGCGGTCTCAAACTCTACACGTCCGTCTACTCCCCGTCTCGCGACGCACAACAGAAATATTACGCTGTGAATGCTCAGAGAGTGGTAAACGACTGTAATAATGTATAATGGTTCAGTCAACTGCGCGTTTTGACAGCTCAAGTAATGGAAAAGAATGAAACGTCAGAAACAGGCTGTTTGTTTTTCGCTGCTGTATATCAATCTACAGCGTTTAGACTCCCGTCCCTCCCTGACCGGGAAGTGCGGCGCGCGAAATACCTTTGACGACGACAGCGGCAGCGAGGACGATAAGGGGAAGCGCTGTCGGGAGAAAGGACTTTTATTTCCTGTCCCTCCGAGACATGCGTGAGCATGTTCTGACCTTGGTCCCCGGTCGAGGACTCCTTTTTGAAGAAAACGATGGCCAAGATTGGGGGCTAGTTCTTTTTGTGCTACTGTTCACTGCGTCTCGCAAGTTTATCTACGGCGGGCGACGCCACGCGGATGGCAGCTGCGTGTATTCAGGTTTCCAAGCCGGAGGAAAGACGAAGCGTTCTTGAGGTGTGCGGCATGCGTCGGTGAACGCAGCAAGACCGGGGGTAAGGGTAAGCGGTCGGGTAAGAGGAGAACGGAAGAAGGACGCAGGGAGAAGGACGCAGAGAGAAGGAGAGGAGATAAGCTTGATAGATGGGGAAATATCACGGGGTGCGAACACTATGTGCGTACTATTCCCCGGAATCTCTCAGACGCTTCTGAGAGGACCGTGTAAATGAAGGCGTGAGAGGTCCTGCATGGTGATCATGCCGGGAGGGGGAGGCGATGTAACGAGAAAACGAAGGAGGAAACATTCCTCACTCCCCTCGCGCGAGAAGGACCAGGGCCGTATCGGCGGGTGTCGGGAGTACTGTGATGGAAGCGCCGAGCCTTCAGTCCACGGCCACGTTGCCGTGCGGCGATGTTATACTGTGCCGGTTGGGATAAGGGGGAACTTTGGAGAGCGCCATCGAGAGCACAAACTTGTCAGATGACCTGCTATGACGGCGTCGAGAAGCTCCTTGATGGTGGTACGGCGCAGGAATTAGTTGATTGTTGTTACAGGAGTGCCGAGATCGTGAGGCCGGCAGAGCTGCGATCTTGTCAGAGTTCCCCGATGCTTAGTGGTTGCATCAGTTGAGGATCCTTCCACAGCCTCGAGCTATTCAGGAGGAAGTTGGATTATGAGAAAATGGCATCCGGTATATCCCGATGTGCCTGACCGATTGAAAACGGGAGAACCAGCACCTGGAGAAGGCAGCTGCGTGTAAGCTGGAATATTGGGTTGTTTATCCACAAAATGGCGCCTAAACCCAGCTGGCTGGCGGCGCCTTCATGCACTGTCGCATGTCGTAGACCGGTCAACTCTATGAGACCTCGCGTAGCCCAAGCTTGAGGCAAGCAAAGGCAGTAGTCCTCTTGCTGCGTTTATGATGACTGGCGTCAAATATTCGCCTCACCTAGCATGGGCCGTCCCGTGCTAGTCGCTTGACGAGACAGTGGTACTCGAAGGGAAGGGCTGAAGTGGCTGCTGTGTCCGGTAGCCCACGAGAGCCCAAAGGCAGCTCTGACATCTTTTGAGGCTCTCATTGGTTCCGGCCGAAAGCTTTGGGATGTGGTTGCACCGCCAGGGGTGAGATGGGTTCTTGCAACACCAACACTGCTTCCATCAGCCGCGAGCTTGTCGTGGCTGAGCCGACATCAATCAACACCGCTCTTTTCTTTTTTCCTTGTTCTGTGATATGCTGACGGACCCTTGGCCTGGCTTCTTTGACTGCAGTCTCCCAAGACCCTAATGTACTCGGTGTAAGTCTGTGTGGGCGGATCGGCATGGGTATGATGCAGGTATCCGGAGGCCGGTCGAGGTCGCAGGGTGGTTGCTGGGAACAGCTGGCGTCCGACGCAACCGGACCTATCGCCGAGCAAATCAGGAAGTTCCAGAGGAGAGTGCTTCCATTGTCAAAAAAGAACAATATGTATGCGACGCACTGCGATCGGGAGGTCGAGAGCTCGCTTGTATGGTAACGCAAAGGATATTCAGGCTACTGAAGTCAGGAAACAGTCACAGCATCGGAAACACAGATGCCACTTACCTCCAAGGCGCCGCCAGGATGGCATATGTAGGCTGAGGCCTGTACTTCCTGAGGCTGACGTCAATCTTGTGACGAAGTTGCTGAGTTGACTGACGTTTGAACAGCGTTTGTCGAAGGACCCATGTCGGTAAGGACATTATCCCGATCAGGATAGTAGAATAAGGCGGCATATGAAGTATCACCCACACCCTCCACCCCATTCGTTGGTACGCAGGATGAAACGAGGCAACCTTGGGAGCGGCGCCCGGTGTGGTCACAAGACCGGGCCAACAGTCTTCCCCTGTGATGACTTGATAGCTGATTGATGCTCTCGGCGAAGATGCCGAGAGCGATCTCTGGGGATGGCGGTGAGGGCTGACCGAAGTCGAAAGCCAGCTAGGTCCGTCAAACCTCATCCAAGGCGTGATACGCCTCCAGAGGCTTGTCAATAATCACCCGACAAGGTGTGATGGGAAAGTATAAAGCCGTCCCCGTGGCCTACCTCTTCAAGGGCCAAAAGCCTTGAAGAATCATCGCCAACTTGTCTGGTCATATAATACTGCAACTCCTAAAGCTCATTACAAGCAGTCGACGACATCAACACCATGTCTTCCATTGACGAAATTTGCGGTTGTATCGAAGACATGTACTCGGGCAAGTGGGACTTCAGAACCTGTACCCATTGTCTTGGGCATGAAAGGTGAGCAATCATAAACGAATGCTTCATCATCGCCGCACAAGTGACTGACGAGTGTTGAAGAAACGCATGCGATTTCTGTGGGTCTCAGGGTGTGGTTAGAGTCCCATGCTCTCATAGGCGTGCAGTCGAAGATCGATCCTGCAGCTCCAAGCCTCGGACTGGAGACACTCATCCAGGCAAGCCCGGGCCCAGAGGTCCCAGAGACCCAACCCAAGGAGGTCCCAATAGGGGAGTCGCCGCTGGTCGCAGCTGAAGACGTCTGACGAAGTCTCTTTGGAACCCCAGCAATGGGCATCTTGTATATGTCATCATCCCTGGCAACCGCACCGCTCTAGGTGAGAGCAGGGAGGCCGGAAGGGCCACAACTGTGTGTTTCTGGGCGGAGTTCCTGTGTCGAATTCGTTGAGTTTTGTTCAGTTCGGTGTGAAGTAGGATAGATCATTTGCGGCTGGCTCAGTTCCACGACACTGAATGAAACCATCGCCAGAGAGTAAGCCGTTAGAACCCCAAAAAAGAAGCGTTCTCAGATCGTAAATTCCCTGAGTCAAGAATATGAAAACATAATTGCTCAGTAGCTCTCGTTTTTGCTGCTCTCTGTTTCTTCTTGCATGTTGCGTTGCTATCGGGCTCTGCTTCCAGCCGCTGAGAACAGAAAGCCGAAGCCTCACCACGGCTCATGGCCCAAAGGAGCCCAGAAAAGATAGTCAGTTTCAATGGGCAACGAGAGGAAGTCCGATGTCGTCTGAAGTAACGTCCGCTCGCCTATCCGATGCAGCGGAACCACGGAATCTGCTCGAGGTATTGCGCAAATCCGATGTGTTGAGATAGTAAAATCGTTCGCATGACCCGCAAGGGACATTGTATGTGCTCTGTTGTAGACCATCGGGTCAGTATCCGGGTGACCCCATTGGATGAGTTATTACCTGTGTACTTTGGCACGATTCTTTGGGACGAATACCATCGTACCTCGATTTGAAGCTTCCTTCGGGGAAGTTTACATTGCTTCCGAAGTTGGACAAGGTCGTTGCAAGCCTTAGAGTTTAGCTCGCTAAAGAATTCGGGAGACGTGCTTGAGTACGAGCGCCGAGTGGCACAGCAGAATTTGCGTCAGCTTAAGGTAAGAAAAGAGACTTCCAAAAGACACTCGTGGTAATCGGCGTACTCGGGTTGAACAGTGTCCATGTTGTTCCCGGCTACAGGAGGGCTGACACGCAGACGTGGCATCGACAATGATTGACAGCATCGAATCTGGCGGACTTTGAAAAACTCGACATTCTATGTTATTTGCGTCCAAAACACTCCTCATATAAACCGCTTTGTGAGCAGATTGACAGATCTGCCCGGAGCCGTTGAGTCTGTTGAAAGATCTAATCGAACACTGTGTGTGTTTGATGTAGATCGACCAGGGGACTCTGCAAGTTCGGGCTGAAATGTACAAAATGCCGACGTCCAATCGTTTCCTCGGGACGTTTCCGTTCAGCAGTCGGGATGGCGTGGATTGAGACAAGTCGAATAAGGCAGCGATGTAGGTAGGGCAGTAAAAGATGGCAGCACCGCCAGTCTAATCTGATGACACAGTACAACAGTCGTTGTCATCGTAGAGAATCTTCGTCAAAACTCGTCGAAGACACGTGGGCACATCGGAGGAGGCGGTATCGGCCGAATCAGTGCTGCGTGAGGGAAACGTTCCAACGTCCGAATGTCATACGTGACGACACTTGAGGCCCAATTGACAACGTGGTGTTCCAGAAGATTTCAGCCTGATAAGTGACTGATCCGCCGACGGGATCTCCAAAGAGGCGTACGAGTTCTGTACGAGTCCTGCGCAAGTGGTTTGAGCAGATCATGGCGGCAGCACGAGACCTGATTCTGATGACGCTGGCGGTAAGTATGCCTATGCCACGTCGACGAGAAGCCGGTATTCGTACAGCAGCTGTACTTCTTCCAAAGCCGGATTCTGTCAAATCGTTCTCGTTATGTTATTGGTAACGAATACCAGTCCGTTGGACGCAGGCCAGGGCAATGTATCCGGTTACACTGCTGCATGGCTCGCCGAAGGTGTCATGTGGCCAGACTCGGGCCAATATCCGTGGCAGATCAACTTCAACACAGAATATTACGAGATGTAATTTCGTTCGCATTGGGGTGTTCGAATGACGCAACGTTGCAAATGTGGTCGAGGGAGGTTCAGATTGATGAACAGAGGAAGTCGAGCTGCAGGTGTAAGTGGTACGTACCTAGGACTTCTGTATCCGAGGTTTTTCCGACGGCAAGCACAGAGAGGTGGAGCCTCTGCGCCCCGGACCTCTGGTGGGGCCGTGTTGAATTAGGAACCACAGTGGAAGGTGCGCAGCTCCCGTCTAGCGATGGCAGTCCAGCCGACCGCATCGTGGAGGGGCAGCTTTTGGTGGACAACTTACGCGCAACACCCTCTCCGGCGCGACCTTCGAGTCCTCAACAATTTCTTTTATTTTATGCGGTATATGATGAGATAGCTGAAGCCAAAGACTTCTATGCAGTAACCATGTCTGTGATTCTTTGCACAGGTAAGCCCCAAAGTCTTTCGCATCACAAGGTGCCATTCAGCCATCGCGCCTTTCCACTGCTCAAATGCGCACATTGCTAACAGTTTGCCAGCGGGTTACGACCACACGATCAGGTAGCTGGAAGCCAACGCAACTTCCAAAACGTCGAAAGTTTCTGACACCTCCTAGGTTCTGGGAGGCCCTCTCTGGTATCTGCTCCCGTACGATCCAGCACCCCGACTCCCAGGTCAACCGCCTCTGCATCTCCCCCGACAAGCGCTTCCTCGCGGCCGCGGGCCACCACACCGTCAAGCTCTACGATATCAAATCTACGAATCCGAACCCGCTTCTGACTTTCGAGGGCCACACGGGCAATATCACTGGCGTCGCCTTTCACTGCGAGGGCAAGTGGATGGTCACCTCCTCCGAGGACGGCACCGTCAAGATCTGGGAGACGCGCAGCGGCCAGGTCCAGCGCAGCTACAACCACGGCTGCCCCGCCAACGATGTCGTTATCCACCCCAACCAGGGCGAGATTATCAGCTGCGATCGCATGGGTAGTGTTCGCGTCTGGGATCTCGCCGAGAACAACTGCTCGCACCAGCTGATCCCCGAGGAGGACGTCTCCGTTTCGAGCGTCACCGTCGCCAGCGATGGTTCCTTGCTTTGCGCGGCCAACAATGGCGTAAGCGAAATATCGCGCTTACGAAAGGAAATAGAAGGCTGACAAAACACAGGGAAACGTCTTCGTCTGGCAGCTCCTGCAAACATACGACCGCACTCAGCTTCTCCCCATCACACACTTCAACGCACACAAGGAGTATATCACTCGCATTCTCCTGTCCCCGGATGTGAAGAAACTCGCGACTTGCAGCGCCGACCACACCGCCCGCATATGGGAGGTCAAGGACTCCCCTCCCCCTCCCGGAGAAGAGCCTAAGCCTTTCGACCTCGAGGCCACCCTTACGGGCCATCAGCGCTGGGTGTGGGACTGTGCTTTCAGCGCCGACTCTGCTTACCTCGTGACCGCTTGCTCTGATCACTACGCGCGTCTCTGGGAGCTGCACAGCCAGCAGATCATCCGTCAGTACAACGGCCACCACCGAGGCGCAGTCTGCGTTGCTCTTAATGACTATTCGGAGTCGGCTAGATAACCAGTCAGGCCGTCATGGGTTGGCATTTTTTGCTTTTCGGCTGGTTTCAATTGGTCTTTAAAAGGACTTCACGCATGTGACGTTTTCTCTCTGTTGTTTTGGACTTGGGGAATGGTATGGCGGGGCGTCTGGACACTTTTCTTTGTATCGCATCACAGATGGGCTGCGGCCGTCTGCATTACGATTCTCATCCGCAGACTAGGGTAGCTGTTTCATGATCATTACAGGCAAGATTATGATATTTCAAGACGTGGGTCTCGCTGGACCTGACTCCAAACGCCGTACACGCTTCAAGATGTGTTTGCCGCAATTATTTACCAACCATCGCCCCAGCCATCGTCTTCGTCTTCTTGCTTGGGCTTCAGGTCTATCTTCTTCGCTACTATGGGCTTCGCTGCTGGCTTGGCTGTGAGGGGTTTCTTCGCTGTCGATGTCGACGACTTGGACAGACCCTTTGGCAGAGGCTTGCTCGATCCGCCCTTCTTCTGTGATTGGGCGGCTAACCAGCCTGCAAAGTCCGGCTCACCGTCATCGAACGGCGTTGCGCTGGCAGTGGATTTAGCAGCGGGCTTTGAGCTCTCAATTGGTTCTCCCCAGGCATCATCGCCCATGTCTCCCCAGGCGTCACCATCGTCCGCAGGCTCGGGATTAAATGAGTCCGCAACAACAGACGAAGGCGTCCGCGACATCGGAGGTGGCGACTTGACCGCTTGCCTATGCAGGGCAGAAGCCGATGAAGTCGTCGGTCTCTTAAGCTCCGGGCCAGGAGATGGGGCCGGCTTTGGTGATGCGGTCCCTGAGGCCGCCGTGGTCTGCATCTCACCCGCGGCCGAGGACAGCTTGTTGGTGAATGATGAGATGGCCCAACCAGTCCAGGAGGACGCCGCCGCGTCATTAGGTTGCGGCGTACCCATGCGGGGAGCCGCAGGGCCGTCAGCGCCCTGTGGCGGTAGAGCAGTGTCGGGCATGGCGGCGGCAGCTTTCCTGATCTTCTGCATGTAGACATCCATTGTCTTGCTTGCTTGGTCGCGAATCAGCTTCTCCTTGTCAATCAAAAGCGGGCAAACGACCGGCATAATCCGCAAGGCGACGTCTTCGTCGGAAAAGTACTCTCCAGTCACACCCAGAGCCAACAATGATGCATTACGGGCATGAACGAAAGGATCTCTGAGGGACCTGGTGAAAGCGGCGATTAAGACCTTGCCCCTAGAGGAAGTGCCGAGCTTGCCAGCGATCTTTCCGAGACAGATAGTCGTATTTGTTCGAATACCAGGCTGCTCGTCATTCGCAGTTTTAGCGAGATACTTGAGCAGATCACCGTTGATTGTGCGGTCAGACAGCTTGCCGATGATAACAAGAACCGATTTCAAAGTCTGCTCTCGGACGATGGGTGCAACGTCCGTGAAACCAGTGACTAGCTGCGGGAAGATTTTGTCGTTGACGATCTTTTGTGGAAGGCGGTCGATCATTAACGGCAGGCTGTCGAGAAGGCACACGCGGATGGCTCTGTCTGGGTTGGAGAAGAGCCGAACGACAACAGGAGTGATCTTGGCATCAAAATCCTCGTTGGAGAGTTTAGCCGCGATTTTCATGACGACGCTGAAAGCTTTGGGGCCTCCACCGCCAAACTCGACTGATTTTATTAATTCTGGAAGAACTTTCATTTTAAAGAAGTCTTCTGGAAAGTCGTCGGATAATTGGTCAAGATCACTGCGACGATCAGTCAGTAAGGTAGTCCTTAGTCTCATCATAAGTTGTCAACCCACTCAAGGAACTCCTCTCTTTCGGTTTCAGACTTGACACCAAGGTTTTCAATACCCTCGGTCAATTTGATGAGAGGACTGTCAAAGAATGAACCGCTACGTTGTCCTTGCTCCAAGAAGTGGCCAACGCTGACACGAGCTTTGGGGTTCGGGTTGACGAGGCGCTTGTAGCTTTGCTGCATTGTTGGCGGAATGCTCTTGGTTTGGCCAGCCTGATCTGAGCCCATATAGTCGCCGTTGAAAACCTCGAATATCATGCAGCCGAAACCAAACGAGTCGAGAGCAGAGTGGGGGTTCTTCTTGATGGCATCCCAACCGCCACGGGCGAGCTCTGGTGGTGCATATCTCGCAGAATCTGGAACTAAACTGCCGTATGTCTACGTGGACAGTCAACGACTGTGAGATCTTCTTGGGAGGGGAGTACTTACGTAGATTACTGCGTCGTCATCTTTCACGTTGCTCAGAACCTCGAAGCCACTCATCTTCCACTCCCCACTCTCGGACGTGTAAATCGAGCCAACCCTTACGTTGCCGTGAATTGAGGTTGCCTCATCGTTGATGAACTTGACAGTGCGCTACAAGCGGTCAGCCGTCTTCTTCCGCTCCTCACAGCTGTGCCTCCCCTACCGCAACGCTGCTTAGGCCCCATTTTATCGTCTCTGGCGTGAGACTCTTTCTCTTGACGTGCCACCGTAGGGGCACTACTCGCTCGGTCGCAATGTAGATGTATGAGTCGGTCTACGTCCAACTCGTTAGCTGACGCTTGGCCCGGACGAAGGGCTCCCATTACCTCCACTGTGTCCAACACTTTTATGACGCCAGGGTGGCGCAGAGTCCTCAGCTTGCGCAATGCGTTCTTAGCCAAAGGCAGTCGAGACTTATTCGCGGTAACGTCGAAGGAAAAGATACTGCAATTCGATCCGTCTTCCTATTGCAGATATTGATCGTTAGAAACCTGGAACCTTTGTTAGTTCGTTGGACAGCTACACGTACCCGCTTGGTGCCATTGTTCAGCGTCCAGACGGACTCGTCGATATCCACCCTGTCACCAAAGCTGTATGGAAATGGCGGTCCTTGTGCTATGGCAGATGCAACTGCCGACTTCAGGAAATTCATATCGGTCGTATCAGTCTTATTCCACTTCGAAAACGTCCGGCAAAGCTTCAAGAAATGAGACTGGTCTTGGAATCGTGCAAGGGCTAAGATGTTGCAACAACGCGCTTCTTGCGCAGGCAGGGAGCTTCGGGCAATTTGGCGACAGGACAGTGGACCGTTGACGCTGAACAGGGGCAGCACTATTCCTACCTCAAGCACCTCAGACAGCAGGGCCCCGCGCTAACCCGCGTTGGATAGAGGGGTGCCGCGGAGGGTGGTTGATCCGTTACCGATGTATTATGGGACCGAAATGGGTGTGAAGGTCTAGGTCCCCGTCTCGCCGGTCGCTAAAGAGTGGAAGCTAAGGCAGGCAAGGATTACCCGGAGGTCCCTCAGCAGTGGCAAGCACCTCAGTTTAAGCAACCAACACTTGACAACCTCTCCACTGAAGGTAACGCGAGGCGGGAGCCTCAGCAACCTTCCGCGACCACGAGTTCGCGTTCAGCGTTTGCTAGACACAGGCACAATTTCCTGTCGTCATTTCGACCTCGTTATGGAAACCGATCGCGTTTCACTGCTGTACCCGTCTTGAGGAATACTTACTTCTTCGGATCCATGCGAAACTGTCACTCAACAGCAGTCGCGAAGCGGAGGGTGCGTGGGCGCGAAATTGAGTCTGCAGGCAGGCAGGCGACAACAGGTGAGTTAAGACTTTTTTCGTTCTGTACATTTCATCTTACACTTCCGTCCTTTTCAATTCTTCATACTGCGCAATGATGACTATTGGTAAAAGGTCCGATCGAAAAGGATTCTTCTGGGGTTGTTGTCTCGTCTTGTTCCTGATTCATGGCTTCATTCTTCGGAGTGAGCCACGTCCTCGTCCCTGCAAAGCCTGCGCCCGCGTTGAGCTGCGTAATGTCTGTCGCTGCATTCTACTCACAGCTTCATTACAAAGGGACTGGGGAGCGATATCAAACAGACCTCATTTGGAGTTCAGCTTCCGGTTGCCTCGACGGAGTTGGACCAAAGGCCGAGGCAGACATGAGAGGTTCAAGAGCAGGCTTCAAAACCGCTGCATCCCCAAAATGAAGACCAAAATAGAAACTGAAAAGACCTGAGCGCTACTTCATCTTGACACTCTTGTGTTGTTTCTTCCACTGGATTCACAATCATGAGCTTTCATGGTGAACGCAAACTCATTCGCTAATCGTTCTTAGGATTCACGGCACACGTGTCTAATCACATTAGTCTCAGGCTTCGGAATATGAGGCCGGAGCACTCGATTGCCCTCGACTTCCCTTTCATCGAACGCAAGGGGAGGTGCGAGACTGATCGAGAGACCTCGAGGCCACAACTGCGGTAGCCTACTTGGCCAACCGGGTCACAAAATACGCGACTCCCAGGCCTCTGAGGCTCATCCGACTCAGCAAGAGAATACGCGACCCTAAGGAGTTCCTGACTCAGATATCGCGACTCGCATTATCTCAAACCCAGTACGGAAGGAACATACCAGGTACCTTGCGACCAGCTTATCGACCTGTCAGGGCATCCGAGTGAGGATGGAGGCGCCGCGCCAATTCCCTCGATGCGCCACGGCGGGGTGCAATTCTATCGTTATGAGCGACACCGGAATACACTGCCTCAAACACAACCCTCACATGATGAGAATCACCAGCAACAAGCAGAATAGCAGCTCGGCATCCTCCGCCACCTCTACTCAATCACCGAATGTCTCTTTCAATCCATCGTTTGGAGGCTCAAGGAATCCACGTGCAACAGAACCGGTCAACGGCCTATCTCAAAATGTGCACCACACCTCTCGTGGTAGCTTCGGCGCGGGCTCTCCCTCCATGGACCCCCGCAAGACGGTTCGGAACACACATCCACCGGCTGACATGCTGAACAAGCATGCGTTGACAGAGAAAAAGACGATCGGTGGATACACTGCAATGCCTCGAAGCCACCTGAAATCTTCCTCGCCACAATATTTTACGTCCGCGACTGGTCATAGCCAAGGGCAATACACCTCCAGGCTTTTCTCTCGGACATCAAGAAGCCCAGACAAAGCACCCCCTGGTACATCAGCGCAGAACGGCGTCCAGCCCGGCTTCAGGCCTTCGGCGAACGGGGAGAGTCAGCGCAAGGCTGCTAGGATCAGCTCAAGTGTATCTCCGTCGTCCGCTCGCGCCGTCTCACAAGTCTCCCCCCAAGACTTGCAATCTTCTCGATCTTCGGCGGCCGATCACAGTAGTCCCTTTCGTGCCCGTTTCGCCGGCGCATCACGGATAGCGGCCAACCATCGAACAAGTGATACCAGAGAAGAAGCGAAAGCTTCATCGCCGTCGACATCGTTTTCAGGAAGAAGAGACCTTCGCTCAATACCTGTCGTGAAAACCAATTTCCGGCCTCCGACAAGTATCAAAAGGGCACCGCCAGTCGATACGAGATCGCCCGGGAAACGCGAGAGGGACACCACTTCCGGCTCGGTTTCAATTTGCTCCTCTTCTGAGGACGAATCCGACGAGGACGATCTGATACAGTCAACGTCAGCAACAACTGTGCTCAGAGAAACGCAGGCCGCTGGTCCGTCGCTGAGATTCCGTGCTGCAACCGAGGCCTCGTCTGCAGGGGAAGCTGATGCGGACGCACATGACTGGGCTGCACATAATGGAAGTGTGGACAATAACATCTTCTCAGGCATGCCGAACATTCACAACTTTATCCCAGACCCCGATGGACCCTCGACGTTTGCGCCGAACAACCCTTTTCTTATTGCTGGACGCGATGCCTCACATCAAACACCTGACAACGATGAAGCAAGAACAGTGCTTCCTACTATCGAGAACCAGGAAACTCGCGCCAGCATGGAACACTCAAGCGTTCTCGAATCCGAAAACCAGCGGGTGTTCTTCGAGGCAGACGAACAGTGGCGCACAAGACCCTCGGTCCGGAAAAGAAAAACTTGCGAACAACGTCGGCTGGAACTCTGCGTCGAGTTCGACGAAGCCAAGTTTGACGCTGCTATCTATGGCCAGCCCGAAGCCTCCAAGCCTCCCGCGGGTGTTACCATTCCGGCAGACCCAATATACCACGGACCCGCCCCAGCCGCAGGAGAAGCGCCGAAGCCGTTCTACATGCGAATTGACCCTCGAATTCACTGGCCTCACGACTTCTCGGACGAGTGGTACGCGCGCAAAATTAAAGAGGTCCTCGCTCGCGGCGGGCGTAAGGCAAATTTCGGGAAGGCGACTCAGCGGATGCGTGAGCAGAGGATTGCTGAGGAGCGCCTTGAGGCGCAGGAGGCTGCTGAAAAGGCTGCTGCTGAAAGAGAGGGAGAGGAGACTCCTTCTCACAATCCACCTGTACCATGGTCGCACCGGAGGCCGATGGACTTTGGCGACGTGCCGGAGGACGAGCTGCCTAGCTACGTCCAGAATAATAAGGACTGGCTGCGCGCGGCGGCATCTATGCGAGAGAACCGCCAGCGGACTCTGCAAGCCAATGCTCTACAAGCCGCCGGTAAGCCCTGGGAACATCTGTTCTTGAAGGACAAGAACGGACGATACATCAATCAGCATAACGAAGCAGACGAGTGACCGGCTCTACATAGAGCTAAGCGGCTCAACTCGTACTTGTACATCATCATGAGGCATGATATTATCACGCGGAGAAGCACGCACATACAGCGAGACGGCCGACACCAGGAGGGAACGGAGGGTGAAGAGTTGGGCGGCTTTCCGGCTTTACTTTTACATTTTCTACAGCATGATACCTGGGTCCTAATGGGTCCTGTCTTTTTCTAATCGCGGGGGGAGGGTAGGGCAGCAGCGACTCGTACTAAGGTAGGGTCTAAAATCGCTTGTGGTTGCATCGGGAAAGGAGTCATAGAATAGCAACTATCATCAGATCCTTCAGCTTTGCGCTAGAAGCCGCCTGGCTGAACGAGCGAAACATATTCATGTGACCCTTTCTTGTGCGATATCTGCATGTGTCGGACACGTAGAATTCCATGGCACAGGACTAAGATATACTGTCATTTCAGCAGAAGAGCGATGAAAGCATCCCGGTTCTCTCGACAATCCTTTTTCGTGGATATACATAGAGAGCTATGATATTTTGCTTGCTGGTAAGCCAGTCTGTCGAAAGTTTAGGGATCTTGCAAAGTGGTGCTCCGGTGGCGTTGTAGACCCTGCGTCATTTCACATTTTCTGGTGACTGAACCCTTAGGATGGCACGACACAGTGGCCAAGGGAAGTAGGACAGGAAAGATATCAAAAAAGGAGTTGTTCTCTGAGCTGCTGATGATTTCGGTGTCATGTTCGGGGCAGTTCCATAGCCGACATGACTCCTTGCCAGAGGATGCGTCTGGCCATTTTCGAGCCCCAATATGAGGTTCACAAGATATCTGGAGCTGAGAGTTAATGGTAGGCATATATATTGAAGTTAAGGAAGGGAAGAAATAAAAACATACCCAATCTCCAAACCTATAAGGATTTTCTCAAAAGTCGTGGTTCAAAGAGTTGACGCCTCCCTCACATTCGATATTCCCTGATAATAGTCTCAGTCCTTGAATGGTAAACTCGATCTCCAGTAGTTCTTCTCTATCACCTTGTCTACGAAAATAGAGGTTCGTTGTTGAGTATTGAAAACAGATATATATTGTTCGCAGTGTAGGTGTACCGGTCATCGGAAAGATCCAGCGGTGTTTGCTGGTCCCTCGACGTTGCACTCTAGGATTGGACGTGAATGTCGAGGGGAGAAATTAAACAAACTCATCAAACCAGCGAGCTGGTACATGATCGAGTGAAATACCTAGATATATAAATCGAGGCTGAATCAACGGAGGGAGGCGAAGACCAGCAGAAAGGAGAGGGGTTAAGTAATATCCTTAACACCACATCTGCCATCCTTGACGTCTCGATGAGTGGAGATGGAAGTTCTTGGATTTCCTTGCAGACTCACCAAGCCCATGTGACCACCGGTCCAGTCCCCAGCACCATTGACCGCATTCCTGGCAATTTTGACGTATACCAATGTCATTGCGAAGGCCTCAAGAGGCTACAGCCATATCCTGGAAGACTACCGTGAATGATCGAGAGGTCAGTTGAATAATAGTTAAAACTTACCTCTTCGACGAGCAAAGTTTCCAAACACATCGTCTCGGTCAAGCTCCAGCCAGGGACTCGAGTTACCAGCGGAAGGGGGAAAGGGAAGGGGGATGTATGAGTAGCGAAAGCCACATCATCATTGATCTTGCAGCTATCAGTACGACACAGACACATGACACTCAGCTCAATGCAGTAATTTTCAAGTGAGTATACAAACGGGGCTGAGTGGTGTTTTGTTAAAGTGCGCCCATATGAAGGTATGCAGGTTATATAATAGTATTGACCAAGTCCTCGTCGTAAAACCCTCCTCATCTACACCGTCTTCCTCATGCCCGTCATCCTCCTCGCAGTACTGTTGCCAACGAGCTGTTTATTAGTAGAGAAATACTCAGAGAGAAATGGAGAAGAGTACGAACGAAAAGCAGCCCCGCATATGGTTAATATCCCACCGCCGTCGTCGGTGAGAATATTTGATCGCGATTACTGCTTCCACTTCCGCAGCAGGTCACGACGTTTCTCATCTTCCGAGAGCTCATGACGCCTTGGAACACTTGGCTGCTTATGGCGCTTAAAACAACAATGGTAGTTTCCATTATATGTACATATAAATAAATCAGCACACCAATACTCTGTTTTATCCGAACTCCTCGACGGCAAGAATCGGGTGATGTGTGATCACGAGGCGGACTCAGCATCTCAGTGTCCATATCTCAGGCCATCGACCACTTGAGGAACATGATAGGGGACCGAGGATGTAGCAATACATTAGCATACGATCGCGGAGCTAATCGTTCCGTTTTCCCCGAACGTACCTTCGACGAAGCAAGAGCGAGAAGGACCGCAATTAACTAGTCGTGAATTATACCACAGCTTGGCAGACTGCACCGAACAACACGCGCACGCGTCAACACAGGGACCCCCTTTTCAATCGTTTCTGTTTTGTGTGTACAACCCTAACTAACTCAAGGCCCAAGAAACAGACTATTTCACGAGGTATATAAGATCATCAATTTTTTCGTTCGCCGTTGTATCAATAAAGAATCCCAGTAAAACAAGAAAGCCAGCCACACGACGTGATATCTCCAACCATCTATCCCGAACCCCGTTCAGCTCCTTTTCCTTTCCCTCTCGAAACTCTACGCCTGGTTACGCTTGGCAAGCATGCTCAGCGCGCTGCCGGCGAGGATGAATCCGGCCTGGTCCTTGGTGACGGCGTGGAGGGTGGGGATGAGAACCTCGGAGCCGTCCTTCTTCTTGACGAGAAGCTGGACCTTGCCCTTGCCGCCGTTCTGCAGCATCTCGTACAGGCCGACGGTGCTGACCTCGTCGCAGGCGGAGATCTTGTCGTAGTCGGCCTCGTTCTCGAAGGTCAGGGGCACGACGCCCTGCTTCTTGAGGTTGGTCTCGTGGATGCGGGCGAAGGACTTGGTCAACACGACGCGGGCGCCGAGGTAGCGGGGCTGGAGGGCGGCGTGCTCGCGCGCGCTGCCCTCGCCGTAGTTGTGCTCGGCGACGACGAGCCACTCCTGGCCGCGCTCCTTCCAGCGCTGGGCGAGCTCGGGGATGGTGTGCTTGGAGCCGTCGACGTCGTAGGCAGCGTTGACCTCGCCGGTCTCCTTGTTGACGGCGGTGTTGAGGGTGTTCGTGCTGATGTTGGCCAGGTGGCCCTTGTACTTGAGCCAGGGGCCGGCGGCAGAGATGGTGTCGGTAGTGCACTTGCCGGTGACCTTAACGAGGACCTTGAGTCCGGTAATGTCGCCCTCGGGGAAGGGGGGGAAGGGCTCGAGGAAGGCGAGACGCTCGGAGGTCGGGGAGATGGCGACCTTGACGTCGGGGTTAGGCTTCTCGGGGGAGATGGACTGGAGGGAGGCGACGCCGGACTCGAAGGGGGTCTTGGGGTTCTCAAGACCACGCGGGGGATCGAAGCGGAATTCCTTGCCGTCGGAGGTTTGCAGCTTGTCGGTCATGGGGTTGAAGGTGGTAGATCCAGCATATGCCATGGCGGTGACAATCTCGGGGGAGGCAAGGAAATTCATGGTTCCAGGGTTGCCGTCGTTACGGCCGCGGAAGTTGCGGTTGTAGGACGTCAAAATGGCGTTGAGCTCGCCCTTGGGGATGTCGTCTTGACGCTTCCATTGACCGATGCAAGGGCCGCATGCGTTGGAGAGAACAATGCCGCCAGCTCCCTCGAGGGTCTGCAGGGTACCGTCACGCTCAAGAGTAGCACGGATCTGCTCGCTACCAGGGGTAATGTAGAAAGGGGCCTTGGGCTTCAAGCCAGCAGCCTCAGCCTGCTTGACCATGCTCTCGACCTTGGTCATATCCTCGTAGGAACTGTTGGTGCAGCTGCCAATGAGGCCGGCGGACAAAGCCTCCGGCCATTGCTCTTGTTGAATGGTGCTCTTGAACTGCGACAGGGGGGTAGCCAAATCGGGAGTGAAGGGGCCGTTGATGTGGGGCTCCAGCTCAGACAAGTTGATTTCGATAACTTGGTCGTACTCGGCGCCTTCGTCGGCTCTGAAGTTGAAACTTCCCCAGTTCTTGTAGCCCTCGAGGGCACGGTGCTGGGGCTCTCTGCGGGTTTGCAGGAGGTAGCGTTCTGAGGCTTTAGTGTAGGGGAAGATCGAGGTCGTAGCGCCGACTTCGGCGCCCATGTTGCAAATAGTTGCCATACCAGTAGCGCTGAGCGTCTCGACGCCCTCACCGAAGTACTCGACGATGAATCCGGTTCCACCTCGGACAGTAAGCTTGCCGGCTAAGTTGAGGATAACGTCCTTGGGAGAAACCCAGTCGTTCAGCTTGCCCGTCAACTTAACACCGAGGACGCGGGGCGCCTTGAGCTCCCACGGGGCACCAACGAGCGCCTCAACGGCGTCGGCACCACCAACACCAATGGTGATGGTAGACAGACCGCCGGCATTAGGGCTGTGAGAGTCGGTTCCCAGCATCATGATACCCGGAAGAGCGTACACCTCGAGGACCGTCTGGTGAATAATACCAGCACCAGGGGGCCAGAAGTCCATGCCGTACTTGCGTCCAGCCGATTCCAAAAAGTCGAAAACCTCCTTGTTCACACTGATGCCATCAACCAAATCGCTCTCAGCGCCCTTGGAGCCAACAATCAAGTGGTCGCAGTGGATACTGGCAGGAATGGCGGGCTGGGCCAGGTTGCAGGACATGAACTGCAGCAGAGCCATCTGCGCAGAAGCGTCCTGCATGTTGACTCGATCCGGGTTGAGCTTGAGGTTGGCGCTGCCACGGATGTTGCGTCCGTTCTCGGTGTTCGTAAGAAGCGACTCTTCGGCATTGTCGAGATGGCTGTACAGGATCTTCTCGGCGAGGGTTAGGCGCTGCTGTCCGAGGACGTGGCGAACCTTGAGGAGGTTGTCGTGAAGCTTGCGGTAAGTATCGGGCTTGATCGACTTGGGCAGAAGCCTGCGCATCTCGGCATCTTTCTGCTCAATGTCCTGCGTGGTCGCAAAGGTCCTCCTGGCCGGCAGGCATGAGGATGCGGTAAGGCATGGTCGCGTGCGTGTTAGGAGCCGCTGTCGTGGGGTTAATACTCTCATCGTTGCAATAATCGTGAGTTTAAGGAAGCTCATACCCTCGCGGCGCCTCCAGTTCGACTGGCAAGCTCAATTGGTGCCATTGTCGCAGCGCACCTCCCTCCCAGGACTGTGTGTGAGTCGTAGTGGCGGGGTGTGGAATTTTTTGGATTGCAAATTGGCGATGTCGGATTGGAAAGTCTGGGGGAGTTTTACACCATTTGTGGGTCAACCCCAAACGACCCTTGCACTGCCGGCACCGGCGAAGCTGCGTCGGAGCAAACCCCTGCCCTTAAAGAACAGACGGATGAATACTGTAGTATCTGTAATGTCCATCGAAATCGGTGACACACTCTGTAGAGAGCCTGCCAAGAGGCTTGTAAATGTTGTCAAGACTTTCTTTTTCTATATTTCATTCGACAAAAAAAGAAAAAGTTATTCCCCATCCCGAATCCGTATCCATCTTTCCAACTACCTGACCTGCATACTCCCGCAGATCTACAATGCTGAGGTTGGGTGGAAGATGGCCAGATACATATCTATACACAACCCTTTTAACTCCTATATCTCACAATGATGCCTTTGCGCTGCCAAATGCTCCTCTACTGGTCGTACTCAGAGTTCTTCGTTCCGATGAAGCCTTCGCTCCTCTCTCTCCTCCTTCCCCTGACCTCCTTGAACCACTCGGTAAGAGTGTAGCCCCAGTGGCCGGCCACAAGCACACCACTGACAACGTTCACAATCTTCATCAAGAACTGGAGGAAGCCATCTCTAGATTCTTCCACAGACAACAGGATTGGCTCAATGTCGTACTTGAAGAAGATGCCGGGGATGTTGTGGTCGTCAACTTCCTTGCTCTGCTCGGTAACGGCGTACTGGTTCGTGAAGATGGTGTTGCGGGAAGAACCTGACTTGCCCACGGTGTAGACAGTAGGAACTACAGAGAGGTAGTACTGGAACTTGTGGAAGTTGATTCTGGCAGTGTTGACGGTTCTGTCCAGAGGGTTGACGAGAGAGGGGTAGAATGGTCCAAATGACATCTCGGAGATGATGTGCGAGAAGTTGAACGCTGTGGTATTGTCAGTCTTTAATCCAAAAACCGACCAGTAACATGTCACTTACCAGCATGGTCGAGATGCTCTCCGAACTCCATGTAACCATGACCTCTCGCCGTGATATGGAAGTCACCCTGAACCCTGTTGACGTCCAAGTTGCCGTAGATACGACAGCTGTCGCCCTCGCCCCAGAGCCTGGGTGTCTTTGCCCACTTGGCCCTCTTCTTGCCGATCGCGACAATGTCGTGAACGTGCTCCTCTCCGAAACCTTCCTCTTCCTGCCATCCCTCGCCGGTGACGATCCTGCCCTTGCTGTCCCTGCCCAGACGGTGAATACCCTTGTTATCGACCCATTGCGACCAGTTCGTCTTGTCGCGCTTGAGCATGCTGGCGGCAAGAATGCGATCACCCGCAGCGTCCTGTACGTTGATGTGGAGGTCATCGCAGTGCATGCGCACGACGATGTCCAAATTGATCTGCATCTCGTGACCCACGCCCTTCTCGACAGCGAAGGTATGCGTCTCGGAGCCGCGCCACCAGCGGCCGACTTCAGTCCAGAAGAGAAAGAAAGATATGGCCGCCATGACAACAGTCCACTTGCCGCCGCCCGATGTCCGCGTTACATATTGAGGTTTCGCTTTGGCTGTTAGGCAGAACGTGGTCAGTATGTCTTCTCAAACTTCTCTTTCTTCTTCTTGAGCATTGAATTGCGGCGAAGCGCCCGCTCAATAGGGGGAACTCACGGAAGGCATCGAATGCGCTGACAATGTTCCCCTTCGCGCCGAACGCGTCGTCGTCCAGGCTGTGTTTCTCGTCCCAGCCGTTCATCATGGCTATTTGGTTTGTTCGCTCGGTCGTGATTCTTCGAGTTTCGAATCTTTGATCGAAGTAGTCGTAGTCCTCGGCTCAGTGTTGCCGATTTCCCGCGAGGCTGTCGCAATGTCGATGTGATGTTGTCCTGTTCGGCTTATGCAAGTGCCCGCCGTCGAAACCTTAACCTGCTACCGCATGCCTCGTGGTCGGCGCCGAAGTGCAAGATGAAAGACTTCGAAGCTTCTAGTGGAAGTTTGCTTAGATTTCGCCGCCTGGAAAGCTGGTCAGATTATTCGGCGCAAACCTCGTGAAGTGGGAGATGTACCACCACAATGTCTTAAGGACACTCTATCCAAAAGTTATCTGCAGTTCGTACCCCTTGTCCAGGGGTCTGTAATTGATTGGTGCCGTTACTAGCGCCAGTGGGCTCAGTGGGGCTTGTGCATTGGACCTTCCGACAGGGGTGCTATTACCTGCACGTGCCAGTTCCCATTCTAGAACATCAGATCTTCCGTCACTCCAGCTCCATTTCGAAGCTGTTATCTCGCTCCATCTTCGTATTTGGATACGTTCACAGAAAATAACCTCGGATTTCTTAGAGCTCGAGTAGCCACAATTGATTGCTGCCTAAAAACTACAAGTACCAAGTACCAATCTGTATTCTGTCATGAAAGCGTCATGAAACGAGCGTCACCTCGACCAACCTGGTTGACGAGTGATCGGTTCTTAGCATATATGCTGGCAAGGCAGCAGCGCATCGCGCCCTACTTCTGCCAACGACCGCTTCACTGTCTCGAACACAGGTTCTTATGAAAATCAAATACCCGAATAACCCTGTGAAAATGAAAAATGCGAAGAAAGCCAAAAGCCCTGAATAGACCGGTCACTCCATATCCAGCGGTAAACGAAACCTGACTGAAGTGGACTGTGTTTACTTCCTGAGCCGCCTCTGCTGCTCCTCGAGGAACTCCTCGTCAGAAGCGTCCAGAATGTCGTATTCCTCATCCGTCATGAAACCGTCCTCGGACGCGTCCCACTCTTCATCCTCACCGCAGTCCTCGAATTCTTCTGCCTCGGAGCTGGTAGCCGGAGCAGACTCGGACTTGACCTCCTCGTGAATGCTAGAAATGGGCGATTCCTTCTCCAACTTAGGGAAGATCATGTTGCTGCTCTGCATCTCGGCGGGAATTTCCTTGGGCTCTTCCTTGGGCTCCTCGACAACGGGCTTCGGGGCCTGGACGCTGACGTCGCACCAAAGTCTGTGACCGAACTTCAAGCCGTCCTGGGTCGTCAGACGCCAGTAAGAGATGATCTTGCCCTCACGCGCGGGAGTGCGGAGCAGAACGTTGAAAGAGAACTCCTGTCCCGGTGCGAGAGGCGTGTAGCAGACAGTCGACTCCGAGGCGGAAACGAGCTCAGAGATTCCGGCAGGGTGGTTAGAGTCGACGTGACCCATGTAGTCACCGCCGACAAACTTGACTGAGCAGCCAGCGGGCCATGCAACCTCGCCGTCGTTGCGGAGGACCCAGGTCTGCTCAAATACGTGGTTGGGTGGCAAGATAGTGCCATCGGCAACGGTGTCACGAACGAACACAGCCGCAAGGTCCTGCTCGGTGATAGGCTTCTCCGCAATAGGTGCTGCGGGCTTCTCCTCGATGACCTCCTCCTTGATTTCGGGCTCCTTCTTGATCTCAGGCACGGGCTCTGGTGCCTTCTCAACGACCTCCTCCTTGACAGCAGGCTCTGTTGGCTTCACGTCAACAACGGTCTGGACGGTGTTGATGGAAGCGTTAGCAGTGGTTTCGGTGGAGCGTGAGCTGGTGCGACCGATGTTATGGTCACCCATCTGCCGCATGCGCTGGCCGTCACCACGCTCGCCAGTAGTAGTGACGGTGACATGGCGAATGGGAGTCTTGAACTTCACGAGAGGGTGAGTCTTGTTGTGGGTGTTAGCGGGGCTAGCCTCGCAGTTAGCGCAGAAGTCGGTGTCGTTGCAGACAGTGCACTTGTAGCGGACGCCGGTGATGTAGGCGGGAGCGTTGTGGGCGCGGGCACACAGGGGCCCGTCGCAGCAGATGCCGAAGTGGACAGAGCGGGTGACGGCACGGCTGCGAACCTCCTCGAGAGGCTCGTAGATGGGGACGAAGCGGTGGTTGGGGTGAACAAACTTGGAGTTCACGATACAATCGGCGCAGTAGTCCCAGTCAGGGCAGTCGAGACACTTGTGGCGAACACCAGCAATGTACTTGTCGCAGCCGTCGCAGATGGCGTTGTGGCTCTGGTTACGGCCAGGAGAAAGCTTGACCTGGATGTGGCCGGGAACATGAGCACCCTCCACAGCGGGGACGAAGGGATGCTTGGGGTTGTGGCCGTGAGAGTCCTTCTCGAAGCATGCATGGCACAAGTCGAAATCCTCGCAAGCGGTGCAGTGGAGGAAGCTAGCTTCGGGGAGCTCGGTCACGCAGCAGTTGCAGGTACGCATGTTGTACATGGCGTTGCTGAAGACGGGAAGAATCCTGTCGGGGCCGAGGGGCTCGATGTGCTTCTGGAGTTCGGCGAAACTGATGGGTTCATTGACAGAGTCCTGCGCCTTGGACTTGATCTTGGGGGCGATAGTCTGCGTCGTGCTGTTAACGATCTGACCGTTCTTAACGATACGCTTGATGAGCCAGTGGTCGGCGCCGTAGCAAGTAATGCCTTGGTCGACACAGTTTTGGCAGAGGTCGAAGTCACCGTCGTCGCATGTCGAGCAGTGGTAGTGAGCATCGGGTACAGTCTGGTCACAGCTGTTGCAGCAGACGGCGAAGTTTGTGTTGGGATGCGTCAAAGCGGGGCAGCGAGCCCAAGAAGACCTGGATGGAGTATTCTCAGGCGCAGAGGCGTTGGCAAACCACTGGTTGCGAGCAGCGATTCCTTCCGAAACAGGAATGTCGGGAGTCGCCGGGGTCTCCTCATCGTTGATCTTGGCGTGTCTCCTCAGAAGAGAGGCCAGAATAGAGGCCTCGAAATCAAGACCAGTGTCGCTGGTGGGCAACTCCTTCTTAGGCTCGACATCGGCAGACTGTCTGAGATCGACGAGTGGCTGCACAAAGGCGGGAACTTCGGGTTGTGGCTGCTCCTCAACCTTGGGTGCAGGTACGGGCGTGCTGGACTCGGGAACATCCTCAACGGAAACCGGCCTTGGTGCCATCCTCTCTTCAGAGACCTTGGTAACGCGAAGCTTGAGCTTTTGCTTGGCCTTGGCGGCACGGTATAGCTGCTTGTAGACGGAGACGTTTTGCTTGTCGAGGGTGATGTACGAACCAGCCGAGTCAGAATATCTCTCGAGAACGACGTTGGCATCCTGGGTAATGGCAAGAAGAGCGCGAACCTATGAGATAAGGTGTCAGCAAGGCACGTCATTTACGCAGACTTGAAGTTTCAAATGAGCGGTGAAGAGACTCGACTCGGCGGCGCATCGAGGCATGGTGAGGCTCAAAACCTGACCATATCATGGAGGCAGGCCAAGCTGCTGGGCAGGGGAGGCGGCGACGGAAGCAACGGGAAGTGACGTACTCTCTCCTCAAGCGTGCTGGGTCCCATATCGCGCAGAGGAAGCTTGTGGCGGCGAGTCATGCCGTCGAAGTTGATTTTCAGGGTGACCTGAGTGTCTGGAGATGTTGTGTTGTTGGAAGCCATCTTGAATGATGGAAAGTGATTCTGGGGTATCAATGATGGATGTGGTCGCGGTCGGCCGGCGGGGAGGGGATGACGGCTCCTGCGGGTGTTTCACGAGCTGAGCTGCAAAGCACGGTGCACGAGGCTCGCTCGGTCGGGGTAGAAGAGGCGTATCTGGATTCTGGACGAAGGATACCGTGCTGATATATGTATGGGGTGTCGTGGGATTGATGTGAAAGGAAAGAAAGAAGAAACGGGGACAAAGAGTAGTGGGAGGCGGAAGTTGATGAAGCAGACGGAAAGGTCGTGGTGTGGGAGAGATAGTGACTTAAAGGATGATGGGGGTCGGTCGTCAGGTGGAGAAAGAAGGTGAGCAGGCGAGGAAGGAGACCCGTCGAGACTGGGGCCCTTTGGATCCTTGAAGGGTGGAGGTGGATGGAGGTGGAGGTGCCGTGCCAGGTGGGGAGGCTAAGCGGATGATGCGTCTTCTCTGGGCTGTCTCTGGAAGGTGGTCAAGGACTCTCCAAAGATGCCGACCTCGCTTTACGATAGGTAGGGTACTGGATGGAAAGGTCCTGCAGGTGACTTGACTTCGATACCGGGAGGGGACTGAGGGACACTTATGTACAACCACCTCGATGTCCTGGACTACGAGGCCGAAACCGTAGTGGCCAGTGAAGGGGGGGCGGCAAAGAAGGAGCAATCCAGGACCAAAGGGACCGTCGAACTGACCAGCAAGGCGGTGGATGGATTACGGATAGGCAGGAAAGGCCGGGGAGAGAGAGACCTGGACGGGAGATCCAATGCTCAGCATCCGTCACTCGCACCCGCCGAAAGCTGGGATTGGCACGTCCCGGTCGGTGTCGGGTACCTCCAGTATGCGCGATACCGCGAGTGCACTGGCTCTCTGGTTGACTGGTGACTGGTGACTGCCTGAGGTGGTGACTGGTGGACTTCCCCCAGCGATTGGCAATCAAGGCCGGTGTGGATTTGGGATGTGGTGAGTGGATCCCTCGAAGATTCCCACCATTGGCCTTCCCCAGGCAAGAAAAAAAAGAGAGGGGCAAGCAAGCGACTAACGCACGATGGTTGGCTGCCTGGGATTGGGTTCTACAGTGCCTTTGGAAGCACCGCACCTCAGCAGTGACATCCAGCAATGAGTGACGCGACTACGATTGATCACTGAGAAAAACCCATGCCAATTGTGCAGTGGTGCGAACTGCTCCGAAGTAACCTTGCCTCGGCGGGGACGGCTGGGTAAGAGTACGCTTGCGGAGATAGACTTGGCCGTGGGCCGCCCGAGACATCACTAACCGCGTCCATGTCCAAGTGTCACCTCGACACTCTGCATCTCAAGTCGCACGCCGTCTCTCCTTAGCATATCGCAGCGCCATCCTCACCAACCACGTTTGCTCTTCGGGAACCACAGACCTCACATGTCACCACCGTCAGAGACAAACGAGAAAGCAACCTACCATTCAGGCAGCCTAGGACACCTCAGCCCAGCTCCGTTTGACACGAGGGACCATTGAATAATCACCATGGAACGACTTCGAAAGAGGCGGTCAACTATACCGAACCTGCTACCATCTTCTTCGGCTCAACTTCGACCCGCCCTCAATATCAATATCGACTTGTTCGAGTCACCAATGTCGCCTCTCGCCTCGCCCAGGCAGACAAGGTCACCAGTCCCTCAGCGAAAGCTCCGACAAAACCATTCGGCACTCGAATCCTTCCATACCAATCTTTGCCTCCTTTTTTTCTCCTTTCCCACCCTTCGACATCTGGATTCGCACCTACACGCCCCCCAGCTTGATTCTTCTTGCCTTTTGCGACCAACCCTGGGCAAGACGCCATACCCAGTGCACATTGGCACATGACGGGGGACTGCCCTGCAAAGACAAGACTCGGAATGAGGCGAACTGGAGCCTCGCCGCAACATGTTCCTATGTTTACTCACTTCAACAATGCAAAAACCAGGAAAATAGTCCCCCATAGCGGTTCGTTCGCCGGACGCCGCGGCTTGGTTGGAAGAGCCTGCCTGGCTCCTTAATTCTTCCATCGACTTCTTCTTCCTCTTACACAATGGCATCCAGCGTTCAGACGTGCCATGTCACCATGCTGGCTCGTCCTCTCCATCCTGCCGCCGCCGTCGATACGGGGCAATTATGCAGCGAGTCGCGGCCCCCGAGAAATACGTTGTTGCATAGTTGCATAGTCGGTCACTCGGGCAATCGGTCACCCTCCTGAGCGATAACATAGAATCTACCTCCGACTCCCCGATTTCCAGCCCCGGTAGCTGGACAGGAGCCCAGCAATGTTCAGTGCCGTGCTTGCTCACAAGACACGTTGTCTCTCGCGAGTCCCGGGTTTTCCTATGCAACTATGCAGCAACTGCTGGTGCACCGCAGAAATGACTATTGCACTTGATGCGCTGGATACCACGGTGCGCTCTGTACAACACCAGCCTCATGCAGCTACCGCGACCGCTAGCTACCGCATCCGATCTTAGCGAGCCCGGAGGGCTGGGCGGCCTCGATCGGAGCAAGACGTGGGAGGGGCGGGTCGACGAGACTCCAACATCCGGAGGAGGAGTCTGTTCGCCCGTCACCTGAGCGGCTTCCTTTAATCGATGCAGCAGTGACAACCTCTGCACTGTCACGCAGCACGCAATCCTACCATCTCCATGGTCTTATCGGAGCCGGCGGAGGAAGTGTCAGGCGCGTTGCGACGAACAAGCCTGGAAAGCGGAAAAAGACCGCCGGGACCCAGTTGTCTTGACTCGCTCACGTGGTGCCTTCATCCGTCGCAGATCCAGAAACGATGTGTGAACTCAATGGCAAGACAGCCAAACAGCTGTCCGCCGCACCAAGCTACCTTACCTTACCTAGGTAGACTTTCCTCATCTCAGCCAGCCAGGGTTTCCGGAATCTTTCAGCGGCGCAGCAACCCCCTTCGATATCATCTACTTTCTCTCCTGTCCCAAAGTTGAGTAGTACATCATGCGTCTCCCGGGCCACCAGGCAGTCGAACGTCAATCGCCAACCGCCAACCTCGCATTACACTTCTTCTGACAAGCGTCCGTGAGATTCACCCAACAGAAGCGCCTATACCGAAAAGCCACGAGACAGCTGCCGACAACGCATCATCCAGAAGCAACTGCGGCGATGGCGGCGGCGGCGAGCCAACAAGAGAGAGAGGAGAGGCGGGTGAGGGAGCTCTCGGTGAGCAGTCTATTAGCGTTCAGCGGTTGGCTGGTTGGTTGAGATCAACAGATGGCCGGGATAAGCAGGGCGAGATCAAAGAACCAGACCACGTACCTCAGGTCCGAGAGCGCAGCAGCATGCCACGCTCGTCTTCGGCCCTTCGTCTTCCAGCGCAGGCAGTAAGGTGCCCTCTAGTGTTTGTTTAAACGCTTACACTGCACGCCATCTGGTTAGACGCTGCTAGTCATGCGAACTCAACCCCGCCTTTTTTCCCTTCTCTTGCCGTCAGAGTTCACGAAGACGGCGCCCCGCCAAGAAAGTGTCCCCAAAATCGTTGCATTTTGAGACACCTTGATCTGCTTCAACACTAAAAGTGTAAAAGAAAAAATGCATCACTCCGGAGTCACCTCAACGGGCATTCCGGCCAGGAGAAACCCCCTCTCCGGACCCGAACAATACCACCAGCCTTCTCGCTGCTTACCTCAGGGACCGGATACTTTACCCCGCCGTCGCAGGGCAGCCTCAACCATCATCCAATGTATACTCAAGGCAGGCAGAGAGATACGTCAGGCGAGGCACGGACAAAGTATCCTGCCGCTCTCCAAAAAAAAATCATCCTTCCCACAAATTCTCATCCCATGAATCCGCGGCCAGTGGCGGTCTTATCGAACCTTGATCCGTCGCGGGAGAAGCTTGCCCCTGTCGGAGGCGCACCGCCCACCAGAGACGAGGCAAAGCCCGAACAAAGGGGGGAGGGGTTCCAGACTTATATTCCAACTACGTCATCTCATTGTCCCGCCCTCTTTTTCCCCCTCACCTGGTATGTGTTCTTTGCTGAAAGATGAGGCGGCGAGAGAACGTGAATAGAAGACGAAGAAACAACTAGTCCTTGAAAAACGACGGCCTTGTTTCAGCATACCACCACGATTTCGGGCGAGTGTGGCCAAGCGTCCGCAAACGCGCGCGAACGCGTGTTCCTCGTGCCTGACTACCCACCAAAGCATCAGGCTTCTTATTTCTGCCTAGTTGATAAGTAAGGTAGCTAGCTATATGTGCAGATGGGTGTGGTGGTTGTTGTGTGGCGTGGTGAGGTGAGTTGAGGTGAGGTGAGGTGTACGTGCTCCTCGACGATTACGCACTCATTCATCAACCTGCGTGTGGCCAAAATTGGGATATTGGTAATAGGTCAACTTTCTCCCTCTCACCTCCCGTCGTTCGGAGGAAGATGCAACAAGAGCCTAAGCACTTTTCAATTAACTTGATATCTTTTTTGCAATGAAGCTACCCTTCAGAATGGAAGAATGAGGGGCAAGAGAGAGCAGGACGAAAACTTGATATAGCTGTTTGAAGTTCAGAGATGAGTTTTCGGACGCTGGTGAGAGAGTATCTTAATGACAGCTGTCTGTTCAGGGCGTCCCTTTCTTCTGCGCGTTGCCCGCCGCAGCTGTCCCCGGCATGACATCCTCGATTTCCTCCGCCGAGAGCGTGAAATACTTCCCGCTCACTCCTTGTTCTACGTAGAGACCGAATGTGTCCCAGAGACGTGCGTCGAAAGCCTCGTTCGTCCATATGGGCGGCCGGAGTCAGCCTCTGAACAACTCCGGTCCTCCGATGCTGAAACGGTTCCACAGGTGAGTAGAGGCTTCGGCATGCTCAGAAGGGGGTTGTCGGGCAAGCTCTTTGCTCTCCTCGGCGATGTGATATGTCATGGAGAGGCCGTTGCCGAGCATGGCAAGTCGTAGGGACTGTGGAGGAAGCAGAGGGCTCCCCTGGTCGCATCGGGGGACAAAGACGTTGTGCGGCCCGATCTCTGCGTTCTCGACGACAAAGGGGGTGTGTTGTATGAACATCCCCCATGAGCTGCTTGAGTATATTCTGGCGCATATTCAACCCTCGTGTTCAGGACCGCCGGCTCCGCGTGGTCGAACACGCGGTCCGACCTCAGTAGTAGTTTTCCATCTTATAGGGAATCCGGAAACCTTCATGGGAGTGTCGACGGAATGAACAGACGAGGTGAAGTAGCAAGATAAAGGAGGGCAGGCGCAGAAGAGATTTGCGGACCGGGACGCGATAGGGAGAGATGACCTTCTGCTTCTAAAACAGGTTTGAATACACGTCGAGATATCCCGGATTACGAGGACGATGATGACAATAGCGGTGGATTTGTGACGAGGGAAGGGGTGAAGAGAGAACAGCAAGATGGGAGAGACTGAGGGAAGTTATCAAGATCGCGAGGCACATCGAAAGTAGAGCGCCTCCGGGTCCAAAAGCCGTGATAACAGATCAAGGTTCGAATGTCCATGTTTTCCGGCGATCTATCTCACGACGGGAGTACTCGGAGTTCACGGGCATCCTCCAAGACCATGCCTCCAGGACTCGTAAGACTAGAAAGTAAATAGACGTGAACCCTCACCGACGTCCTGGTTGGATAGATGTGTGTATTCACTGATGAAGTCGGCATACCGTTGTTCGTGTGCGTGGAGAGGCAACATGACGAGACCAGCCGACGAGAGACTCTTGACAACAAACCTGTTCAGGTCGTTGACAGCAAAGTCGCATCCTCCATGAAGACAGCCTACTTAGCTTAATCGAAAGGTCAAGTACATGCCGAATCCTGAGGTTCCTCGTCAAGTCACGACATTCATCACAAGCGGTACGAACGATAAGACATCATCAATCCCATTTCTAAACTCCCCTACCCCAACCGCCGCCGCCTCCCCGTCGACCGAAAGTAAAGCCAAGCCCTTCCAGATCGACGATACACGGCAAACCCATACAACCACCAGAAACGGGTACCCCGACAAGACCAAGAAAGGAAAATCGTCTTAAACCCTTCCCATATCCCGACCTTCCGTCCCTCTCTCACAACACCTGCCAAGAAAATCCACACAAAAAGAGATGTCTTCATCCTCCCCCAATATCACCATTCCCTAATCGCCTCTCTCCAACACGAACTAGAAGGAAAAGTCGATGAATACCATAAAGAAACTTTTTTTTCCACCATCGCAGTATTTCAAACATGCATACCTGACCGAGACCGAGTAGAGAAGAAACGAAACACAAGATAAGAACAAAGGTCTGAGACAAGAGATAACAACAAAAGTCTAGGCATCGTGTGGTCATGAGAGTCGAGGACACAGAGGAAATAGGAACCAAGAACACGAGGTTGGAGGGGCTGAAAATACCTTGTCGTAAGGAATGTAGCAAGGAAATTCTAAGCAGACATTGGCGATTGAGTTGTAGTAGATACGGATGAGAAGAAACGTGACCCCATCACACGTAGAACGCGTGACGTGTTGGTAATCATGAAATTTGAACTGATGAGAAATGTTTAGACGCTGAAACAAACAGAAGTCGTCGGACACGCACCCGAACCTCCTCCGCCAGGTAAAATGAAAACGTTTTACACTGTGCAGGGTGGAAAAGGAGAATTGCAGAACGCCACGAACGCATGAAGTAGTAGTAGTAGTAGTAGTGATGAACGGGAATACCCAAGAAAGGGTAGAGGTGTCTGATTTGGGCATGGGAGGAACTTCTTGAATTCGAGAAAAGGCGTAGAGGTTGTAAGAAAACCAAGGGACCTTGCGCTGTCGACTCGTCCGTCTCTCCCCTTGTCCTACTTCACGAACCGGTCCTTCCCCTTCCTCCCTTGATTCGAACAAGTGCTCGGGAGCATGTTGGGACAAGGAGATGGAGTCTTCAATAAACCTCGATAACAAGTTCCACCCAAACAAAGCGCTCCTCAACGCGAATCAGTAGCACCCCCAATCCTAGCAATACTATAACCATAGAGAGATTCGTACCCATCGCTTTTTGGATTCCTCCAGCCCATTTGTCCCCGTCCAGCCGTCCGACGAGAAGAGGGTATAGCGACGACCAGAAAGCCGACAATGAGAATTACAAGGATTATGTATAAGGCGTTGCGGGGAACGAAGGCCAAAGTGGTGGTAGCTGCCCGTAGCCCTATTGCGAGTAGTACACCATTCCAGGCGCGGGCTGCTGGTAGTAGAAACCATCCGGGCTTGGCGTGATTCCGTTCATGCCACCAACACCGGGCCCGTACTGGGGAGGAGGCTGGTAACCCTGGTAGGCGTTCATGGGCGGCATTTGAGCCGCGTCATAATAGTATACCATGCCGTTGACCTCCTGAGCAACCAAGTTGGGTCCCCCAGGGGCCTGCCCATTTGCTTGAGCGCCCGCGGGGTCCACCTGGCCTTGTTGAGGGAATCCCTGGCCTTGCGCCTGTTGTCCAGAAGGAACAAATGACGGAGCAGTGGCCGAAGGGCCCAAGTTGCTGCCGTTGTACTGTCCAGGGTAGTAATACGGCTGTTGTTGCTGCATCATCGGGTACGGCTGGTTGTAGAAGTTCTGTTGCGGGGGGTAGTTCGGCTGGAAAGGGGCAGCATGAATTGCCCGCTCGGGGATCTGAGACAAGGGCGTGCCGGTTGAATGCTGTGTAGGGTAGGACGGCTGTCGCGAGTGGTTCTCTTGAGGCATGCCGTTGGTAACCTGCACGGGGACCTGCTGGTGGAAAGCCTGCTGGAAGGCCTGCGGGCCTTGGTTGAGGGTCGGCGATTCGATATTCGTGACCGACACAGCCTTCTGCGGCCGAGGCTGGTGCATAGGGATTTGGTTTGGTCGGTTCTCCTGGAATGCAGGCTTCTGGGGCAACGGGTGGGTCTGTGGCTGCGGCAAGTCGTTGATAGACGTCTCGTTTGGCTGCATGGGCTGCATGGGCTGCATAGGCTGCATAGGAATGCCGTCTTGCCCATAGAAGGGCTGATTTGGAGCGAAAGGCTGATGGTAGGGCTGGCCGGGGTGGTTCGCGGGCGGCAGCCGAACAACAGGTCTGGAATTCTCGACAGGTACCGGGGGCCTTGACATGACCGAGCCCGTGGGTGAGAACAGGTAGTCGCGTCCATCCGGGGCCAGGGAAGAACGCCGACTAAGCGCAATGCTCGGGGAGTAGGCACTGCCGTAGTAGCTTCCACCGAAGACGCTGGTTCGTCTGGAAAAGCCGCCGATGGAGCCAAGACCAGACCGGGGCTTCCCCCGAGTCCGTTGCTGATTAGGCCGCATCGCGCGGGGGATGAAGATGAAGGATCGGTCGACGGCCGGGAAGATGTACTTCGGTGGGTTATCGGGCAGGGAGATGCGGACGGGCTTGTCGCGACGGAGGGGCGGGCGGTGGTCTGGGAGCTTCGTGTACTGCTTGACTGGCATGCTAAACGCAGCCGGGCCTTTGCCCACGACGGGCAGTGACACCCTGACCTGAACATTGCCGATGTGTCGTTCGGTGGAAAGAGTCCTGTTGATAGGGGTCGGGTTGGACGGGCATGTGGGGATGAATCCATTGCCGTTGGCAGGTCCCTCTTCCACGGGCAGATGTCTTGGTTGTCTCGAGGGCGGGGGTTCAGCAACGGTCTCGTGCATATCGTGTGCCCATTGGCCACTGGTCAGAGGATCGGTCGGACTGTGTAATTGACTGAGCGGGTTAGCCTGGAGACGACGAGATGGGTTTTGCTGGGTGGCATACTTCATCGGTGCGTAGGGGCCTCCGATGCCTCCACCTCGGCCACGTCCACGACCTCTGCCGAAAGGCCGGAAGCCATTAGCAGAAGGTCCGGCATGACGATGGTCGTGCATGAAGAAGGCCCCTCTGTTGGGAACGAAGGCGGGGTCCTCGTCCCTTCTCCGCTTGTATTCCTCGTGTTCCCGACGACGACGCTCGCCGACGGGCTCGGCGGGACGAGATGAGTTGGAGCTCACTACGAGAGGAGCGGAAGACTTTGGCAGAGATGCACCATCCTCATCTACCTGGACCTCCTGAACGGTCTCGGATTGGTCGTTGATGGAAAGACCTTGGAGCTTGTCGTCGACATCGGACACGGGCTTGGTGTTCACCTGGGCCGAAGGGTTCCGGGGGGCAGACTTTGCATTTCCATTACCAGCCGACTTCCTCACGTTGGGGGTGATGGGAGAGGCCTCGTCGATGTTACTAGTGTCGCTATCGTTACCGTGATCGTGGTCGTCGCTAATGATGGAACCCTCGGTCATGGAGTCGTCATCGAGGTCGAGCTGGTCAGGGCCACCTTCTCCGTCTTCCTCATCCTCGATGCGTCGTCGATGACCAATCTTTCTGCGTCGAGGGGCTGCCATATTGAAGCTTGGTTGGAGCTAGGCTACCGGCACCTTTCTTCTCGGATATATAGGTGGCAGGGCGATGCTCAGGTTGACGGGGAGAGCAGGCTCTCGGAGCGGAGGAAGCGGCGGGAAGTTGTCGAGGGAATCATGCGATGCTTGCCAGGTATGTTGATGAATGAAAGAGGGGGAAAGCAAGTACCGCCCTGCGGTTGGCGAAGAATGAGGGTTCGGCGACGGGCAAACAGATGGCCAAGAGGCGTATTAAAAATAAAATACAACAGCGGCGTTCGGCAGTGCGAGTGCGGCGGCGGCGGCGGCGTCGGGGTCGGCAGCAACAGCAACAGCAACACGACACAGCTTGTCAGGCAGATTTGTTGCAGAGCGAAGCAGAGCGAATGTGGAAAAAACCGCAATGCTAAGAGCTCTGAACCCGTATCGTCTCCTCTGACCTCACTGCTTCTAGTGAAAGAGCAGATGAAGGGTGGAAGTCTAAAAGGAGGAGAGGAGAAGGAGGGTTTGAGTGCGAGGAGGAATCGCAGGGGTGGAGATGGTGGTGATGATAGAAGGGAGGGAGGAATTTCGGCCAGACGACAAGACAAGACAGCTGGAGACTGGACTGGAGACTGGAGACTGAGGACTGGAGACGCTGCCCTGCTCTCGTTTGCCTGTGAGCTGGCTGACTGCTGAGGTGGACGGACGACGGGTCCAGCAGGTTCCAGGCATGGGCACTTGCCAGCGGGTTGGGTCTGGAGCGGGCACACACCACCGACGGGCCGTTGACGGGTGGGCAAAGATTTGGCCAGAGTTCCGTTTTTTTTTTTTTATCATCCTCTTCCTTCAACATCCATTAACCTCCGCTCTCTCTCTCTCTGGTTGACCCGTCCAGTAGCAACTCAGTCACCTTCACAGCTCACTTCCCGTCTGTTGCTGCAATGAGCAGCACGCAGCACGCAGCACGATGCTGCGTTGGCTGTGCTTCCGCGAGTTGGGCGCCCGTGTTCCCCTCGTACCTAAGAAAAAAAAAAAACAGCTCTGCCTCGTCCAGCCAGTAGGATGTCACCCTTGGGACCGGCACACCGGACGTGCCACGCTGTTTTGGGTCGACTTGAGGCCTGGCCCAGCTGGATTGCCTGCTGTGGAGAGGAGCTCTCTGCTCTCACCCACTGATATTGACATTACCAACCCAGTAGCAACATCACCCATGCCGCTCACCCCAAGAATAGCCTCTCCACCAATCCGGGGGCGTCACAGAGCTTCGAGGGACCCGCTTTTGTATTTGTTTCGAGACTCGAGCTTCCGGCTGTGAAGTTGCATCTTGTCATCCAACAACCGTTTGTTACCCATCTTGATCCGGTATGCCCGGTGTTGGCAGACTCTTTCTTGTCATGTTTATTCCCGTCACCATACCATGGCCATATATCAACAAAAACAAATTCACACAACAAAACAAGCCCCGCGGCTTGGGTCAACACAGAGCTTCCGGTGAAGCTTCACCAATGGTCTGACACTCTGCAGACCACAGGCAGACCACAGGCAAACCACAGGGCGATGTGCCGACGCACCGTTTCAAGTCCCTCAACGCTGGGGCCGTCCAGGATCTGCCTGGGCTCGCAGCAAACCTTACTCACCATCTCTACCATGTGCTGCCCCGAGTCTGGGATGGGATGACAACTGGAAAATCCGGAATAGAGCAAACCTAATGGACCGTTGCCAAGAACCGACGGAAAAGCCCCAGCCCATTCACTGGACAGGTTCAGCCCATGTTTATCAACGCTGAGATCCCACGCCGTCGGAACAAACACTACGCCACAAACGCCCAATAACATGAGAGCTCCAGCACATACGCACGCTCTTGGACTGGGTTATTCAGCTTACTACGCCAGTAAGTCCGAGTTGACGCTGAGAATGCCGCAAAGACACATAACAACTTTGAGATTGAGCGCTCCCGTCACATCCTCATTTGAATCCGTATATCTGGTAGGGTTGTGTAGTCCAGTGAACGTAATCTCTAAAGAACAAAACTAATCATGTAAAAATTATTGGGTTTGAACTGGTGCCTGGCTCTGAATGGGCTTTAAAACAGTTTACCCGATAATTCTTATACAATTATTATGACGATAATAGCAGTCACGGTATGCCAGCTTCCGAGGAAACAGAGCAATACAAATTGGGCTCCCGGCCAAGGCGTTGATCAAGACAGAAATGGACAGCTCACCTTCAGGTTCACTTGGTGATAAAACTGGTTTCTGGTTCACAATGTCATTTGCTTCAGTCTCGGCCGTAATGCTTTCCAGCGTGAGATAGATTACCATACTATGTATGCCCTTACGTCTTTGTACGTGCCTTCGCTCAACCCATCTTCCTGCCTAGACCTGCTAGATCGCCGCCTTCCACCGTCTCGATATTACCATCTCCTGTTGATCGTTTCTACCATTTTCGAAGAGCCCGAGGGAGGCGTCAGATTCTGCGTCTTCTCAATCTTGGGAACGCATCCGAATCTCGTGTTTCCCTGGTCCCAGATCTAAACACAAAGTTAGCCATATCCCACCCACATCACATCAAAACCCAAAGCAACTTACCGCGTAGATCGACTTGAGAAACGCGTCGCCGAGGATGTCAAACCCGTTGGACCCCCGCGACTGGACACCGCCGTACCAGAACCCCTCCCCGGCCGGCGCGAACGCCAAGTCCTCCTTCTGAATCACAAACTCCTTGTCCCCGACGGCGACCTTGAACTCGGGCAGGTCGTCCGCCTTGGTGCTCGTGGGGAAGACGTATCCCTGCTGCTGCTCGTCGTACTTGGAGCCTGGGATCGCGGCGTACAGCGCCTCGCACACCTCGTCCGAGACGAGCGCGAGCGTCGTCCCCGTGTCCGCGATGGCCTTGTTCCCGCTCTTCCCGACAGCCTTACCGTTCACGCTCGCCATGTCCGACGAGAACATCCAGAAGCCCTGCGAGTTGTCGATCTCGGCCCAGTGGATCTCCTCGCCCGAGGCCTCGACCAGCTCCGTGTCGATCCACCCGAACGTGAAGAACGACCGAGGACTGCCGCCGTCTCTCTCGCTGTAGAAGGCGGACGTGAACAGCTCCGCGCCCTGGGGGATGTCCTTCTGCGCGATCATGTTGTCGACGGGGGTCTTCTGCGGGTCACGGAAGTTGCCCTCGCGCTGGACCGTGTTGATGGTGCTGAAGGCGAGCCCGAGGAGACCGTCGCCCGTGCCCTGGGAGAATTGCGGCGCGAGCTGCTTCGCCAGCTCGATGGCCTGGTTTTCGACCGTCAGGCCGCCCAGGACGAGGTTGTCTGTGCCGACATCGCCTGATGCGGAGCTGCCGTCGCCGTAGGAGATCTTCCAGCTGAGGTCGTCGAGCTTCTTGAACGTGGAGGACTTGGAGGGGTCGTAAATGTTGTGGTTGGTTTGAAGGGAGCTACTGAGCTCGGTTGAAAACACCTGAATTCGTATAAGTGACGTCTCCTTGAAAATTCACATGAGGGAAATACCCAGAGATCAGAAGAGCCGGTATCAAAGTCCAGCTTGAATTTCTGAGGTGGCGTTCCAATGGTCACCTCGCAGAGATACATAGAGTCGTACTGCTGGTCCTCGGCCGTCACGTCTCCGCTCTGCTCATCCGAGTCGGTCTTCTTGGTCAAGACTTTGGTCATCGAAACGCGGCCGCCAACTGCGGCATTGAAGCCCGGGGCGGCGAGGCCTCTCTGGGCCATCCTCTTGGTTTGGACATACGGGCCGGCCTTCGTGGGTTCGAACTTGTACTTGTTCAGCAAGTGGACATAGGACTTCGTGCCATGGCGTTGGTAGTTCTTGTTCGAAATGGCGGGGATCTTGGTCAGACTCTTGGCCTCTTTGAACTTGGCCTGGGTTTGCAAGAATGCCTCCATGGTGGACCTTGGAAGTTTGGCGAAGGAAAATTAAGTTGAAGGACAGATTTTGTGGTGATGAGGTTGTTGAATGTCGGGAGTTGAATGTAGTCCGAGTCACAAGTAGCTGCCAAGAGATGCGAAATTCTTGGCTTGAGTTTGCGATTAAATACTTCCCCGTCCTTGTAAGGCAATACAACTGATCGGATTTCGGCACAACAATATCCTGGCTCTGTCGCGTCGAGTGGTCACGGAGCGTGGTGTCTCTGCCGGAAAACCTGATTTCGAGATGTGATCTATCGGTAGTTGAGGGGAGATGTCGCCCAGGGTTAAGCGCGTTTGATTATGCGGCGGCCTATCGCAACTTATAAGAGGCCAGGGCTAATGTTTCGCTGACGACGGCTCAGCTGAAATGGTCGGGTTCAAGACGGCTGTTTTGTCATGAGAGAGAGAGCTCATGCCGGCATTGAAGTGTGACAGCTCTGAGCAAGGCACAGGGAGGTGGGGCGGTGCAACTGCAAGCTTGAAACGGAGCTGTCGTGACAGCGAAGCGCATTCGGACCTTTCGCCCGTGCTCTCAACTCAAGAGGGGGACAGAGGTGAATTTCGCCCTCGGTCCAGCCCGAAGAGGCAGTTAGTTAGGGTCTGAAAGTATTGGTGGAGACGCAGCTGAGTCGGTCAACCACCACGATGATGAGTTCCATCAGAATCGAGTAAGAAAGAGGGGAAACGTTGTGGAATTGGTTTGGTAGCTTCCACTTGGGCTTCTAGATGCTGCGGGAGCTTTGACTAACTTTCGAGGACCCTTTCTCGACACAAACATCGGCCATAAAACCTGCCGAGATTCAGGGGAGAATTGCACATGCAAATCAGAGACGGCTAATGAATCAATGCTGCCCAAGTATGTCGCCGCCTGGATATGAATTGGTCTGATGAACAAATCGGCCAAGAGATGAGGTCTCCCCCGCCTACTGAATGATGTAACGAATGCCGCACGGTGGTTCCGGGGCAGGGATCAGCTTAGCGGGCCATGTCCCGTCTTGGCGCCGATCGACTCCAGATTCCTGGATACCCTGCCAAGCGCGACGCGAGGGACGGAGGCTTCGCGGCCTATTGATGGTGGTTTGTTAGTTGAACCTGAACTTGGCATCGAGATGTCATCAAGGGTCCTTCGTGAACCCATGCTTGTGTTCCATCCGGAAATAAGGCATGTAGTCCAGAGATAAGACTGGCGTGTACTCCTCAACGAGATAGGCGCCTTGCTAAGGTACGTAAAATTATCACGTATTGACAATGACTGGTTTGACTTGACTGGCTTGAACTACCGCGGTGGGATCATACGAAGAACCGCTTGAAAGCTTCCGAAAAGACGTCATAATTTCAATACTTCAAGCAGCCTTGAGGCGTATCTTGCCAAAAGTGAAGCCACGCACGCCATTGCTCACCCAACATGGCTCGCCGTCGACAAGACTGTCGGCCTTGACCTCTTCCTCTACGGCCAGATTCCTGAACAGTTGATAAGTAATTGGTGCTGATGAGCCGTAAGAAACGTTTTTTTACTCACCTTTCGAGCGCCCACCGGCGGGTAGTCCCGTCTTGGCCACCACTCCCAGTCTCGGGATCAAACCTGGCAGACACCGGTGGCGTAACCCACCTACCGTTCCTCCAGAACCACGGAGTTGTCAAGCTGCCTTCCATGACCGTGCCGTCTCTCGCGTTGATCAGCAGAACTTCCTTGCGGTCCGTCGGGGCAATGCTCGCACGATCCCGAGCCGTGTCGTACATGGCCCGCTTGGTAGTTTTGAAATGGGTGTACTCAGATTGTGAGGTCTCCGTGCTGTCGACAACGACATCCATGAGAGGCTCTTCGAAAGGATCACTGGTTTCCTTGGCCTCTCCAGGAGGCGGAAGCCTCTCCGGGAAGAGGTTCTGCAACGGCACTGCCGGAACCTGCGACGCTTCGCAGCTGAGCTTCCCGTCCGCCGTCAGGAGGACCTTGACTCTCAAAGGGTTGTCCCTTCCATGCTGGGCCAAGAATGCCTCAATGGCATCAACAAGGTTCTGCAACCCGGCTTCTCCTGAAATGGCCTCGACTGCCGGTGTCCAATTCCAGTGAGTAGCGGCTCGCAGCATCCGGTCTCGGTGCAGGTCGAGCATATAGTACGGAGATGTCATCTTGGCGTTCCATCCTGCGTTGGCAAGGCGTCTCTTGGGAACGCCTAGCAGGCCGGGATCGAACCTGAGTGACGTGAAAAGCTCAAAGTTGTTCGTCATCTTGAGCTTTGGCTGCTGAAACTGTCGACTTCGTTGATTGGTTCGACGATGACTCTTCCGCCGCTCAAAAATGAGATTATGATGAACAGCACTTGTTGATTTCAGAGCTGAAAGTGGAAATAGATTCGAAAACGTTGTAATTGTCAAGGAATGAGGTCAATCCGGGAATTGAGGGATAGCAAGCAGGTGCCGTCACGTAAGGTTCTTGCTGCAACAGCAGTTGGAACCTTGAACTCGCTCGAATGTGACAAAGCGCGGAAGTAGAAGTCGCTCACTGAAGTCGCTAACATTTTACCACATGACAGGAATTTCATGTGTATTACGTAATGAGCAAATTACATCAATATCGTTGCTGTCCCCTCTGATTTTCTTCAACCACTCTATCCCGTCTTTCTTCAATTGCTCCGCCGAGTATTTAGAGCGACGATATACATCAGAAGACTAGTCGCTCGTTGCACTTGGCTTACAGGCTATGAGAGGCTCTCAAGACCAGTTACGAATGTTTCTGGGGAAAGTATTCCACCCTCGGCGTTCGCCGATTCGCCATCGGAAACAAGCAACCTTAACCCTTCAAAATCGCTCTCAAGGACGGCATGAGCGGAAGGAGAAAGCCCAGTGAAGGCGCAAGAGTCGTTGAAATATCAATTTTGGTCACCAAAATCCATCAATCTGTTCACTGCTACACCGATTTGAAAGTACCATGGACGTCTTCTTACTCACACAACATCGCAAAACTCCGCAAACGCCAATGGCGGGCTTCTCCGACAGCGATCTCACTAATACGATAACGCTCCGTGGTAGCAATTCTCAATAATCGGATATGTCCACCGGGACTAGGTCGAACATCCGACGCTCCATCTCACAATGGATCTCCCATAAGAGGCAGCATTCAAGGTCTCAATGTTGCTAGCCCACAGGATCGTCATCACTCGCAACAATTCAGACAACTACCACCCAGCCCGGCAAAATGCAGCTTGAACGTTTCCACGTCTCAGCCACCGGCCACAGTCTGAACTACCTCCCCGAATACATCGCCCAGAGACACGGTTTCTTCCGCGAACAAGGCCTGGATGTGACCGTCACGGTCCCGAAACCCTGGGATCGCGTCCTCGACGAGCTGGCCGACGGCACCGCCGCAGCAGCCCTCGGCGGCGTCTGGGTTCCCAGTATGTACCACAACCGGGTGCGCGACTACGTCGCCTTCGCACAAGTCGCCAACCGCGCGCCTCTTGCCATCGTGGGCAGGCGGTCTCTCGACAAAACGCAACCCTTCGCGCTGGCCGAGACGGTAGGCAGGACGGTGCTGATGAAGGGCAGCAACGGCGCCAGCGTCGGCCTTTACTTCAAGATGATCCTCCGTGAAAACGGAGTGGACCCGTCTGCTGTGAAGTACGTCCAAGACCTGGACGGCGCGATGTTGGGAGAGCTGTTTGCGGGTGGGATGGGTGATTTCCTGGTTGTCGATAACCTCTCGGCCCGAGCCCTCGTTGCTCGCCACGCGGACAAGATCGAGATCAAGTTCGAAGCTGTCTCGGAGGGCGGGGAGATCCCTTGGAGCGTCTACTACCGAGACGCTTCAACCATCACGCCCGAGGTGCTCGACGCTCAGGAGCGCTTCTGTATTGGTCTCGGCAAGGCGATGGACTGGGTGCTTGCGCACGATGCCGAGGAGTTCAGGGAGGAGTTGGCAGAGATCTTCCCGCAGATTCCGGTGGACGTTACTGTTGAGTTGACGAATGTCTTTAGGAGGGACGGTATGTGGACGTCTCCCGTCGTGTCTCGTAAGGGGTATGAGCGATGGCAGAAGGGAATCTGTGACGGATACCTGGTTGAGAAACCCCTGTCATACGAGGTCATTGTCAACGACGGGCCTTCGCAAGCTGCACTCCGTAAGAGAGAAGCAGCCTGAAGCTGGTGTTTACATGTGATTGGTGATGGGAGGTTGAAAAGGGCTGGGCAATGAGAGCAGTCTAGGTCTAATTGTCAAAAAGCGAAGGATGGCACTGCCGGTCATGATCAACTATTGAGAGGACTTCTTGTGAAAGTTGCGCTTTTCGACACATAATGCTCTTTCCACAGGGTTATCTCCCTCACCGTCATTCCTGCCCTCATTGCCTCCGTTGACATCCTCATTTGACATTGGTTTTCTTCTCTTTGCTGTTATCCGGTTCACATTATTAGCAGTCCCCAGAAGCCCAGACGCCGCCATAGTCCAAGCTATCAAAGTTCCCATCTTGACCAGTTGGCCACTCGGCGGCAGAACTCAACGTCTCCCCGAACCCAAAACTTCCAGACGACAAGATCGCCAACGGGTCTCCCTCAAACCCGTCCTGCACAAAAGCCGGCGGCAGCTGGTGCTGCAAGCTTTCAACTTGCTTCTCAAACTGCAAACAGCTTCTCTGGACCTCCTCGACGTTGGTGGTGATAAGCCAGCTAACCGTGGCAGCAGAGAGCGCCTCGAAGGCGTCCCGGCAGCCTGCCGCGCCATCCCATCTCTCTGCAAGTGCCGAAAGGGTAGCACCGCAACTTTGGAGCGTAGCAACGCTTTCTTTGACGTCGCTGTTCTCTCGCAGTTCTTGAGAGTGCCATAGACAGTATATCGTCGTCAGACCGGCGATGAAGAGGTGATGTACCCACTTCCACATGATGTCGATACGCCGCTCGCGGTGTAAAGTCTTGATACAGGCTATCAGCTGACGGGAAGAATCGAACGAGGCTTGGAGAGCTTCGAAGGATGGCTGTGGTTGTACGGGATTGGGACGGTAAAGGAGAAGGAGGGTGTCGTGATAGATGGCATCCCAGTATGCCTGGCTACTGAAGATTGATGATGGGTGCGCTTCTCTGAGCGGCGGTATGGCGTTGTACCATAATTGCAAGCGACCGCGGACATCGACGATCCAAAGTGCGTAGTCCGTCCTCGGGTAGGCCAGCGGAGAACCCAGGAACTGGCTGTACAGCACATGCTTGATCTCGGACTGAAGCTGAGCAAGCCGTATCAGGCTATTATGGGCCTCCAAAGCATGATCGTCATGGCCTGTTGTGACTGCGGCATTGTCAGAACCAGTAGGTGCAGGGCTCGGGAGTCCAACATTGATGCCCTGGTCCGCCATTCCGAAAGGCCGTCCGAGAGTGATACACAGGAGCCTGTCGAAAAGATACGCAGAGTACCACAGACGGCGCCGATCATTGAGCTCGATGGGATCCATGCGTAATTTGCTTTCCTCCGTTTCCCAGTGCATGCCTAGGTCAACAGCCAGGCGGAGCGCAGTTCCGCTGAGGAGCCATAAGCTGCCCTTCGAAGGACGCAGAGCTATGTACTGTGATAGCAGAAGAATCGCTCTCAGAGATTCTGTGGCACTTCCCGAGTACACTAAGATCTTCTCGACTTCTCCTATGGCGGCGAGAAAGCAATTTTCGCTTTCAGGCGGGCGACCCCCTGACGGGTGGCGGACGCTGCACAGGGCAATGGCCAAGATCATGAAAGTGGTGAAGACATTCATGGATGCCTCCCTCTTGGGCTGCCTTTGGCTATTCGCTGCGATGTAAGCGCCATCAAAAGCCTTAAGTGCCTGTGCCCGGTCGATGATAGGAAAGCTCGGCGTTCGATTCTGAAAATACACATCCATGAGGTGTTCCGCTGCTTGCCTCGGAGGAAGTGACGCCTGTGTTGCCGTGGAGTAGGGGTACTGCACGGTTTGTGATGATGACCTGTTACTCTCGGCGGGTAATGGTGATGGCAGGTTGTCGACCCGAATCGCAGACATGACAAGTCTGGCGAGTGTGATCCCGCTGCTGACACCGAAGAAGTGAGGCTGGTTCGACGGCTCGCAGACCACTTTTCCCAGGTTGCTGGTCATCCAGTTTTGGTAGTCATTCGGGCTCGTCGGCTGGGCTTCGCCATTTTCAGGACTACTTTGAAGGGAAGCACCGTCGTTAGAAGGTGCTGTTCTTCGGAGTTCTTCGATTTCCTTAGTCAACGCAGCGACTTTTGCCTCGAGAGTCGAGACATAGTTGCGAGGAACCTAGAGGCTTGTCAGTTACAGAATGATGACAGCGTAAACTAGATACGATGGGACTTCTGTAGTCGGCGTACCTCGGCTTGTTTTCCGGCATTATATACTAGACATGGCACGTTGGCTTCACCACAATTGGAACATTGCGGCGATTTAAGGTCACACTATTATGTGTTATTCCCGTTACTTAGAACTCAACCGAAAGGGGTATCAACCTTCTGTTTTCGTCTACGACATCTTTGGCATTCAATTAGTCAAAACCAATCCTCAAGTTAACAACTTGTACGGGAGAGCGAAGCCACCCTTACCTCTGACAAGCGGTTGCGCCTCTGCCTAACCTCATCTTTCTGGTCAGCGTCGCGTCGGACATTTCCTTCGGATGTGTCTCTCAATCAAATGCATCGGCGTTGTGCGAGAGCTCGTCAGCATATATCAGGCGTATCAAGTAGTGGCATTCATTATGTATTCGGCTTTGTCCGAAAGGCTCCACAAGAAGATAAGGAGGCACGTACAGCCCTCCACGGTTATTTTTCCGTTGCAAATACTTTTCGCTATCTCTATGCCTATCCTTTCTGCTGTTAGCTTTGGTATTCTCCTTGATATCCGGTGTTACCCCTGAAGTATTCGACCAGGAGTATAACCGTGGAGTAGTGTAGTCTGTCATGCCATTTGGACAACATTATCCGGGGTCCCCGCACGTCAATAAGGCACATATTCCTAGAGAGCTTATCGCGTGAAGTATTTGCAGTTTAACCGCCAGAATTGTTCCAACGCGTATCTGATTTCCTTGTAGGATGGTCACGATTAGCAGATTACGAGAGTTATCGATGCTCTGGCTGGTCGGAGATGGACCGTCGGTTTCGCAAATCACCGAGAATGCTGGTGTTATGTTTGCCACATACGGTATTGCTTTGTTGACTTATAAGCTTCTTAGCCGTCACAAATTTGCCGTTTTTGTCAATATGAAGGCTGAAATCCGAAAAGCTGACATTTGCGGAAGTATTCGCCCTCTTATCCGACCTTGAACTTGGCTTGGTAAGAGACAATGGAGAGCCAAAAGGACGACAAGGATTTGGCGGTATTGGATGTCACCGACTCCGTCAAACACACTCCCCTCGGCGTCGACACCATTCGAATCGATCCTCAGTTAGAGAAAGCCGCTCTGAAGAAGTTCGACAAGTTCCTTCTCCCTGTCGCCTTCTTATTCATGCTCCTTTCATCTCTTGACCGGTCGAATGTAAGTATAGGCGTGTGGTTGCGCCTGGAGCCAAAATCAAGCAAACCCTTCGTTACTTCTTGCCATTTGTCCTTGTCATCGATACTGACAACTTCCGCTCAGATTGGAAATGCGAGAGTCTTCGGGTTCGATGAAGATGTTGGCCTGCATGGTCGCCAGTTCGGCGACATCAACACCTTGTTCTTCGTAACATTCATCGTCTTCGAGACGCCCTGGGTCATGGCCGTCAAGCGTTGGGGCCCCAACAAAGTTCTCGGCATCGCGTTGGTCTCGTGGTCAGTTGTGACGCTGTGTACGGGCTTCATCCACAGCTACGCCGCAGCCATCGTGACACGCATGCTCCTGGGCGCCTGCGAAGCGGGCGTTAGTCCCAGCTTCGCGTTCATCTTCGCCACCATCTACGACCGTTCGTCCACGGCGAAGCGTATTGCGATGGGAAACATCTGCAATACAGTCGCTGGAGCCTTTGGAGGCTTGTTCGCCTACGGGATCCAGATGATGGGTAGTCAACGTGGCATTGCAGGTAAGCCTTGAGATCGTACTATTTGGAGAATCGCGGGCACTGACTGAACTCTCCCACAGCTTGGAGATGGCTCTTCATCATCGAAGGCTCCGTGACTTTGGTTGTCGGCGGCATCGGTTGGATGTTTCTGCCTTCGTCGCCCGAAACGGCTTGGTATTTGACTATAGAGGAGAAAGAAGTGATGGTTCTTAGAAAGCAGAAGAACATGGCTTTCCGAGGCGAGGACGGCTTCGACAAGAAATGGATCAAGCTCGCGTTTACAGATCCTTTCATCTATATTGCGGGTGCCGCCTTCTTCACCTCGTCGGTGGCTATTACGGGCTTCAGCATCTTTCTGCCCACCATCATTAAGGGTCTTGGGTCAGTACTAGTCCGGTCAGCTGAATCGATTCCAGTCGGCTAACAGTTGCCAGCTATGCATCTCTCAAGGTCAACTACATGACGATCCCCGTGTACGTCGCTGGAGCACTCTCCCTTCTGGTTCAGGCGTACTTCTCGGACAAGCTCCACATGAGAGCGCCGTTCCTCGTTGGCTCGGCGATTCCAGTGGCCGTGGGCTATTTGATTTGCGTGGGAACCTCGAATCCCGCAGCTGGCTACTTTGGCATGTTCCTTTTGGCGGCAGGTGAGTTGAGAATACACCCCAGAAAAAAGGAGACGCAAGTGATTGACACTTGGCAGGATGCTATACCATCTCGACTATCGTGGTCACCTGGGTCGCGACCAACCTGATGCCAGACTCCAAACGAAGTGTCGCATTGCCCGTGTTTTACTCCATTGGTAACATGTCTGGGTTGGTTTCTTCGCAGTTGTACCCATCGTACCACGCGCCGCGTTACGTCATGGGTAATGCTCTGTCGGCTGGTCTGGAACTTGTGTTCGTTGGGTTTGTGGCGGCGGCGTGGCTGTTGTTGAGGAAGAGAAACGCAGAGAAGGAGAAGCTCACGGCAGAAGGAGCAACTACCAACGGTTTGGAGGGAGATATGGCCTTGGGTTTTGAATACTGTCTTTAGATATGGGAACCTGAGGAATTGGTATAGACACGAGACAGCAAGACCAAACCACAATGGGAGGCGCCAAGACAGTGCTCATCTGAGAGACTTAATTAGTAGGTGGCACATGCCATTGAGAGTAAGAGCTTGAGCTGGGTAGCAAGAATAATTGATCGTGTAACGACAACGGGTTACAATTGACTCAATTCGATACCATTTCAGCCATTGAATAGAATTGAAAAGAAACACAATAGAAGAACAATAATGTTAGCAGCAGCAGCACTGACACCCTGCTGGCTGACCAACGTATCCTTGCCCCTCGCAGCGCCGGGACCCTCACTGGTTACGTAGTGTACAGCTTCAATAGGTGGCCCTCCCTTGCAACCCCCACTTGTAAATCGCCTGAGGCCAAGCTGATTTGGTCAGTTACAATAGCAGGACCCGTGGACCCATGAACAGCAGGCCGGAAAAACTCCTCACGAGCTTTTGCCCCGTCGCGCAATAATTTTTTGCGCGCTGCTCCGGAAAGCTCCCGTCCTGGCCCATCAAGCACCAGCACCAGCCCGCGCATAGCAAACAGCAGATAGCAGACCGCAGACCGCAGACCGCAGACAGCAAGCATCGCAGCCAGCCCAGCTCCAGCTACGCTCCCGCTCCCGCATCTGCAACCTCTATACATCATCGACCCAGACCACGCCGGTCAGGCCATTAATACCTTCCTCCCATCTACACCAAAACCTCCAGCGCTTTGCTCCCGCCCGCACCACTCTTGATACCTCTCCTCTTTTCACCAATTGCCTCGAGCAACCGCCAGCATGTCGAATCCCCTGCCCTCCGTGCCTCCCATGGCCAGCCCCCCTACCGTTATCCCGGTTGATTCCTCCTCCGGTCTTTGGGATCGCATCACCTCTTGGGCTTCAGAAAACAAGGCTATCGTCTACACCGCCGCCGGTGTTGCTGTCGTTGCTACCGGTGCCGGCGTTATCTACTTCCTCAACAGCGATTCCGTACGTTCTACTTTTTTTTATACCCACCTACTTGTGTTAGTTGGTTGTCGTCATGCGATCCAATTTTTTCTCAGCCGTCGCTGCCGAGATTTTGGCTTCCCGCGCTGGCCACAACTTGATAGACGTTGGAAGCTGACTTGAATGCGAGAAGAAGACGGACTCGACACCAAAGCTGAGCAAGAAGGAGCGGAGGAAAAAGAAGGAGGCTGAGCGCAAGGCCGCCGAGGCAGAGAAGGCCGCACCCGCAGAGAAGGCTGCTCCAGCGCAACCGAAGGTCGCCGCCGTCGAGAGCGCCGACGAGCTCCCCGAAATCACCGAGACCTCCGTCCAGAGCTTCACACAAGAACAGCGAGACGAGTACGCAGCCAAGCTTAAGGATGCTGGTAACCAGGCCTACGGCGGCAAGGACTACAACAAGGCGATCGAACTCTACTCCAAGGCCATCCACTGCAAGGCCAACCCCATCTTCTACTCCAACCGTGCCGCTTGCTACAATGCCCTCGGCAACTGGGACAAGGTCGTCGAGGACACCACTGCCGCCATCAACCTCGACCCCGAATACGTCAAGGCCCTGAACCGCCGCGCCAACGCCTACGAGCACCTCAAGATGTACGGCGAGGCCCTCCTCGACTTCACGGCTTCCTGCATCATCGACAGCTTTAAGAACGAGAACAGTGCGCAGGCTGTTGAGCGTCTGCTCAAGAAGTTCGCCGAGCAGAAGGCACAGGAGATGATGGCCAACCGCCCCAACAAGCTGCCCAGCCACACCTTCGTCGGCAACTACCTTCAGAGCTTCCGCGTCAAGCCCCGCCCGGCCGGCCTCGAGGATTCTATTGAGCTGGATGAGGAAACTGGAAAGGGCCAGCTGCAGCTCGGATTGAGATCATTGGAGAAGAAGACCGGTGACGGCTACGAGGAGGCGAGAGCGGCGTTCGAGAGGGCTCTCGACATTGGAGACCTGGACGAGTACGAGGCCCTGGCGTACAACCTCCGCGGTACCTTCAGCTGCCTGCTCGGCAAGCACGATGAGGCCATGGCCGACCTGACGAAGAGTGTCGAACTCGACCCCTCCATGACCCAGAGCTACATCAAGCGCGCGAGCATGAACCTCGAGCTTGGTGCCCCGGAGAAGGCCGCGGACGACTTCGAGAAGGCAATGGAGCAGAACGCCGATGACCCCGACATCTACTACCACCGAGCGCAGCTTCACTTCATTAAGGGCGAATTCTCCGACGCTGCCAAGGACTACCAAAAGTCCATCGACCTCGACCGCGACTTCATCTTCTCCCACATTCAGCTCGGTGTTACTCAGTACAAGATGGGATCCATTGCTTCATCCATGTCGACATTCCGCCGCTGCATCAAGAACTTCAAGGACGTCCCTGACGTTTACAACTACTATGGAGAACTGCTCCTCGACCAGGGCAACTTCCAGGAGGCTATTGAGAAGTTCGATGCGGCGATCGAGATGGAGTCCAAGACGAAGCCGATGGCCATGAACGTTCTCCCCCTCATCAACAAGGCTCTCACTCTCTTCCAGTGGAAGCAGGACTTCGGCGAGGCCGAGAAGCTTTGCCAGAAGGCCCTTATCAGTAAGTCGAGTATGACTTTCCCTCGGGTACATGTAGCTAATCAGACAAAGTCGACCCCGAGTGCGATATTGCCGTCGCCACCATGGCCCAGCTGCTCCTTCAGCAGGGCAAGGTCACCGAAGCCCTCAAGTACTTTGAGCGCGCCGCGGAGCTCGCCCGCACGGAGGGAGAGATCGTCAACGCCCTCTCTTACGCGGAGGCGACGCGCACGCAGCTCCAAGTGCAGGAGAAGTACCCCAAGCTGGCGGCCAAGCTCCAGGGCATGGGCCCTGGTGGCATGCCCCGATAAAGGACTGGAAACAGCACCTTTCCTGACGACATGTACACCGAAAAAATCAAACCTCACACCACTCACACACCGGCGCCGTGTAAGAAGAAGAAGAAAGGAGGAAGTAAAAAAACCCATGAAAGCAAAAAAGGGGAGCGGGAAAAACAGCCCCGGACATTCGGGTTCCAGGGCTCGTAATGGGGAGGGAGGATTGGACGAAACGAAACGATTCAGGACGGGATGAAGTAAGAAATGCCCGTTTGCTGTCATCATGTCTTTTTTTTTTATATTTATTTTATGTTGGTCGGCGGCGGCTGGGGCGGCGTGGAGGAGGCTTCGGGTTTTGGTGTCGGTGGGTGGTGGTGATTTGGCGGTGGTAAAAACACATTAAGGGCACGCACTCGCGCACGGCTGAGACGCATCGGTCGAAATCCCTACTACATGTTGTACATAATCCGACTTCCCTCACTTTGCGTACATTGGTGAGAGCACTGTAGAACTACTAGTCCATTGTCATCTGTATCCATTTTTCTGTCACGTCTTCAGGCGTCATCCGAGGAGCGTCGTCGTCTTTTCTCTTCCGCCGAAAAATTGTTCATGTACATAGACATATTGCACAGTTGGCTCAGCTGCCTTGATTGGTGGGAGCGTTGTAGGATATGAGATGTATGGTCTACAGTTTGGACCGCATGAAAACAGATCAACGAATAGCAAAGACGAATTCGAATACGTCTCTGTAGAGCAACCGAGATGCCGTGTGACTAAACAAGCAAAAAAGGAGTAGAAATCGCCTCAAAATGCAAAAAGGAAGAGTCATTGATTTCGCCCGGACTTGAACCGGAGACCTTCAGTGTGTTAGACTGACGTGATAACCAACTACACCACGAAACCATTTGTTGTTGCAACAGAGGTGACCCACTGCGCCCTTGAATCGCGAGGCCCTGCGGGCAAGGCCCGGCTTGCTGGAAGGCACCGCGCATCGTGCATTTCGCATCGCGGCGGGACCAACAGCCGGCAGCCGGACGACGGAGCGCTGAGACATTCTGGCCGTTGGCCGGGGTAGGCATGGTTCCCGGGCCCGCGTGCCAACCCGAACCGGCGGTTCGGTTGCTGGGCAGGGCGCAACGAATTTTTTCATCTTGTCACGAGCCATCACAAAAGTTCCAAACATCACGGTGCGCCAGCCGGTCCAGTCGTAAAGCTCTCGCCATTGTGCAATAAACTGTGCCGCTTCATCCAATGGATTGGAAGAAAGGAGGCGATGAATACATACAAAAGTAAGAGGGAAAAAAATAAAAAAGTAAAAAAAAAGAGACTCCGTAACCCCCCCTTCTCCCGTGTGGTCGTAAGAAAGGTATGCGTACATGAGTTAAAAACCTGCGGCTTGGGGAATCAGGAGCCCGCCGCGATTGAATGCTCGGCGGTAAGAGTAAAAATGGTTCGTGGCCTCGTCGGAGTGAAGTCGTTCGGATGCGGCGGGACGTGATCGCGTGCCCGTCCTGATTAAGCCTTCCTCCATTTCGAGCCATGGTCATGAATTCTAAAACAATCGTCGTGCCCTTCCTTCTCTTTAAAGTGCTGTCCCTTTCCTTCGTCATATGTCCGGGCCGTCCAGCCCGGGCCCCCATAGTCCAGTCCATCCTTCCCGTGTCGTTTCATATCCGCTCTTCCTCGAGAGTTATTTTCATGATTTACTTGCCGCCGCACTTGTTGTTAGCGCAGTACAGGCCGGCGCCCAAACCGACGGCGAGGGCGATGATGATGATGGTGACGAGGAGACACCACCACTTAAGCTTTCTGCGGTTGCGGGCATGCTTGTTGGCGGTGGTGATCTCGTCGTTGCCCTTGGCGATGTTGTCGACGGTCTGCTGGGCGTTCTGCTCGGCGGCGTCGACGACGGGGTCCTGCTGCTCTACGATGGTGGCCATTTCCTGGAAAAGCGTAGCGAGCTCGATCAGGGTCTTCTCGATGCGCTGCAATTCGTTGTGACGGGCCCTGACGTTGCCCAAGACCGCGTTGGCCTGGCCTGTGCGATTTGTCTTGAGCTGTAAGATTGATGTTAGCATCCGGGTTCGACGGGAAATACGGGCAGAACGTTGTTGAGACATACCGCCGTCTGGAAAATACCCTCATCGCCCCAATCCGCCTCCGTTGCCTGCTTGACCTCATCTTCCGTCGCTTCCGGGTTGACGATGCGGTACTGACGGGCGATCTGGTCGCGGTAGCGCTTCTGGTAATCGTTCTCAATCTGCTGGTACTTGGAGAGCTCCGACTTGAAGTTGTTGCGGAGAGAGTTGAGCTGGGCGCTCTTGGTCGCGCGAGAGCCGTCCTGGGTCTTTGCGAGGTCCCTCTCGAGGCCCTTGATGCCGTCTCTGACCGCGGTGTTGCGGAGCTGCGTTGCGGAGACGGCTTGCTCGAGATGCTGGCTAGCACTGGCGTCGGTGGAGGCGAGGGAGCGCTGGTGAAGCTGGGCAATGTTCTCAATGTCGGAAGTAAGGCCCTGGATCTCGGAGCGGAGGTATTGCACACGCGACAGGAACTCTTGCTGGCTCAAGGTGGTAGGTGGTGGCGGTTGGTTGGCGTACTGCTGGTTCGGTTCTTCGCCGTAGGGCTGCATCTCATATTGGCCCTGTCCGTACTGTTCATGATTGTTAGTGACGATGCGATGCGACAGCGAAATTGAGCTTTCGCAGTGGGAACGCAAGCGATTGAATGGCGACGGACCTGGTTGTTATTGTTGTTGTCGGCATATCCATATCTGCTCTCTTGCCCAGGACCCTGGGCGTAGGGGTTCTGATTATACTGTCCGTACGACATATTGAGTGTTTTGCTGCTGTCGAGGCGATCACAGACAGAGCGTTGAAGAGTGGGATAGTGATGTGAAGCCGGTTGGAATTGGCGGAGGGGTAAGTCCGGCAACGAGGGAATGGGTCGGCTCTCGTGAGATGGATCGGGGTGGTAGCAGGCGCGAGCGCTGAGGATATTTCGGCTGATGTCTGGCCGTTAAATGACGTCCAGGTTGGACCTCCGGCCGCTGACAGGAACTGGGAAGTGCTGGAAAGGCACTGAAATGACAGTGTGGACGGACCCAATCAGGAACCGGGACCTGTCAGAGCGGATACCCCGGGCAGTGTCTGTGGTTGGGTGGGATGGGGCGCAAGTGGGCAGGATTGGCCGATCAGATTTCCGGGGTCCTGTTTTTTTCCAGGTCTTTTTTCCTTTTGGCTGAGCCTGGCGCTAGGAATAAAGTAAACAACGATATCTTCGACTGGCTATACGTTTGAGGTTATGCAATGTATATGAGACTGGAACCGTGTGAGAGAATTGAGGAAGACAAGAAGAGGCGGGAGGGAATGGATTCGTCCGGTCCGGAGAGACAAGCTGGCGCGAGGTCAGTGACATCAGAGCATGTTGCGCCGACGGGCGGGGCGAAGCTTATTATACACGGGACGCATGTTTTCTGTTAACGCGCTGAGGTCTGCTGTCCTAGCAGCCCAGCCCGCGGCAAGGTTCCTCTACCTACTGTCTCACACACCGTCCGTCCGACGGTGCGGTGCCGTGCAGATGGTAAGGTACGGGAGTCCAGCTTCTGCCCGCTGCTTGCCATTGTTGCTGCAGTCTCACTTACGAGTCTGACGAGTGACGAACCGCCCAGCCCCATTGCCTTGCCCAGCCTTTCGCTTATACCCTAGTATAAGGTGACGATTGACAGCAAGCGGGTACGGTACTGGAAAATCAAAATGGGCTGAGCGGCGGCGACACCACGCAACAATCTGTTTCCCAAAAATAGCCGACATCTGGAATGGCGAATAAGGCTACGAGCACTTGCCGTTGGCCTCAATCGACGAATCGAAACCGCTCAATGTCTTCATCTGTATCTGCAACGGCTGCAGCGGCGGCCGGAAAGAGGTGACACATCAGTAAGTCCGCCGTGCTGTCGGTACTTTGTCTACTCAGTACTGCGTACCTTGCAACTTGCTGACCGCGTGCGCTAGTCGACCGCAAGTTCTGACGACTGGAAGAGCGTGCCGGGAAACCAATGAGCGTCGCCAGCTTGTGGCTGTGCGGACGAACCGCCATCCATTTTTGCCCATCCCAAAGTCCAAGCCTCCCTGCCTTTCCGCGGTTCGTCCTTTTTCATCGCCTCTTCCAATGCGGCTCTCACAACGGCGAGTAGAGCCTGCGGTCCACAGGCAACGGCGAATTCCAAAAGCCCGCTTTCGTTCCGTATCCGTGTTCCGCGTACAACATCGTGGCGGGGCGGGTCTTTGAGGACCTGATTCGCAAGCAACCCAGTCCGACAGGGGCCGGTTCGTTTTTAACCTTTCAGATGGAGAGCTCGGCAACGTGACCGCCGGATGACGAAAACATGCCGCCCCTTATTGGTTCGTGATGGCTATTGCAACGACGTCGACCTCAGATTGTTTGTTAAAATTGAGGGCCATCAATTCAGTCCTCCAGTATGGTTTTGCTGTTCCTACTTCTCCTGTGACGGCCCGTCAAGAACGCACCTGTTTGGACCGTGCCTATAATATGCATTTAAACATTACATGGCTGTAGAAAACCCTCATTATTTACATCATCCCGTGTTACGCATGTTGAAAAGTGTTAGTTGACGATTATGCATCAATCCAATGTCATTGTCTTGCAGCGGTGACTACATTCTACGACCCAGCCATAATTAGAAGAAAATGATCTACTTTTATCATTCGCCGAGTTGGTTGCTACATCTGGAAATTCATTCTGAAATATTATGTTGGTACATTCAGATCGGTAGCCTCACAGGCGTCCCTGACCAGGTTCTTGTATCTACCGTTGCCTCTGGCCTGCGCCTTGATTTTGATGTCTGTCCCGCGCAATTTTTTATGCCTAAACTCCTGAATAACACACTCTCCCGCTTCTGCCCATGGACTCAAGCATCAATGTCCTACATTGGGGTGAGACGCAACATGGCGTATTTCATCAACCCGAGCCATTCCACCGCATGCTGCTGACCCAAGTCGCAGCAACTCTCATGTTAGTGTTTGCTTTTGACCTTCCTTGCTTTTCCGCCAACTGACATGCCATATGGCGGTACGGCGTCTTCCACCATGGACACGACCACGACAGGGGCTTCAACGACGCTTCTGTCCGTCGTTTTTGGACATCCCTCACAGGTACTCCTTCTTTCTACCCGTGCGAGTGTATTGCGTCATATGCCATTCTACGTCGCCATCCTTGTTCTCAAGAGTGCCCGCGCGTATCTCGAAGGGACGAAGAGTCATGCGTGGCCCAACCTCAGCAAGCTCGACGGAGTCGTATGATGTACGAACGAAGACATGACTTTCACGTTGGTGAGCAAATGCAAGCACATGGGCAAAATTGATGACTTACTGTCGGACCTCTATGCTGTCCTCATTGTTGACAAAGGTCACTACCCTGTTGCCAATCTTGTTTTTGGCGGTAATAGGGTCGCGCGGTGGGAAGAGATGCTTCAGCACCTTGACGATGCGCTGTCCAAGACGACTACGCCAAACGTTAGCCTTCGTTTGTTTTTGTTGTTGCTTTGCGCCCTTCGTTTTCGCAACAACAACAAAAGGCGTCTGCAACCATGTGAGGTATTCATACCTTTTGAATCCCTCGAAAATAAGATGCGGATATGCTTCTGATACGCTGCCTCTGATGGAACCAGGTATATCATGGCCTACATCCTGTCAGTGGATGAAAACCGCATAGCTGGGACAACTCACGCAGCACAACGTTGTGCAAAGAAAATGACACCGTCGGGCCGTGTGGAAGATGAGAAACGGTGAGAGCGCTTGCTCGTCCTCGATGCTCGTGGCACACAACGATGTCTGTCAACGCATTCGATTTGCAGGATTGAACAAGATCGGGCAGAATCAGGTTTCCACGGTTCAGGCGCACTGATGTGGGGAGAAGAAGCCTGATTTCTTTGCTAAACGCAGCTAGACGGCTCGAGGGGTCTCTGCTAGTTGTGACACTGAGAAGAAGTCAATATATATTCATGCGTACTCCTGAATGCCACTCACAGGATTCTGGGATCTGAGATACCACTCAGCTGCGAGTATTCGTCGTCCAGATCCATCGCCTCGTTCATGCTAATATCAGCATTGGCCTCGTCATATTGGTAACTGTTGAAGTTTAGCAATATTGCCATTTAATAATGGTAAAAATAATGTAATTACTCCTTTCGCAAAGCCTTGTCCTTCGCGATAGATGGGTCAAGAGGCTTGCCGGAGGCCAGCGCGCTCTTGAGGGCCGCGCGCTTTTCGTTTGTCTCCGCATCTTTGAGCATCACCGCTCTCCTATAAAGGTAGTCGCGCCTCTGGCGCGCTTGTTTCCGCTAGAGAACATGTTAGATATATCTCTAAGTATGGCGTGTAAGGTAGGCAGGTTTTCGAGTCTCAGTATGGGGTATGAACACAAATGAATGAGATTACAAAAGACCCATGCTTTGAAAAAACACAAGCCTAGCGTTGGGAGTTCATCAGCAACTTACAATCATTTTGGCGGTTTCTCGTTGTGATGATGTCGATGAGAGATCCTGTAAACATGAGCGGTCGTTGGACAATTGGCGACACAATTTTTTAGTGGAGCCATACAGACTGGCAGCGACGGCAATCGCGCCCGCATTGGCCATCCATTCCTACGGTTCGTGCCTTATCTTATCGTACATATCACGTGATACATGCCACCAGAAATGGCTGCACCTTTCGCCGCTTTCTTTGGGCGGGCCAAACCCGAATGACCAAGTTGCGGCAGCACACATACGTTCAGGTCAACTTTTCGCTCAGTTGGTGTACCTTTTGAGGTCTCGACACCGAACCCTGGACTTGCCGCACCGATATGATGTGACGTTCCCCGTCCTTCTACACCTCGAATTCCTTTCCGTACGACCTGAGCCGTCCGAAGCTCTGCGACGCCGAAATATTCGAGATCAACAAAAGAGGCTGAGGTAAGTTGCGCTTGCGCCTGTTCCTACCAAAACGATTCCAAATCTTTCGCCACAACCTTTTCGAACAAGCACTGCATCGTTTTCTGCCCGTTTCTTGCAGTCCGACTTATTCCGCCAAGAACATCTCACTAACTTGTTTCCCTCAAAAGTGAGTAGAAGATCAGCACAAACGGAGAGACAAGCGGAGCAACGATCGCGACCATGGAGGGAGCCTTTACCCACCTTGGGAACCATCTCGTAAATGATTCAACTGCCGCAATCAAGGCTGGCGCCGACGACTTTGCCGGTATCGACCCCGACGAAAGCCTTCTCTACGGGAAGTTCGGCGGCCGCGGTGGTCGCCGCCGCGCCGATGACGATGACAACCAAACGGAGCTCTACGACGATGACGATAATGACAGTCTGACCAGCATGCCTGTCGGGGCTATGAAGGATCTGAACATCGGCAGACCTCAGGAGGAAGATAGAGAGCTTCCTCCCCACGCCTGCGCGTACGTTGGCCTTCTGCATACTTGCGCCAGGTTCTTGACTGACGCTTTCTAGGTACTGCGGAATCCACTCACCGAGCTCCGTCGTCAAGTGCCTTGGCTGCAACAAGTGGTTCTGCAGCGCTCGAGGAAATGCGACATCTTCCCACATAGTGAACCATCTGGTTAGAGCTAGACATAAGGAGGTTCAACTTCACCCGGAGTCGACCCTGGGTGATACTGTGCTCGAATGCTACAACTGCGGAACCAAGAACGTCTTCCTTCTGGGTTTCATCCCTGCCAAATCGGATACTGTCGTCGTCCTTCTCTGCCGTCAACCTTGCGCCGCCAATACCTCCTCCAAGGACATGAGCTGGGACACCTCGAGATGGCAACCTCTGATTGAGGAGCGAGCCTTCCTGACTTGGCTAGTCGCGACCCCCTCCGATGCCGAGCAGCTGCGCGCACGACATCTGACTCCCCCCATGATTGCCAGGCTGGAGGAAATGTGGAAGGACAACTCAACCGCGACTGTTGCCGATCTCGAAAAAGCGAACAGCATCGATGATGACCCGCACCCGGTTCTCCTCAAATATGACGACCCTTACCACTACCAGAACATCTTCGGCCCCTTGGTCAAGATGGAGTCTGACTACGACAAGAAACTCAAGGAGGCGCAGTCTGAGGATGGCTTGACCGTTCGCTGGGATTACGGTCTTAACAACAAGCACCTTGTCAGCTTCGAGCTTCACAAGATAGAGTCCGGTGATGTCAAGCTTGCGGTGGGCGACGAAATGCGACTGCGATACAAGGGAGAGCTCCGTCCCGCTTGGGAGGGTGTTGGATATGTCATCAAGATTCCCAACAACCAATCCGATGAGGTCACTCTGGAGCTGCGAAAGGCCGGTAACGAGAAATCTGTTCCGATCGACTGCACCCACAACTTCTCGGCGGATTACGTCTGGAAGGCTACCTCTTACGACCGCATGCAGTATGCGATGAAGACCTTTGCTGTCGACGACATGAGTGTTTCTGGATACATCTTCCATAAGCTGCTTGGTCATGATGTCGCGGTTGCGCCGCAAAAGGCAGTCATGCCTAAGAAGTTTAGTGTGCCCGGCCTTCCCGACCTCAACACCAGCCAGATCGCCGCCATCAAAGCCGTCCTGTCAACCCCTCTCAGCTTGATCCAAGGCCCTCCCGGAACTGGCAAGACCGTCACCTCGGCCACCATCATCTACCACTTGTGCAAGATGAACAATGGGCAGGTTCTTGTTTGCGCGCCATCGAACGTCGCCGTTGACCAGCTCTGCGAGCGTATCCATCGCACCGGTCTGAAGGTTGTGCGCCTCACGGCCAAGTCTCGTGAGGATGTCGAATCATCTGTAAGCTTCCTGGCCCTCCACGAGCAGGTCCGTATGAACGACAGCAACGGAGAGCTGGTGAAGCTTGCGCAGCTCAAGAGCGAATTGGGCGAGTTGTCCAGCCAGGATGAGAAGAAGTTCAAGCAGCTCACAAAGGCGGCCGAGAGAGACATCTTGCACAACGCGGATGTCGTCTGCTGCACTTGTGTTGGTGCTGGTGATCCTCGTCTCTCGAAGATGAAGTTCCGCAACGTTCTGATCGACGAGTCTACCCAGTCGGCCGAGCCGGAGTGCATGATTCCTCTTGTTCTGGGCTGCAAACAGGTTGTCCTGGTCGGCGATCACAAGCAACTGGGCCCTGTCATCATGAACAAGAAGGCTGCGAAGGCTGGTCTGAACCAGTCCCTCTTCGAGCGTCTCGTCAACCTGCGCTTGGTTCCCATTCGCCTCAACATCCAGTACCGCATGCATCCTTGCTTGTCCGAGTTCCCCTCCAACATGTTCTACGACGGATCGCTTCAAAACGGTGTTACGGTCAAGGAGCGCCTCCGCCGTGACGTTGATTTCCCTTGGCCTGTTGCTGACATGCCGATGATGTTCTGGTCCAACCTTGGCAACGAGGAAATTTCAGCATCTGGAACGTCTTATCTCAACCGCACAGAGGCTTCCAACGTTGAGAAAGTTGTCACGCGCTTTTTCAAGGCTGGCGTCAAACCATTGGACATTGGTGTCATCACCCCGTACGAGGGTCAGCGAAGCTACATTGTTAGCACCATGCAGAACACTGGCACTTTCAAGAAGGAGAGCTACAAGGAGGTCGAAGTCGCATCCGTCGACGCTTTCCAGGGTCGTGAGAAGGATTTCATCGTCTTGTCTTGTGTGCGATCCAATGACAATCAGGGCATCGGTTTCCTTTCAGACCCGCGTCGTCTCAACGTCGCCTTGACTCGTGCCAAGTATGGTCTCGTCATTATCGGCAACCCCAAGGTCCTTTCCAAGCACGAGCTCTGGCATCACCTTCTGGTCCACTTCAAGGACCGGAAGTGCTTGGTCGAGGGACCTCTGACCAACCTGCAGACCTCCCTTTTGCAGTTTGGCAAGCCTAGAACCGCCTATCGCCAGAAGATGAGCCAGCCTCCTCAATTCAACGCCGGTGCAGTTCCCAACGGCAACCGCTTCAACGGCGGTGGCTCAACCCGCGATTTCGACTCTGGGTCGATGATGTCTTACATCCCTGATGATGTTTCGTCTATTCACAGTTCCTTGGGTGGCGCTGGCCTTACCACGTACCCTCCCATCTTCTCAAGCTTTACCCCTGAGCAATGGCCCGGCCTGCCCGGAGTGCCTCAAGCTGGCCGTTCTAGCAACAAGAGAGGCGGACGTGCTACCGAAAGCATTGCCGGCGAGAGTGTCGCCAACTCCGAGTACACCGACGCCAGCGCCAGCGTTATCGGCGCCAAGGGTGTTGGACAGGGCGGTGTCAGCTTGGGCGCCGGTCTTCAGGATGCCATTCACGGTATGCGGCCGGCTTCCTACAGCCATAGCGATCGTCTCAAACAATACGTCGAGAGTGGCGGACGAATGGGGACCGGCAATGGCTACGGCCGTCGATATGACGACGACGAGAAGAGCGTTAGCACCGCCTTCCACAGCCAAATCGGAGGCGGCTTCGACTGAGAATCGTGACGGAAAAGGATATGGATATGCTATATCAACCACCCAAGTGGTTTCTCACCAAATCCTCCGACGGCTTTCAGCCCTCGCCGCACCATGCTCGGTGCTGTACGACGGAGCAGGCAGTTCGCCTTAGCCCAGACGCGTCTGCGGGAGTCAACCCCGATCAGCCGTAGACGTTCTATCTGGCCGCAGATTCGGCTTCCGACCACGACGTGCCGTAGGCGGGTTATGGACCGATCAGCGAGAGCTGCAACCGACGGAGCGACCGCTCGCGAGCGCCCTCAACGGCCCGCAATTGGCAGATCGTTATCAGTGTGCTATCAGTGTTAGCAATGGGGGAGGAGAATGAGGCGGTGGGCGTGGAACTCGACTTGGGGACAGAGATTTGCATCTCAAAGGGCAACTTGCACTGGGAAAGCACGATTCTAGACAATCTGGTCTGGTCTTGAAAGTCCAAAGCTTGCCAACAGAGAATTGGAACGGATCTTCACGCAACTTCGCAACGAATGCGAAAATGCATAACCTAGCTTAGAGTTAGTCGTCTACATACCAGTTACGCTCGTTACTTGTGTCTTTGATGCCCCAAACTTTGCACCGCTTTTAAATTACCGAATTACTGATTATCGGGAAATTGATACAGCAGTCGTGATATCTCAAGCTTCAGACAACCAAGGCATCGTGCTTGTGCCTGGTGACAAACAGGGGCCGGCAGCCGGCAACCCCCACAGAATTCTAAATTAATTACGTGGAACGACTAGCGTCCAGGAACACCCCCGTTCAAGCGCGGGAACTGGCACTCAATCTGACGGGGGAAACGCAAGTCTTTTCCCCCAAAGGTCATGATCCTCGTCGCGAGACCGGGCGCATCCAATAGAAGGTCCACTATGACGATTCCGTCCGATTCCTGGTCTCGCAAAGCGTCTGGTCAGCGGAGTTGAAGTTGCAACGGGCGGGCAATGTCACAACTCGAGGCTCGTTTTTCCAGCGCCGCTCGGGTGCCGCTGCTGCAGCTGAACGGCACGCTGACTACGACTGCCGCTACCTGCAGGAAAAGGGGAAGAATTCTCTTGGCAATTCCTTACGTACACGTGTTGAGTGTCGAGCATCGACAAACGGTAAGATGGGCCGTCTTGGCTCGGAAACGAAAAGCAACGGTCCCCCTGACCTCCTCCGGGTTGTTTGGTCTCAAACCTTGGAGCTCTGCCACCTCGGGTTCCTCTTTTCTGCCAAGTTTGGGAACTCCTTCCCTTCCCAGACATCCAACGTCGTTCGTTGGTTCTTCCTTCGCTGTTCGAGAGAAGGAACCCTCCAAACCACAACACCCCCATTCTAACGGGGGAACCGACATGATTGACGACTACCTGCGCCGAGACATGCTGCCGCTGCCGCCGCTCTCTTCGTCCTCCGAGCCGCCGACATGATCACAATACGCCGCCGCCCCGCGAGGCTACCAATCTACCTGGGCATCGCCCTCACTCTCATCTTCCTCTGGCACACCGGCCTCCCCGCCGGCTGGGGCGCCCGCGAGCTCTCCTACAATGGCATTCGCTATCGCAAGTCGAGCTACGACTGGGGCAGCTTGAACCTCGAATATCCTCTGACGAAGCCTCTCCGCACGCCGCCGAGAGGCATGCCCCTCGATCTCCCGCGCGTCCAATACGACTTTGATGGAAGTGGGAAGAAAGGCGGCAAGAAGAACAAGAAACTCTCACATGATGACGACCGGGAACGCGAGCGTGGGCAGCAGGTCGAATCTCGCCGCGCCGCCGTCGTTCACGCCTTCAGACGTAGCTGGGAGAGCTACAAGGAGCACGCGTGGACGTGGGACGAGTTGAAGCCCGTCTCCGGAGGCGGGAAGAATACCTTTGGCGGCTGGGCGGCTAGCATGGTCGACGGCCTCGACACGTTGTGGATCATGGGGATGCACGACGAGTTCCGTCAAGCCGTCCGCACCGTCGCCCTGATGGACTGGTCCAACACCACCGAATCGGCCGCGAACATGTTCGAGACGACCATCCGCCATCTCGGAGGTCTCATCAGCGCCTACGACCTCAGCGGCGAGCCCGCCCTGCTGGCCAAGGCCGTTGAGCTCGGCGACATGCTGTACATGGGATTCGACACGCCTAACCGCATGCCGCCGTTCTGGTTCAAGTTCTCCGATGCCAAGTACGGCACCCAGCAGGTTGGCCAGCGCGAATCCTCTGCGGCGGGATGCTCGTTGTCCATGGAGTTCACTCGCCTGTCACAAATCACCGGGGATCTGAAATACTACGATGCCACAGAGCGCGTAAAGGAGTTCCTCGTCAAGACCCAGCACGACACGAAACTGCCGGGAATGTGGCCCACATTCATGAACTACCGCGAGGAGAAGGCGGACGACAGTTCCTTCACCATCGGCGCCCAGGCCGATTCCCTCTACGAGTACCTACCGAAAATGCATGCGCTGCTGGGTGGTCTCGACAGCGAGTACGAGAAGCTAACGACAAGCTCCTTCGACGTCATCAACAAATACATCCTGTTCCGGCCCATCCTCCCCAACAAGACCGATATCCTCATCCCCGGTAACGTCTTCGCACACGGCACCAGCTCGGTCGACCTGACCCCCGAGGCCCAACACCTCGGTTGCTTCGCCGGAGCCATGTACGGTCTGGCTGGTCGACTCCTCGAATCCGACTCGTACGTCAACATCGGCGAGCGGATCTCCCGCGGTTGTGCCTGGGCCTACAAAGCCTTCCCCCTCGGCATCATGCCCGAGATCATGACCCTCTGGCCGTGCAACGAGCCGGACCACGGCGCCTGCGAGTGGGACGAGAAGTCACTTAGCCGTATGGACGTCCCATCAGGCGTCAAGCAGGTTCGTGACGCGAGGTACATCCTCCGTCCGGAGGCCATCGAGAGCATATTCTACATGTACCGCATCACGGGCGACGACGAGTGGCGCGACATCGCGTGGGACATGTTCCAGGCCATCCAGCGCGCCACCGAGACGCCCTTGGCCTACTCGGCCATCTCCAACGTCAACGTAGCGTCTTCCCAATTGACGACCAAGACGGACTCCATGGAGAGCTTCTGGTTCTCGGAGACGTTGAAGTACTTTTACCTTATCTTCTCGCCGCCTGACGTCATTAGTCTTGACGATTGGGTGCTGAACACCGAGGCGCACCCCTTTAAACGGCCCAAGAGGACACACAGTGTCGAGACGGAGGCTGAGATTCGCGGGCAGTCGTAGGAGACCACCCGTTTTTGATTATGTTTTAAGAACAACCTGCATCGGCATTGGATGTGCCTGGCGAGTGTTGGGAATAGGTGCATGGGAGAGGAACTGCATAGGATACCTACCATAGACTTGGGTTTGGATGGTGCATACTCGGTGGCCTGGTCCCAGTTGAGAGTTCATTGCATACGCCGCTTGTACCTATCGACAAGAGTTCCAAGATTCGTTTCTACGTTTATGAATGCGTTGACGTGCTATTTTGGGGGCTCCGCCTTTGAGCAACCGCGAGTCGTGTGCCGGAGACAACTCCGATGCCCCAACCGTGCAGCCGGAGATGAACGGGTCTCTCAGTTGAGACAATCTCATCAGGTAATTTAGCATCTTGGGCCAATTTCAAAATTGATGCTTCACGTGTAGCAACTTGCACGGCAACTTGACTCTGCGATCCGTTCGTGCTATTCCTGCTGATCTGCAATCACGATGGTTCTTCACTTTCCTAGCCCCGGCCAAGACTTGTTGGTGAAGCTCCCCATGTCGGATGGGGGCCGCCATGTCCGTCGCCGCTCCGGCTGGAGGGGGGGCCGCTATGGAAGCCGACATAGCTCCGTATGTCGATAGTGTATGTGCAAATGACTCCGGACTTCATCTCCGCCGTGCTAGATTGCAATTCGAAACCGCATCATCGCAAAGTGCGCTGAATCTTGAGGCATGCAGCTGCAGTCTGCATGAAGCAGAGCGGCTCGCAACGAGCGCCGGATTCGCTGGTGAGATCTGCTGCGCGGGGATCTGCATCGATTTGCCCATGCAGGATCTGCAGGCTTTGTTTTTTTTCCTTCCATCCACGAAGAAGTTAGATTCGTCCCCCTTGCAGCAGTCGCAGCAGCAGCGCTGCGGCGTAGTCTTGGGTGTTCTCCAGCCCGGCCAAAGAAGCAATGCGCACCAAGCGCGATATATCGCGGCTGCGTCGGCTCGCAGAAGTGTTGGCGGGCTCGTCACCATGTGTCATGGACTTGCGGTTCCAAGGAATGCTGTGAGACATCCGTCCCGTCCCTTCGACAGGATCTGATTACGCAGCTGCAAGTTAAGCCACCGACATCCAGTCGCGGGTGTAACCCGGGGAGAAGCTCCCCGGTTATGGTTGGCACCAGCAACCGCCTGCGTAGGATCATTCGAGCCAACAATAGATCGATCTGGAAAGAGAGAGACCCAATGGCCGTATCGGTGAAGGTGTCTTCAGAAGTTGGGAAAAAGCAAGTGTTGACAGCAAGGATCCCGTTCGATCTCATCCTGTCATCTGTCTGCACCTACCAAAAATAATAGCAACGGCTCCACTACCAGCCTAGGGCCCTTGTCACCGTCGCCGCGGCGTTGGTGCTTTCTTCTGGGCTCACCGGCGATGTACGACGAAACGATGATGACGCTTCTGAAGCACTTCGTCTTTTCACGACTGTCTTCGTCGTTTGTCGCCCCCGTATGCTTTTCGCAAGACAAGGCAGAAAAAGGAAAACAGTCGTCAACATATGGATACCCAAGAACGTGGGACAGTGGATCGACCGTCTGTGCAACCGCCAGGGACCGGCCGGATGTATTTCTTTTCTCTTCTCTTGTTGCGAAGAAGGAAACAGACAACCCCGTCTTTTTGAGTCTCGAGGGGAGGGATATCCGTAGACCGATATAACGATCCACCACATCGCGGGGTGGAGTCGAGGTCCGAGGGTTGTGTGTTCGATTTGCAGCAAAGACCGTAGATCGTGGATGTGTACTCCGTACACACAGCGACTTATATCCAGATACCAAACGGCCGCACAGAAGCGAGACAAGCAGGTTTTTTCGAGAATGATCTCCAGGCACGCGGCAGTAGATGAAGGAAAGCCTGGGAAAGATGAGATAAGCTGGAAGACGTCCCGACTGGCTGGGATACGGCACGCGGGAGATTGGCTCAGGAGGATGAACTGGTGAGGTGAGAATTTGGTGCTGTTGATCATGGCCCTTTGGGTCGTCCAGCTATTGCGTTGTGTAGCCTTTTGTGTTGCGTTGCAATACAATTTATCCATCGGAGGTTTTCTCGTCTGGAAATATGCCGTCCGATAGTGAGTTGGGTAGGTCCCGCTTCATCATGATCCGGGGTGTTGCCATTGATTGCGATTGCGCCGCACAACCCACTCGCGCTGCCACCGTCTTCTTGATGAATGATCCGGCCAAGCATGGCGAAACCCAGCAACAACAGGCATTCATTTGAGGGCGCCTGTGGGGGTGGTCGTTCGCTTGTGTTTGACTAGCAGAAAGAGATCCTTCACATCGTTGCGCTTGTCTTGTTGCTGGCTAGCCCGGGCTGAAGAAGTGTGGCTCTCTCTGTCAGACATGGTTGCTGGGGTGGCTCGCTGACGGGAGACGAGCCTTCCATTGACGAGGGCAAAGGCGACGGGTCGCGGAGGATATCGACCATTAATAGAAGTCAGGACCGGTAAAGCGAGGGCGCTTGAGGCAGACAGACGATACGCAGGGCGCCGCCACGGGGCTTTGTTCTGGATTCGAGGTGCCTGGCGCTATCGGTGGACTAAGACGTTAGGACGATTGAAACGAAGTTGAGCGCAGGTGCCAGGTGGTCGTCAGCCAGCCCCTCTTCATCCGAACATGTCTGCAAGTTTGGTTTCGATGACTCGAGAGAGCCGACAGAGAGGGGCGGGCGTTGAGGGATTGCCGCGGAGCAAAGGGATCAATGCACGAGGTCGCCGTACCGTGCGCTGCATGGCGCAGGCCAGCATGCTGGGTTGATTCGTGCTAGTGTCGAATCCACGCCCCTCTGGTCTGCGCTTTGGGGGCTCTCGATGGCGCGAAGACGGATCGTCGAGTTGTTTGGCCGCGAGCCGAAAGGGAACAGTACATGGCGAGCCGGGATAGTGTCGCTGGTGGCCGGGGACGTGGTCGATGAAGAGGAGAGGCGTTGGGTTGGAAACCGTTCAACGTTCTATCTGCGGTATCCGTACCGTCTTGTTTGATATCAGGGGGAAAAGCAGCAAGGGCGGAATGGAATGGTGGGTGACAGAGGTCGATAGTGACACCTGAGAGCTGATGTGGAAGGGGCGAGGGGCAGTTCGGAGAGATAAAAGAGGAATGGATGGGCGAGTGCCGTTGGTGGTGGTGTGGTCTTGAATGGATGGACGAGGTCAGCGACTCTGGATGCCGACGTGTTGTGGGGTGGGATGAACCGGGAGGGCGGATTCGCATTCTCGAGTGGTGAGTGGACGGGTGGTGGATGGGATGGCATGCCACTTGATTGAGACAGACGGCTGGAACAAAGGGATCGATCAAGCTCCTGTCCATCATCCGGTTGACAATGGGATGAAGGTGTCGGCGAGACCAGACAAGACACGAGACACTGTAGAATCCGGGGTTAGTTCGTCCCATTGACGCTGTAGGGACTAAGGTTTGAATCCACCCGCCTCAGTTGCCAACAACACATGGCCATCTTGAGTTTTGATACTGGCTTTCAAGCCATATCGTCTGAGGTACTTTGGTTTTCACATGGAGGAAAGTAGGTAGCAGACAAGGTACGTACATAAGATAGCTGCAACTTCCCGAGTCACTGGCCTCCCCTTGCCTTTACTAGGTACTAAGACTGCAGACTCCGACCAAACCGCATATTGACCGGTGAGATGAGGTAAGGCGTGCAAGAAGATACAAAAAAGCAAGCAGTAATTACCAGCCACGGCTTTCATCTGACGGCGAGTCCGGACCGGCCCATCTCCTCTCCTTCAAGTCACGTTCTGAAGGCAACTGACGCTGAGGTGCTCACCGTCACTGTCCGTGCCTTTTGAGGCTTTACTGGGAGGATGAGCAACGGCAACGGCCACTTGCGCCTTCTCTACCTGAACTTAGGTTGCTTAGGCTTGCAGTAAGGCAAGCGGCCATTCAACGTGGGTTGGTCATGTGCCCTATTTCTTAATATATCGGGTGTGGCAGAAGATGAAGTCCGCTAGGCGTGATATTCACAAAGAGAGTGTAAATGGCTTTTTCTTTTCCTCGACGTGAAATCGAAGGGAGAGAGAGATGGATCGGGATGTCACAGTGTTACCTCCTATACTGCTGGGTCTGCTTACCTCATGCATGAAGTTGCTCTCCTGCCTCATGAGATCCATGGATATCCAATGGCTTCGTTTCCAAGGCAAACACCTAAGGTAAGGAAGGTATGCATGTATCAAGTACTCCGTACCCTCTCGGGACCTGAAGCCTTACTCTTTAGAGCCAGGTGCGGTGTGTGCTAATTAAGACATCGACCAAAACACCCCCAAGGCCATTTGAATGCGGGAAACTGGACGGGACGCTTCTTCTGCCGTGCCTACCGCCTCTATTGCTTTGCTTCCATTACCTTTCCTACCTTACCTCACCGTTCGTACCGTACCCGTACCCGTACCCGTCACTAAGGTAAGGTGCCTTACCGATCTTAGCACCTTAGTTGGAGGATTCCTTTCTCATCTTCTCCCCCTCGTGTTCCTGCTTCTGTCTCCTTCCTTTCCAGTTTCCTTTCCGTTCCTCCGTCTGCTTCTAGACCTGCCGACGATATTCTGGTCGCCTTCCTCTCGTTTCCTCTGTCTTTCCCAGCATTTCTGTATCCCTTCAGCGCCAGGGGCGCAAAAATACGCGAGCTTATCTTGCCCCTCGCTGGGCTGCACGACTGATCTTTCCCTCAGCTGTCGTTTATGGCCCGGGGAAGTGTCTCACCAGCTTCCGCTCCGCTGGTTCGAATAGCTTCGTTCCATCTGCAGGCACCGCAGCTGCGCCGTTGACCTCCCTCCTATTGGCAGCGGTATCGATATTGCTCCGTCATAATTCATCACAGGGCGTCGTCCAGTCCTTTCGGGATTTGATGGATAGCTACTGTAAGTTTATTCTCCCCCTCCCCCTCCTCCTCCTTCGAGACTCAATACTCGAGACTCTTGCTTTTCTCATTTTCCCTCCCTCTTGCACCAACATCGAGTCTCCATCTGCCCGACGTACCGAATACTACCACGTCG